ATTTCCAACACATCGTAATAAACATTTTATGTTATTAGATCTGATTGATTAAATTACATCAATAATAATATATGGAGTAATATATGTATAAAATGATATTAAATTAATTTATGTTTTGTTTCAAATTCTTTTTCTACATTATTTCGGATTTATAATTCCAAAACAACGAGTTCCGTATGATAACATTTCATCATTAAGATGCACGAAGTTGCAGTGCTGAGCTTGGCCAATCTAATTGATTAGGGAAGACTTTTTGTTTCAAAAAATACAGGTTTCCCAAACTTTTCTGGTTCTTAAGTGCCTGAACATATTCGAAAAAATAAAAGCACGATATTATGAGTGACAATAGAACATGCAAGCAAATATTTGACAAATAATATTCTATAAAATATGTTGAATTTTGTCTGAAAGTGATGCACAATTTCAGCAGTATTATATTAACACTAACCTGCGTTTATTTGAATCATGCATAGAAGTATAGCTACTGGGATTGTCCATTGTTCAGCTCCGTATCCCTTAATGTTTGAATCTTTCATTTTATAGAAAGTATTGAACAGAATTATGTATTTCTAATAAATGTCGGTTTTATCTGATATTTGCAAATACTAATATATTTTTATTTAAAAAATAATATATATATATATATATATATATACTAATTAATCTTTGTTTGTACATTGAGCTTTTATCACTTCCATCATTTTGTTGTTTATTGCGTGTTTCAATAATTTGAATATAGTGATTACTGATTGTTTTTGTAAACTGATATATTCAAAATCAAATTCAAATAATTTTAACTTTTTAAAGTAGACGCTAGCTTATGTGACAATTCTCTTCACTATTACTTAAGCAAAGGCTAAAATCCCGTAGTGTAAATGAAGCTAATAAACCTAATATTTAAAAAAAATTTATTTTTTTTATCGAATGTATCCGAATTTTAATGTGTATTGTAAGTAATACGCAAATGAATAAACTGCTCTGCACAAACAAATATACGCGAGATGCTTTTCTGACAACACATGCATATTTACTATATATATATATACTAGAGTTCGATATTCCACAGAAAGAAAAATCTCGTTATTATCAATTTTCTATTTGTGTAACAAACAACCATTCTACATACGTGTTCCTCCTTCATCTCTACTCATCTTATTCTTTTCAAGGTTGTTACGATGACGATAAATTCTCAACTAGACAATGCATGTTACGTTGTTCCTTTCATTCATATCTGTATCTAGTGGTAGAAATTCGAATCGAAAGTTGATATAACAATGCACGTAATTCCCGTGTTATTAAGACAATTGAAATGGCGGAAATAATGATACAAAATTGAGCAAAATATGTTATTCGTATCTGTTAAGTATCTAATAATTTGATATATTTTCGCAATAGTGTTTTTGAGACAATATTTCACGACGAGATTTTGGCAAAAGGATAATCTAAATTTACCAAAATTATTATAAGGCATATTTAATATAAAATCCTCCCTGTATTCTCCCTGTATTTTTTATTATTAATTTTATTTATTATACTACTAAGTATACTCAACAAACTGGTACGTTACATTGTAAGAAATTGAATAGAACACATATTAACTGCATGAACACAAAATGTCCGCTCCGCGCTCCACATGCTCTGAAATAATTTCCAACTCTCGTAACACACAACAAAACACATATGTATAACTAGGCTTACCACACGTCCCGCTTTAGGTGGGACAGTCCCGCTTTTTAGCGTCTTGTCCCGCCGTCCCGACGAGTCAGCAAAAAATCCCGCCTTGGCGTTCAGCCATCCAGCATAATACACGAACATGTTCTCGTTTTTGTTGTTGCTGTGTAGCGCAATGCTAGCCTACTTACTGAAGGTGAACGCGTTATTTTGAATGTTTCGTTGTTTTTCGCTAACGTTGCTAGCTAACGTATCACATGTAAAATCAATTTTAATTGGTCATGTTCGGACGTTCGCGTGAATGTAACATTGAACAACGTCCATTTGAAGGTGTTATCCACAGAAAAGCATGCACAAAAAAATCTAAATTCGGATCATTTGTATCGTTAGCGTCTATTCCCTTCTATTTTTTTTTTTAACTGAACCCGATATATAGACAGAGAATAGGTGGATGAACTCTCGATCACAGCTAAGGTCTCGTGTCTTTGGAGGCGTCCCGCTTCGAAGTCAAAAAATATGGTTTCCTTATTTTATTCTATTACGAGTTTGGGGACTGTCTATGTTCGCAAAGTGAATATACTCCTGCCCATAGGTTTCAGTCCCTTTAAACTTGATGTAAAGTAGACGAACAAAATTAGTTCCCTTCATATTGGTACACACACTTCCGAAGCGCTTTTTTTGCAAATAGATTTCTTAGTAACTTCTGGATATACATGATTCAAAATAATTACCAATGTTGGCTATAAAGCTTTGGCATGGTCATACCTCGTTACAGAATGTATGAAAATAGGCAATTTGATCTGTAAATAGCGTCGCATTTGTCTAGTAGCTTGATTTAGTCATAAAAATGTGTGAAAAATGTATCACCCATACCCAATAAACTATCCCAGTCCACACGTGAAAAATAAACATAGTTTTGGTTTGCAGGTAATCTTTAATCTTTTAATGGGTCTGGTCATATCTATTGTCCGTCTGACCACCAATGTTGTCACAAAGAGGGTAAAGCATTTTGATCTGCACAAGACGTCGCAGTTTTCTAACAAGAAAAATGTTAGAAAAAACAGGTTGAAGTGAGTGCTTGTTGAAATGGTTGGTTTGGCGTAAACGAAGAAAGTACTATGATCCATAAAATGCGTGTGAAGCTAGTTTAGCAACTATGGATACCATAATATACCAGCCTAAAAATACCATAAACATAGTAATTTTGAAAATCCCAACAGCATGTCTTCCGCTCTAGAAAGGCGAAATCTTATTATTAAAAATTAATTAAGTGCATGTACAATACACCATGAAGTTTTAAGTTGCAATTTTGAATTTGGGCGTAATCCAGATCTATAATGAAATCGCCCCTTCTCGAGCACGCTGTCGGTGTCCCTCCTCTTGTCATCCGGTTCCTTCACAAAAGTCATATGTTTCAGCCTTCTGTTACAAACAGAACATTAACAGTAACCAGTAATGCCAACCGGTTCGCTAATCTCATAAAATTCCTTGAGACGGTTCTATAAAACCGGTGCAAACCGGCTGAACACAAGTATATATATATATATATATATATATGAAGAAAAAGGGAGAATAAAAACACTCAGAAGATTAAAAAGTATAACGAATAAGGTTAGCTACGACGTAATCAATATGATGTAAGATGGTGTCCTATGGGAAATACAAATGTGTGCTGTCCCATGAACTTCCATTCCCATGAAAAAGCCTGCAGATATTAATGAGTTGAACCACTCTGAAAAGTGCGGTGCAATCTTAGATATCAATACGCCGTGTCGAAATGACCATTGTTATGTCACAATGGCATCGGCAGAAAGTTCTGGTCCTGTAAACAAATGAATTACTAAAAACATAAAATATATCATTGAAACCCCATATGGATCGTTTTTCCCAATCGTTTCGTTGTTGTTGGGGCATATTTATGGTGCGAAAAAAACCGCTTTTCCAAGTAACCAATGGATCACTCAATTTCAAATTTTCAGTAATTAAAGATGAAAGTATAGGAAACTACATATTTTATCAAAATTTCTTCGAATCTTGTGAGACGTGGACCGAAACGTGACCGCTTGCGCCAAGGCATATTTGAGTAAAATCGCTTTGGCTACTGGTGCTTCAGTTAGTTAATGGCAGGTTTGTCGATGGGAAATATTTTCTGTCTCATCCCACCCCACTGCATTTTATGCCTTTCCATGGGAATTCTGCGGACTTTCACCACAAAATAAATAAAGTTAGATAATACCATAAATAAAAACATTTAAAAGCAAAAAAATCTAAAAATACCAAGGTTATCTGTGACGTAATCAAGTTGTATGACATGGCAACTGCTTCATAGAAAATAAAAATGTGTGCTGTCCCATCCCATCCCATGGGACGCTCTCCACGAGAATCCTATTCCCACGGACAAGCTTGGGTATTGGATTTTTGTGCCCATATATTAATTCAATCATCGCTCTCCTGTTAATTATTTTTGCGGGGCATTTTATTATCATGCTTATATAACTAATTTTATTTTCTAGAACAGAAAACTCTATTTGAGTACTGGACAAGAAGTGAAATTTCCAATTGAGTATTGGTACGGCAGAAATAAAACTCCGACCGATGATCCACTGTACGTCAGTAAAGATCCGAACAGTAGTTTACGTGTTAAACGAAACACAGATGAGTAGATTCAAAAATGTTATTCAACGGAGACGTTGTGTGAAAACTACGCATGTCATGAGTAGGATAAAGTCGTCGTTGGAATGGGTAAAGAATATTCTTCGCATCATACGGGAACGGAACCCTTCTGTATTTACTTTATGGAGTCTATCAGCGTCGAGTGTTAGTTGTAAACTTTACAATTTCTGAAGATGCATTGCATGGCAGTGAGGAACTCTGTATCAACTAAACTAGCGAGTCAACTAACCTGCCTTTCCCCTAATGAATAAGACATAATCTTCTAGTTCATAAATTTCAAAAATTTGGTTTAATTTGTCGCAAAAGAACATTTTGCTAAAATGCCAAGAATATTGCTGTTGTGAGATCACAGACTGTTTACAACTTTAGAGCTTCGTGTTTTTAGCGTATACCAAATATTTTTATGTGAAAACTCATAGCAAAGGTTTGCTCCCATCAGGATATCGGACTCTCATACATTTATGTGATGAATTTTATGGGGCGTTTTACATTCTCTAACCCTGCTAAATTAATAATGTTATTTTGGTTGCAATCCAATCGAAATCAAACAAAAAATACATTTATTTGTTTCTCATAAACGATTGGGAAGCTGTATCTAACCCAAGCCAGTTAGAGTCGTCATATGGAGTTGGTCTATTTTATTGATATATTGGATAAAAATATAAAGTTATGCATGGTAATATTCTTTCGGTATAATCATACTGAGGTACTATCTTCAATGAACTTCTCGTCATCCGTAGTTGGCGTATCAGATTCAGTACCTCCACTTGAAGTACACGTGCTTGACAATCTGAAAAATGCATGCTCAGTTATAGGCTTATCATCGAGGAAGTCTTTTACACATCTCAGTTTTAAATATAATAGGCTCTTTGTGTATTTTACAAGAAATGCATGCTTTGTACTCAGTGGTGGGATTCAAATTTTTTGTCAGCCGGCTCCATCACAAAAATGTCATATTTTTAGCCGGTCTGTTACGAAAAGTCATGCTTTTTTCAGCAATGCTAATCGGTTCGCTAATCTCATAAAATTCCGTGAGACGGTTCTATAGAACCGGTGCGAACCGGCTGAATCCCACTACTGTTTGTATTCCATTTCGTTTTGACCGTCTTACTGCGCTGGATACAGTCGTCGACCACTTATCGACTTGAAATAATTGTGTTAAAAATGACCATGTATCTAATGGGCATAAATTTGTTTCTTAGGCTTTATTCATCTACTTTTTAATTTGTCAAAATGACACATTCCAGCACTCTTTATATTTCGCATTTCGACTTTTTGGAAGTAAAAATTTCGCTGGGAAATCCTGCAGTGGGAACTACTTGGGCCAGTGGTGAGGTTAATGGAACAGGGTTCAAAATTTTGGATGCGTCATCGCACACAAAATTGAATCCCATGAAGCTCATAACTTTTTTGAAACAAATGAGAGTAATAGCCTTCTAGTGAAAAATACAATCCCTAATTACTGAAAATTGCAAAGCAATTGGTCCAGTAGTTCATTAGAAATGCGATTTTGTCCATAAGGATGAGAAGAAAAATAATACCGGCACAACCAGTAAATCGTTTCGCTAACACGGTTGTGCTTTATTTATCAACAAAGTTATTCATTGTTTTCAAGCAATCCAGTATTGTGTCGAACGTTCTCGCGTATTTTCCCCCTCTAGGCAACCACGATCGAAGCTTATCAAAACTTCTCTGTTATAAACATATTTATAGTGTTACCTGAATTTTTCAAGTTCAACCGAGTCGTTCAAAGTTTCCGGAAGCGAGGAATGCCTTGTTTCGGGAAGAACAAGCGTTAGAAGTGCGGCAAGTAAGCTTAAACCTCCCATGACATAGAAGGGAATCCATTTTCCAGAAACTTCACCTGAGTATAATAAATCAAACATTTTTATTTAGCCTTCATTTTTTTGACGGAAACTATCTGAAATAAAATACACTAGTCAGCGCTGAAATACCAATATCTATGAAGACACCTCCAGCAATAAGTACCCACCTGAGAAAGCAAGGAAGGGCGCCATCAAACATGCTACCCTAGCCGAGGTAGAAGCTATTCCAACACCGGTACTTCGCAATATTGTAGGAATAAGTTCGGCTGTGTATAAATAAACCATCCCCATATTTGATGATGAAAATACTTTCCCAGTCATTGCCACCGCAATACTCGCTTTTTCATCTAAACAAAATAAACGTAAAAAAATAAATGTAAAATATATGCAGAAAATAAATGTCGCTTTTAAAATCAACGAACAATTTTATGCAACACAACATATCTGCGTGCGTCAATTCTAGGTTCTCGTCATCATCGTCTATTCATACGCATCTTCGATTACGAATTTCATAATAGTGGTTCAAGGTATAGCATTGTGAAATTTATAGAATGATATGATCTACAACAGTGAAAGTGAAATCCAATTCACGAGCATTTGTGTTTATTATGTAAACTACAGCAAATTTGCCGCTTCTATGAATAAACTTATTTATTAAAAAACCCTGCGGCTAGAGACGTCGAATGTTTGTTATTTTTTAAGAGTAATATTTGCTTATGTTGCATATTCCTTAACCACTTAATAATTTTTTTTACAATAGCACATTTGTATCGCGACTGGAAGTTGAACTTTTGTTGAGTCTTGCTAAGGTCTTGACTTTTCGATAGACAGTTCGGCTTGTTTGATCCCAGTTTTTGTTTGAAATACTGTTGGCGTGTAACTGTAGAGGTATTCATAAAGTTGGGAGAGAATGCTGAGGTTTTAATTTTCCGATAGAAAGTTTGACTTATCTGATCTCAGATTTTGTTTAAAATGATGTTGGAGTGTAACTGCAAAGGTATTCATAAAGTTGGGAGAGAATACTACCACCTAAATTACTTTCAAAAATCTTATCGCTAAATAAAAAATAACTCACATGATCCGAGTAGTGGGCATAAAATGAGGCACATTGCTGATAATGAAAATGCTACAGATAGTGATAAACGACGACCAAGCTTTTTTAGTGCAAATAAAGCAACTATCCATCCTGGTATTTCTGCTGCAGCTGATAGAAAACTATTCCAATATATACTGCCTCCAAGGTTAGATGTGTTGTATCCAAATGTAAAATAACAAACGAACGAAACTATCCTGTGGAGCAACATATTAACGTTATTTTTCTTTCTTTGTCGTTATAACCAAAAAGTATAATCAATAACATCTCATATATACATATGTGGAATAAACATCTAAATTCGAAATATCAAAAAGTAGCATATTTGATTGGTCGTTTGGAGTTATGTTCCATTTTATAATTATGATGGAACAGAACCTATTTATAACCAATTACATCAATACTAATTTTTTTTTCATGTTTTTTTATCATCAATTTTATCATAAATACAAACACTGTATATTTTAGTTTACTAATTTCTTACCATAACCAACATAAAACCAAAATTCTTTTCAGCAAAATTCTGTTATGAAAAAGCATCGATAAGGATTTCCAAAAACTGATGTGTTTTTGATTCTTCGATTCAGAATTGCTCAGCTGTGAAATAAAAATCAGCATCATCAACGTGAGTTCAATTTTTTTAATAGTTGCGGGATAAAAAAGTGCATTCAATTTACAAAAAATTTATCAACATATTGTTTAATTAAGATGTAAAAAAATAAAACATAGCAATTTTTTTTGTTATTAAATAAAGATGTTTTATTGATTTAAATTACTTCACATGTCTTGTAATCAGGAATTGAACTTAACTAACCCTAAGGGCGATAAGTTGTGTAAATAGTAGCACATTGCCTATATCTAGTCTTCCTCCAATTTGAATTATGCTTTTGAATATTTACACTGTTCATTTTTAGGTCAAAATGGATTTGTTCCATTTCTGTGCTCACCCAATTGCGTTTATCGCACAATTCATCATGTCATACCTCAATTTCATCGTTCATTTTTGATTTTTGAATACGTTCAAGCAATACTTCCGAAAACTTCGATTTTTTTAAAAATCGTTTTGCAATATCTATTGCTTCGTTTTTTCTTCCTCTAGACATCAACCAACGAGGAGATTCCGGCAAATAACTGAACGCGCAATGGAAAATGAAATAGATCATGAAAGAATAAAAAAAATCTAATTTAGTTGTAGTTAGTAGTCTAATAGTAATGAATGTAGATTATTATAATGAACGAAAAGTGCAAAAAATAATTGAATTTGAAATTTCAATCAAGGCAACGTGTCAAAAATTTAAATTCGTGGGTTAGGCTTAAAAGTGTAAGAAACTTGAAAGATAAATAAAGTATTGGGCTACATACGTCACGGCAGTATCTTACTACTTAGGCGAAGAAGTCAATTCAGTACGAAATTTAACAATGATAACAGCAATACCTCACCAGTAATACGTCATAAAAAAGATACAAAAGAATCCAGGAATTCTTATTATCCATCTCCAGTAGGTGCAGAAATATGCAATGAATGTCATCATCATATAACCACAAGACATACAAATATTGATAAGGCACGCAACGACGTCTCTATGTTCTTTTTTGACCAGTTCTTGCGCTGGAAGACAAATGAAGTTTTTTACTGAATTTTCAAAAAACTATGCTATATTATCCTTGCATCGAATCTAAAAACATTTGTCACTTACAACAGATCAAAAATATATCAGGACTATGACTATGAGCTAGAAATCAGCTCGGTCTTTTTGCAGCATTTTAAAATGCCTTAGAACATCATAGAGTAATCATACTTAAGTTGTTATGGCAACATTTACGTAATGGGCGGCGGGTGTTTTCTGCAGCCGCAGTTCAGTTACGCTTCCCTCACCGTTAAATTCCGTAACGATTACTGGTAAACTATTACCGTTGCCAACCTTTACTGGTTATGGTCCTCTGCCATTCCGGGATAAATATCAAAATCCTGTCATAAAACACGTCGAAATATTAATCATTACTCATTCCTTTTACTGTAAACTTTTTTCAATGATACAGTGTTTACGATTTTTTTCTCCTGATTACTGTTATACTTAATCACGGGTGTCGCTGCAAGATAACAAGTTTAGTTTTTTTGCGTCCTCTTTACCCTGAAAAGCCATTTTTACGTTGTTTTTTATTGTTTATACAAAGTGTATTTACATGATGGAGAAAAAATAAATTACTGATTACCATGGACAAATGTCAAGCTATACGTTATGCTGGCTCCCGTTCCATACGACAAAAAACAAAACCAGCTCATCCAATAATTCACTGCCAAACTGTATCCGAAAATAACCAACATTAAAATTGTGACGCATCCAAGAGTAGCAACTCGTCTACCGAACCTAAAAACAAAATTTACCTACATTTAGGATCTATTGGAGAAATCCCGCGCCACCAATGCAAAAATGGGAGGTTTGAGAAAAAACGTTTTAAGATAAAAAAAAACTTAGTAATTATACAGTTAGGGTTCGGTTTAGGAATGATTTTAAAATCTGAATTTCCAGCGCAATCCGTATTCCTAGCTCTAGCTGGATAATTACTAATTTCCTTATTTTGAGCAATGACGGGGATGTTTTATTTTGTCAGCGGCCTGCTACAAAAGATTCCACATTCATAACAAATTAAAAAACAATATCGAAATTATCGCGATTGCACTGGAATACAACACCAATTTAACAAGGTTCCTTTCTGTGTAATTTTGTGAGATATAGAATTCTTCTACCTATTCATAATGATGATCGTAATTATATTAAAGGGAGGCCACACAAATTTTTCAATGTTAGATATTTCCCGTGGGCACTAAATTCCTATTTCCCACGGGAAATAATTTTCCATGTCTTTCACTCTGAGGCCAAGTTCATGTGTAATATATTATCGTTCAGAAAGCAATTTTCAATTAATATCAAGTCGGTGAGGTTGATCAATACCGCAGGCTAACAAAATAAAAAACCAAATGTAATGAGTAATCTAAGAAGTGTAAAGGCTTTGAATGTTTTCACATCAACGTCTGCACTACATGTTATTTATATAACACGTTATCAAAAATGATGTAGCAAGAATCAATGTGATACCAGTGAGCGCTGTTAGATTGTACGCTTGGCACATGGCTCGGATATTCCCTAATATCATGATTGAGCCCTTGCTAGTCTGTGTGAGCCCGGCCATAGATGATAATAGACCGGTTGATGGACTTTTCTATTTCACTTTCAGTTTGCTTCCATCAATTACATACAAACTAAGATATCTGTTTCATGTATGTTTCACTAGAATAAAAGATTTCCTCGATATAAAATTCCTAAGTACTTTAGGCATTTAATCTACATAATTTTATGTGCAATAAAACGAAATAATGCGTTATGGATTATTACATACAAACTAAGATATCTGTTTTATGTATGTTTCACCAGAATAAAAGATTTCCTCGATATAAAATTCCTAAGTACTTTAGGCATTTAATCTACATAATTTTATGTGCAATAAAACGAAATAATGCGTTATGGATTATTACATACAAACTAAGATATCTGTTTTATGTATGTTTCACCAGAATAAAAGATTTCCTCGATATAAAATTCCTAAGTACTTTAGGCATTTAATCTACATAATTTTATGTACAATAACACGAAATAATGCGTTATAGAGTACTCAGAAATAATTTGGTTAGTCGCAAATATACGCTTTTGAAGTTCGGATAATCTGAAATCTTTAATTAAAATTAAACAAATACTTGTCTGATATTGCTCCAGCAATTATTCCACTAATGAGAGCACCTATCGAATAACTCAATGTCAAAAACGGTCTTTTCCATTCATCGTCGCATACTAAATTGAACTGTAGAATAAACGTTGGAAATAATTACAATGTGATAAGCGACAAATGCTTTTAGAGTAGTAATTAAAATGCAACGTAGTAATTAAAATGCAACATGTATATATAAATCCATGTAATATAATATAATTTTTCATAAATACTTCAGATATGAAATCCATCTAGCTAACGACGAGTACCGGTATATTTATGTTTCCTAGAAGGTAAATTCCTATTGATTAATTTTAATATTTATCATGGTCAAAAATAACAATGATAGCGATAGGACGATATAATTAGATTGTGGTCAGAGCATTCTGACTCAAGCATCACAAAATTTTCACAGTTTAATGTTCCAGGTGCACGGAATGGCTTAACCTTCAGTTTAACTGTACATCAGAATAGAGCAACGTGTCCCAATGGAGGAAATTTACCTCCAGAGAGTTATAAAATAGGCAAAGGAAGGAATTTAACAAAAAAGGTTGAGAATCGCTATGAAGGGTCGGCAAACGAGAAGTTGTGAATTTCACCAGAACGCGAAAAAATCAAGGAATTGAAATTTATATGACCCTGCATGTGGGAACACTGAACGTTTTCGTGTGACATACACGATATGGATAATATAATATACCTCCATCGTCGCAGTTGTCTTGTCGTCATTATTGTCATATACAGTTCCATCTTCACACTGTTCGATTGCACTTCTATTTATTTGAATATAATTTTCAGCAGATTGATTCTTGTGGACTTGAACAGTAAATCTTCATATAAGAAGATCATGGAGTTTGTAACTTAATATACTGTTGTACAATAACGTAACATTGAAAAAAAATTAAAATTAAGGAGAACTTAATGGATTTTGTGGTTATATATTCTGATGTACAATAACGTGGAATTCCTTACATCGATTCTTTATGGCCGCGGGAATAATGTTATGAAATGTTGTTTACGTCAGATACCGTTATTGATTAAACTTTATTTAAATTTGGCTGAGATAAAAGAACCATGACGTGGACTGCATAAATACTAATTCACTCTGGATTTCCGTTTATTGTCTAATTACAAAGTTTAAATTTTGAAGGGTGATTTACATATGAGCTTCGAACAATATTCTAGTTAAACTACCTTTATGTTGTAGCTACAATAATAATTGAAGTGTCAAATGTTTCGACAATTCCTTATTTACAGTATGGGTTGATCGGCATATGGTTTTAACATTGTATTTTCACCGCAACGAGATGAACGAGGTTTTGCTGGCGCTCCAGAAGTGTGTACCAATATGGAGGTAACTAATTTTGTTTGCCTATTTTACAATTTACATCAAGTTGTGTAAAGGGACGGACGCCTATGGGCAGGGAGTATATTCACTTGGCTAACACAGACAGTCCCCAAACTTGTAATAGAACTAAAATAAGGGAAATCGGAATAAAATTATGGCCTGCCCTAACCTGGTACACATACTACGGAAGTACCGTTTTGCTTAATGCGGGACGGTGATCGTGAAATAAGAGGTCGCTCTTAAAAATCTAAGTCCGCGAACGACTGTTCTTCTTCTTTTCCAGCGTATATAGAATATTACACAATAAACATCTTACCTTCGGCAATTACTCAACGTTTCGTTATTTTCTGTCGATGCAGGAATATAATTGAACAAATATGGATTGTTGAATTGATTATCGTTCTAAAACAAAGACAAAAATGCGAATTGATAAACAATATTTTAACAATTGTGTATCTTGTATCTTGAACCGGATACGGTAGAACTAAGATGTTCGATTTCAAGCTAAGCAACCAGTAGAAATTAAATAAGTAAAACGAACGCACACTCACTTGGTGATCAATCTCCGGAACCAGGCATCTATGCGGCGGTGCGTGAAACACAAAAACTGGCGAAAAGTTTACCATTCCTTGAGGTATTGTAGTGATTATCAAACTTGCTAGGATTAGTTTGTGATATGCGCTGGTAGATCCCGGTTCTTCAAATACATCGTCCATTTTCAGCAACGACCCACGTTGTTATAATTACTAATATAACATCTAAGTTTGCATATATAAATCGAAGCTCGTATACTTTGGATAAAATAGTCTGTTTAATCGGCATATACTTTCTTGCAACTGATCATGTCACAAATTTCAAAGGAAATATCTTGAATTTTAAGTTCTCTAAGTTAAGACACTTGTACACAAGCCTGAGGCGACGAATACTGCGTATAAAGTTAGGAAAATGCCTCGAAAAACAGCTGATTCTGCTGTAATATACGAAATTAGCTGGTTGGCTACCGTACAAGATCAAAAAACTGCGTGTCTCGCAACGATAAACTAAACTGCATTCCACGGAACCACGCTCGTATATATGAATCAATAAACACAGGATGTGACAGTCACGTTACTGCCAGACCTGCCTTTCTGCTAGCGCATGAATTTGTATGCAAAGTATAACTTGCAACAATAGCAATATATATTGAGCACTCAGCATCAATATATTTAAAAGGTTGACGCCGAAATGTGCATATTTCAGACGGCGTATGTATGCGTCAAATTAGTTAGTAGATTAATCCTTAATCATCCGAAAATAACATGAATTACATGAATTTCCCCTGATGCATCGACTAATCCCCTTCGATGGGGTGGGATGGATAAATGGAAGAACATAAGTTTTTTTTTCAAGTAAATTTGAAACGATATACGGTAATTGCAAAATGTTTTGCTTTCCAGCATATTTTTCGAGACAAATCCATTTTTTAAAGTGAGAGAAATACATCTTTATATGACAACTACAACATTATCAAACCCTTAAAAATAACGTTCCAAATACAAGAATCCTATATTTCAACCATATATATATATATATATTAAGATCAAAATAAGGGAAATTAACAAGAGAATTTACAAATTGATAATGTAATTGGTATCCAACGCACGTGTAAAGACATGGAACAATCGAAGAAATTACGAAAAGATGGAATTTGATTTTGTTCTTCCACTACACTATTTGAAACATAATATACATAACACGTATTATAACCAGTGGTGGGATTCAATGTTTTTGTCAGCCGGCTCCATCACAAAATTCGTATTTTTCCGTGAGACGGTTCTATAGAACCGGTGCGAACCGGCTGAATCCACCACTGATTATAACCATGGGAAAGTCGCCCTTTTTCATTCCGTACCCGTGATTCGTTGAGTAGAAAAACGTAACTTAAATAATGTAAATAAATAATTTCTACACAATTACAGACGTACATACCGAGTAGTTCTCGAAGCGGCTCAAACTGATTCACGTAGAACGGAAAGTTTTTTTGAACTGCGAGTCGTAGATATATATATATATGAATTTTTTATGACGTGTGTTATTTGATCTTTCTTAGTAAGAAGAATTAAAGTAGCTAAAAAGCTGTTTTTAAAATTTCCTCCAAATTCTAGGGGGTCGATATTTTACCTAAAATTTTGATGCTTTATTTTAATTTGGGAATACTTTTTGACATTTGACCTTGGGACATGTTTGAGCAAGCCCCAAGCCATTCAATAGTTAATATGAAGGGCATGGTTTTTTGTTTCATCCACGTATAAGATGTTTATGTTTCATACAATCGAATGTGCTTCTCAACTACATAAAGTATTTCCTCTATATATTAAACTAAATAGTAATAGTTTTGGGGCGAAAAATAACAATTTTTAACAACTGAAAATTTTAAAGCCATTGGTCCGATAGTTAATGTGTAAAGCGAATTTTTTATAACAACAAGAACAATGATGAGAAAAACATTTTTAACAACAACAAAATACCAACCATATGTACATTTCATGACTAAAAACCCAAATCTTAGATTCGCGTCGGCTGGCACTTTATCGTGCACAGCTTCATACTGATACTAAATCCATGATGTTTGTAACGTCGCATTCCCTCCCGTTAATTTCGAAGGTGTTCTGATGATGTTATCTAACGTTATATATGAAGACGTTCTTGTAATCGTTCAATGTCAAAACCTGAAAAATATGCAACACTGCAGTCTCGAAGTGACTGTTATTTCCCATGCTTGTTGTGTTGTTGATTGATATGTGAGCCTGCTTTTGTAGCAGAATTTTTGATATTATCTTCGTGCGATCAGTCGATCACACATTGTTTTGCTCGTGTGAACGGAGTAGCCAACTAGTTGTTTATTCCTGGTAATATTTATTCCCGATGAACCTATGGTCGTATCGTTGCCACCCAGTCTGTACCGAGAACTTTCTGTTCCAAGTTATATTTCGTTGTGTTTTCTGGTTGACGCAACAAGTAACCTCACTCTCTCTACCTAACCGGTAATAAAAGATGCATAAACTTGGAGAGTGATAGCAGAATCCACCCTCCTACAACCAGTCCTGCAATGTTTCGCGCATAATCCGAAGGTTTCAATCCACGCAGTTGAAAACACATTTATATATATATCAGTCTTATATATATGTGAGAAGCTAAATGTGCTTTCGACGTTAATTCTTGCACGGTGCGAGTTTCAATTTGTGTATGGTTTGGAAAAATAAATGTATTCCCCCACCTCTAATCTAAAACAAAATCCATCGACATTTCAACATTGTAATATTTTTTATGCCTTTTGTGAGATTTTTAGATTTACATGTACCGTATACTTAGGGTTACCATATTTTTGATTTCAAAGCGGGACGCTTTCAAAGACACGCTCCCTTAGCTGTGATCCTGTAACTTTACAGTTTCCGAGTTCACTACATAGGATCCCCACTCTCTTCATTGACCATATTGTCATCGGGAGTTCATGCGCATATTCTCTGTTTAAATATCGGGTTCAGTACGAAAAATAGAAAAGAATAGACGCTAACAATACAAATGATCCAAATTTAGATTTTTTTATGTACAACAAAAGGAATAAAGAATAATGAAATAGTCTGCCGTTTTCAAGCATTGAGATTTGCCCAAGCATGCTTTTCTGTAAATAACACCTTCAAAAGGACGTTGTTCAATGTTACATTCACGTGAACCTCCGAACAGGACCAATAGGAATTGATTTTATATGTGATACGTTTGCTAACAATGTTAGCGGGAAGCAACGAAACAAACAAAATAACGCATTCACCTTCAGTAAGTAGGCTAGCGTTGCGCTACACAGCAACCAGCAACAACAGTAACGAGAACATATTCGTGTATTATGCTGGATGGCTAAACGCCAAAGCGGGACTTTTGGCTGGCTTGTCGGGACGGCGGGACAAAACGCTAAAAAGCGGGACTTTCCCGCCTAAAGCGGGACGTATGGCAAGACTATGTATATGTAATTTACAAACATAAATTCAATAATTTAACAACCTACCGTTTAACTGTACAAATAGCTAGTTTCCGTCATGTCTTTAACAGATTTTTCGCAACGTATTTTTGACTACCCTATACCTAAATTTATCCGAAGACAAAATGATCATTTTGATATTATACTGTATTAACTCGAATGACTTGTTAGAATGCTATGGATCGGTGAACTAAACAAACCATCGTTGCCAACTGATTTCCATTATCGTTGCACCCACGTATATTTGCTCCCATAACTTGCATCCAGAACATATGATATTTTGACCCATACAATTTACACTTATGTGCAATTGAACTCACATGTATATGTAACCGTAAATAAGTGCACCTATAGAATGCTGCACCTACATACATTCACATCCACGATTATATTAAATAATACTTTGAAGTAAACAAGACTGCTACTTGCCACCGAGTATTCGACATCAGTTAAATCATAAACTATATTTTGAATTAGATTTGAATTAAGAATCGATTAATATTCGTAAATGAATGAAAATCTATGTTAGAAATGTTTAGATAAGCTGGAAATCGAAAATGATCTTTTGATGGAGACCGAATCAGAAATAATACAGTAAGGCTGTGATCAGTGTTCCTTCCCTCTAAGGTGTGCGCGCGCACACAGCTTTCAGAGGCTGCGCACACGCATAGATTTACTGCGCACAGACGTATTTTGATGTAATGTAACAATATGCTCGGTTGGCAGGTTGAGAAAGTTTGTTGTTGGCCCACTTATTACCCGGTTAGAACGCCAAAATTTCTTCATTGGTTTGTGCACAAATATTAGTCATTTCCAAAAAAGTGCGCACACACTAAAATTTCTGCGCACACGTACTACAAAAAATTAGAGGGAACATTGGCTGTGATCCTAGTTTCAATGAGCTAGTTTCAATCATCTGTAGTTGTCACATTGAAATTGATATCAATTCTTGTACAAGTACGTGTGCATGCCAAACTGAATAAGATGGAGTTATATATATATATAATTAATAAATACTCCACGTCTATGTTCACGTCCACGTAAATGTCCGGGAATGTTTCGATTTGACTGCTTAACCGACTATCGTCCACTGGACGGTTTGCTGCCTTGAGCACAGGCTTACTTGCGGTCAATTTTTCATTGGCGAAAGTCGCCGCAATCTAATTTTGATTTTCTTCAGCTATAGAGAAACATTTATAGTTTTTGGGAATTTCCATGTGGGTTTTATGGGGCTCCAGTGATTTTGTTGTGAAAATAGTTAATTTATTACACAGGAAGTAAATGAATACTAATCGTGAACATTGGTGATAGCAGTTAGGATTATACGATACCTCCGGATTTAGCTTGGAATGTCCCGATTTGGACAAGCTCAAATAACATTTGGAACAGTGCTGCCAGTATATCGCATGCATTCATTGGTCGGGACTCGTGCTAATTTATTTTTAAAACGCAATTCAAAAATTACCTAATAAACAACTTAGCAGTGAAACAAAACTCACAAGATCCGAGTAGTAGACATAAAACGAGGTAAATCGATGATAACAAAAAGGAAACAGATATTGTCAAACGGCGTCCAAGCCTTTTTAGTCCACAAAAGGCAAGTATCTATACAGGTGTTTCTGTCGCAGCTGATAGAAAACTATTTCAATATCTACTTCCTCCCAAGTTAGAAGTGTTGTATCTAAATGTATAATAATATACAAATGAAACGGCGCTGTAGAGTTAAAAACATAACCACGTTCTTATGTATTCAAATCTCTTTTTATTATAATTTACCTCGGTACAATATGTGCTATGTATGGAGGGAATTTATCTGGCCATATATACACAGATAGTTTTACTTTTGTAATTGTTGATTGTAACTAGCGCTGGGCATTTACGAATACCTGATGATTTCAGAATCGAATCTCGAATACCTTGAAATTATATAACTGTATGCTACTATTTTATTGTAATTGGTCCAGTCAAGAAATGAATCACTGGAAACATAGAATATATCATTCAGACAGATTGTCGAGTGTTCACACACAATACAGACCACGTTTTATCAATAACTATTACAGAAAATAGTCATATGCCTGAATTGTGTTGGAAATAAAAAGCTTCAGTAAAAAATTGAGGAATTTAACTCGACAATGGCGGAATGAAAAAAGAAACGATGGCGGCTATGCGAAATTTTGCTCTGAACCGACTCGAATAATTTACTATTCGACTCGAAACGCCCAGCCAAAATTATAACGTACAATACTGTACTTTGGATTTCTTACCATAACCAACATAAAACCAAAGTTCTTTTCAGCAAAATTTTGTTATGCAAAAGCAGGGATAACGATTTCCTAAAACTGACGTGTTTTCGATTCTTCGATTCGACATTGTTTTGCTGTGAAATTAAAATTATCATAATTTACGTAATTTATCTTTTTCAATAATTATTTATATTTCAAGAAAGTGAATAAAATTACTAAAATTTAAAAAACACATTGTTTGAAATGCCGGAAGAATTTGAGAATTTGTTGAGGTATTGAATGGAGATTCTTACAGTTTACAGTTTAGTTTACAACACATGAGTTGTAATCAGAAGCTATACATACCCAATCCGGAGGTCGAGTTTATTTATTAATTTATTTTGTTCACCTAATTGCCTTTTAAACAAAGTTCCACAAAGGCTTCGGAAGATTTCGAATCATTTAAAAATCGTTTTGCAATATTAACCGCTTTATTGGTTTTTCCTCTAGACATCAACCAACGAGGAGATTCTGGCAAATAACTGAACGCGAAAATGATATTAAATAGATTTTTGGGGAAAGATTCAATTTATTTTAATTGTTGTGAATGAGAGTGGTAATAAAAAAATTTGAACATTCTGTTATCAATATAGTTGCATCACAACTAATTCACATGAGCCTGAAAATAAACGTGTTCTCAGAACAAATAATCAAAAACCAATTCAATGAGAGAGCCACCGAGAGTCTAGAAAATACCTTTCGGCATCCCTACGTCTTTTTCTAGTGATAAGTTGAAAAAGATAGGTCCTATATTTAATTTGAAAATGTGTTATTTTCCCAAAAAGGAACAACTTAGTTTTTTTTTAAAGACGATGCGCTTTGTGCTGAAAATTGTTTGTAGACTGTCGCACACCCAGTAGCATTCAGGAGTAAATTGTAATTTGGTATTTTATTATGCTGCATGTATATTGAAACAAATTAAATAAGAAAGAAAATCAAAGTAAAATATTACTTGGCGCAGATTGGTTAGTGGCGTGGATGGTCCTGTAATATACACTAATCATGACCACACAAGTTAAACTCTTTAAACATTTTATTTGCAGCTCTGCAATGAACTCATTAGTTTAAAGTAACCTCAGAATTATAATATTTCATTAACCAAGACTGAATGTCCTACATGGACCATACTGAATCAGGCATAATGCAACCCAGACCTAACTTACGGCTCTGATGAGTAACTCAATTCATCAGGAAAATAAACATTGTAACTAGGGCCCGACCGATATATCGGCCGGCCGATATATCGGCCTTGTTTTTCACAAATTTTGAACTATCGGTATCGGCTAATTTTACCGATAGTTATCGGCTAATCACGTGACTGCCAAAGTGTCGAAATTGCGCCGGGAAAGCAGTTTTATCGCTTGTTTGATTCGAGAGCGGTTCTGCGTGAAACTCTTTTTCTTCACTATTTCTATTTCTCTCTTATCAAAAGCGGTTTCACGGACGATTGCGACACGGGATTTCACACTTTGCAAGCAAGTTTGCAGCGTGGTGGCTTACAAATCGAAGCGATAGAACACGTGAACGGCTTATTTGTGTCAAATAATATACGCTAGAGATGTACCGATACCACTTTTGTCGCCGATACCGATACCGATCCGATACCAGCTAAAAAAGCCGATACCGATACCGATACGCCGATACTACAAAAAGGCCGATATTACCGATATTCCGATACCGATACTATGTAAATATTACTTAATTAGGTGTGCTTTGTAGGGCAGACGGGTTAAAACAATGGTCTTTGAGCGTTGTTCATAGTACACATTATTTCAGATCGAAAAATGATATATCACATAATATGAAATTAATGTTTGGTGTTTGCTTCAACTGATTAAGATACACTGTACAGTAACGCTAGTAATCTCGGTGTTCAATTAGAAAACCCATAAGCCGGGATGTCCAATTTGAATTTAATGTTAATATCGCGACCTTCGAATATCGTTATTCGTGTTTAAGAGAATATCGAATATCACCCACACATTCTAGAGCCGCCGTCCTACGTTCAAATTAAAAGCATTTTTCAAATATTTTATTTCGTGGCTAATCGTAATCGTCGACGCAATAAGTCAAAGCCAACATGAAAGAATATCAATCAGCACCGACCAAAAGAAGGCCTACCTATAACCGTCGAGGATGTTTTTTTACTTTACTATTTTATATTATTATACAATTGCTATCATATATTTGAGACAGTCTAGGACTCTAGGCCCTCTAGGGCTAGGCGGTCATGTCAATATATCTATAAAGAAATTGTGTTGTTAAACAAAAATTAATATCTGCGTAGAGGGATAATTGTGTCGGAATTTAGTTTATCGATGTCGTCGGACTAAATGACACTCGTACTTGACGACAAACAGTCAGAATTTATACCCGTGCCAAAAGTCCATGTGCCGTTAATAAGGACCCCAATTCCACTGTATGATTTAAAACTGGGCGCCTAATTGCTTTTTGTTATGTGCCGTGTTGATATATTTCTTCATAATTACTATGTAATATTAAAAATGTCAATATAAAAATTTGACAGCGAAAATAGCTAAAAATACGTGAATCATATTCTCTCGCGGGGGTAGGGACATGTATGGCTCATAGCTCACGATCTCTCCAGACAAAAAATAAATCAAAAAGTAGTATTCCAACTTATCTTTTAAAACATTCTGGACCATATCAAAAAGGTAAATATATCGGAAATATCGGCCTTAATCTAACCGATACCGATACATGGCCGATACCGAAAAAATGGCCGATATTGCCGATACCGATACCCGATACCGATACATCGGTACATCTCTAATATACGCTAGATTAAATAGAGAATTTTCGCGTAGTTTACACGGCGCTTGATTTCCCTTGCGCTTTAGTTGTTGAAGGTTGCCGGGAAAGCAGTTTTATCGCTTGTTTAATTCGAGAGCGGTTCTGCGTGAAACTCTTTTTCTTCACTATTTCTATTTCTCTCTTATCAAAAGCGGTTTCACGGACGATTGCGACACGGGATTTCACACTTTGCAAGCAAGTTTGCAGCGTGGTGGCTTACAAATCGAAGCAATAGGACACGTGAACGGCTTATTTGTGTCAAATAATATACGCTAGATAGAGAATTTTCGCGTAGTTTACACGGCGCTTGATTTCCCTTGCGCTTTAGTCGTTGAAGGTATTATTTAACTTCTTGTATTGGTATGTTATAGATGGCTGGTTCTAGCGGTAAGAGCAAAGTATGGGAATACTTTGTATGCCACAGTGATGGTGTACTTTGTAAAATATGCTCATCATTGTTAAGTCAAGGTTCCGCCGATTCCCAAAAGAAAAACACCAGTAATTTGTGGAGTCATCTCAGATCGAAACACAAGAGCAAGTATGATGAGATTTCGCAGACGCAGTTAACGCGAAAAAGGCCAGCTGAAGCTTCCCAGTTTAATCGGCAACCTTCATGGGAACACATAATGGATAAATTTAATAAATGGCATGGAAATGACGCAAGAACGAAATCACTTGATAAAATAATAATGGAGATGATAGCCACTGACAACAGGCCATTTGCAATAGTGCAAGATGATGGATTCCGCAGGCTAATAGAAACCATTGAACCTCGCTACGCCCTAAAGACTGAGAAGTATTTCAGAACAGAAATGCTGCCACAAATATATGAACTTGTGAGCCAGAAAATAATGACTCTTCTCGTGACAGAAAATGCTGGCGATGGATTGGCATTTACTACAGACTGCTGGTCAGGACCAACAGAATCACTTATGAGCTTGACTGTTCATTTTATAAATTGTAATTGGGAAAGATTCCAAATTGTATTAAACATCAAGGCCATGCATGGCTCGCATACTGGAGAGTACATAGGAACCACTTTTTTGGATTTACTGCAACAGTGGAATATTGACAAGAACCGTGTGTTCCTAGTTCTTCGTGACGACAGCGGGGCAAACATGGTAAAGGGTTTAAATATGGTAGAACTTCCCAATCTAAGCTGCTTTGCCCATAGCCTTCAACTTGTTATTAATGATGGGCTCCAAGCACAAAGAGCTGTGTCTGACCTCTTGGCAAAAGTAAGGAAGATTGCCACACATTTCAACCATTCGGTTTTGGCCAAACAGCGACTACAAGATATACAGCAGTCGCTTGACCTGCCCGTCCATGCAATAGTGCAATCAATACCAACACGGTGGAACTCCGCCTTACACATGCTGCAGCGAGTTTTAGAACAAAAAAGATCGCTATCATGGTACTCAGCAGAGCATGGCCATATCCAAAATTCATTGCCCAATGAGCACGAGTGGAGTTTGATCGAAAATTTGATTGAGACGCTAGAGCCCTTCAACAGAGTTACTCTTGACATTTCAAGAAAGGATGCAACTATCTCTCTCATCATACCGAGTGTTGGCGTTTTGAAGCTGCTATTAGGATCTTCGGGGCCGGAAACCAGGGGTATAAAGTCCATGAGGGAGGTTATGCTTCGAAGTATCAATTCAAGATTTTGTAAAATTCAAGAAAACAGGCAGGCCATGCTGGCTTGTCTGCTGGATCCACGATTCAAAGATAGGGCAATTCTGGATGAAGCAAGCAAACAGCGGGCAATACAATGGATGGAGGAAGAGTCAAATGCCTTAGCAGCGTCTATACCTACTGCAGAGCCTGAAGTGACACAGCCAGGTCCAAGCTCGCTTGATACTATGTTTGACTTGATTTTGCATCATGAAAGACCATCATCTGGTACAGGCAGTAGTCAGCTCCATCAATATATGCTGGAGCCAGTGGCTGACAGAAAGAAAACGGATGTATGCAAATGGTGGCATGACAATGCTTGTCGATTTCATATCTTAGCTATATTGGCCAGAAAATACCTTTCGGCACCACCAACATCTGTTCCCAGTGAAAGAGTATTCAGCACCGCTGGGAATATCTATGCAGATAACAGATGTTCATTGCTTGGAGCCAATGCAGAAAAACTCTGCTTTCTCAACTATAACTTGAGACTGTTAAACTGGAGCTATTGAGATTCCATAAACTTACATAAGTGTTCTTTCTTTTTCACCATGCACACAATTTTCTTCAGCACTGTGGCTTTACACTGTTTGTTTCTAATATGAGGCGTTGAAAATCGCTATTCTTAAAAAAACTTAGTGATGCACAAATTTGCATTTTTTTATAATCATTGCATGAGTTTCAACATTTATTTCTTTTGCAAGAAAAACACAGAATTCTCAGAGTGTTGTTTGTTACTTGTAGCAATTTTTTTATGTGAAGAAACATCGGTATCGTTATCGGCTTATCGGCCTAGTTTTGGAAAACTAGCAGTATCGGTATCGGTTCAAAAAGGCAGTATCGGTCGGGCCCTAATTGTAACAACAATATCTCACCAGTAATACGTCATGAAAAAGATGCAAAAGAATCCAGGAATTCTTATTATCCATCTCCAGTAAGCGGAAAAATATGCAATGAATGTCATCATCATATAACCAATAGACACGCATATATTACAAAGAAATATAACGAGTCCTCTGTGCTTTTTCTTGACGAGTTCTTGAGCTAAAAGTCAAATACAGCTTTGCAGTTCAATTTTCATAAAAGTGCTCTATTTTCTTTACGATTAACAAGACATCAAAATTAAAGTCTTTGCTCTCTGAGTTCGTAATGAACATTCATAATCTAATTACCATGGAAAAATGTTTAGTTATAAGCCATGGTACATCCACTGCCATACAACAAAAAACATATCCAGCTTATCCAATAATTCACAGCCGAACTGTATCCAAAATTAACCAACATTAAAATTGTGAGACTGCCAAGAGTAGCAGCTCGTTTGCCAAATCTAAAAAAGGATGATCATTTATAACAAAATAGCAATGCCCAAGTCAAATATACGGACACGGAGCATATGGTACCGGTATGCGACTTATAGTTTATTCTGTTATCATGATCATTCAAAAGAATCAAAGCAAAATTGATAATATCGATGACGTGGCAAATTACATAGCAACAGGTACAGTCACATCTGGGTATTGTGCACCTGAACTGGTATGACGCAATTCCACGTGGTGTCGCAATATTCCTAAAATAGCAAAATTTGGATTGAAATATCGATCACTATGTAGCACTCGGGGCGAAAAAATAGGGGCTCTACTGATTAGAGTATAATGGCCAATGGTTGGACTGTAGTTCTGACATTTTTCATCATGAAATGTCGATAAAAATAAAACAATTACTATTGTGTCATGACTAAACCTTGACATAATATCTTCCAATCATATGGTTTGATTTGGCTAGATATACATTTGTAATAAATAAGCGAGAGAGTAAAAGTATAACGAACCAATGTACAAATGAACTAATTGACAATATTCAAATATACCGCCTTTAACCCTGCTAAAACGCTTAAATCACTTGAAAATATAAGAAACAAATACTTGTCTGATAGTGCTCCAGAGATTATTCCACTAGCGAGGGCACCGATTGAAAAACTCGATGTCAGGAATGGTTTTTCCCACTCTTCGCAACATACTAAATTGAACTGCAGAATGAAAGTTGCAATTAATCGCAGACTCTTAACGTACACATGCTGTCATCGTTTAGTATTTAAATTGCAACTTGTATAAATGTTAGTAAATATAAAAACATTTTTCATGAATTGCGGAGTTCAATTCGACCCAGATAAAAAAAAGCAAGCACAATATACAAACAATTCAATGATACATGAAATAGCTAAACCAACAAATTACCATCATAGTCAAACGAGGATATCTGAATTAAATCAGAAAAATATGCGATTCTAATCGATATTCTTATGTTCATTGTAAGCTGCGGCTTTAAAGACATTTTTTTTCTTTATTTGTGGCTGATATTATCTACCTCCATAGCTGCAGTTGGTTTGCCGTCCCTGTTGTCATATACAAAACCATCTTCACACGGTTTGATAAGACTTCTATTTACTTGAATATCGTTTTCAGCTGATTGATTAGTTTGGACTTTAGCGGTAATTCTTAATATATATAAGAAGATCATGGATTTTGTAACTAAACATACTGTTGTACAATAACGTATTATTACTTATCGATTTTAATCGGTAAGTATGTTGATAGGTATTTGTCTGTCTGTATGTCTGTAGTCTGTTAGATGTACGCGATATCTCACGAAAGCAAGATTGAATCTGCTCCAGATTTTGCATGTGCATTCATCTTTTGGGCGAATTATGTCGTATAATTAGCCAGTTATTAATTAATTAGTGATGGGACACAAGGTGTCACTATGGATTAAGAGCGCTGTTTTGGGGATCCCCTAACTTTCGATCGATAAGTCTTCGGTCTCTGACCGATATTTTCGTTTAATACATCGTTGGGTCATGGCTTAAAAGATTGTTGCTGACGACAAATACTAAAATTTTGTAATAATGAAAATAATTGTAAAATATATATATCTCACAGGAATTTTAGACTGGAGTTTTATTTGTTGTCCGAATAAAAGATTCGAGAATAATAAGAAATATTAAATCTGGTCACTTAGATACACAGAAATTGTCGTATATTTTGTCGAAACTATATATAATATTACAAAATATACATTTTAATGAAAGCAATCAAGACAACGATGGAAAGATTATTATCTGTACCTTCGGCAGTTACTTAACGTTTTATTATTCCCCAAAGATGCAGAAATATAACTGAACAAATATGAGTTGTTAGAGTGAAAATCATTCTGTAACAAAATAAATTACTCAAGATAATCCAGAAATTTGACAACTTGGTCCTAGAATCCGGTTAGCTAGAAGTCATATATTTAGATTTTAAGCCAAGCAACTAGAATACAATTACAAAAGTGAATCAAAAACACACTCACTTTCGGAACTAGGCATCTATGCGGCGGTGCATAAAAAACAAAAACTGACGAAAAGTGTACCATTCCTTCCGGTATTGCAGTGATTATCAAACTTGCTAAGATTAGTTTGTGATATGCGCTGGTAGATCCCGATTCCTCAAATACATCGTCCATTTTCATCAACGACAAACGAATTTATTTACATCACGACATTTTCAAATTTAGGCATTACACGCTTTCGGGAGAATAGACTGTAAAAATAATAATATACTTTTTCGCAACTGTTCCTTTGATATCTAGCAATAATATAATTTAATAGGTTTTCCTATGTTTCAAGACACTTGTATGCAAGATCGCGGCGACTTTTAATTAGAGATTGAATGCCTCGCAAGAAAACTAGGATCTGCAGTCTATGATGCGGTTGGATGTACGCGAATGAAACACTGCGTGTCTTGCAGAAATGAACTTGAATATCCATGGTACGTTATTCCGCAAAGGCACGCTTACATTTCAATAAACAACACAACAGAAATAGGAAGTGATAGTCACGTTGTTGCCAGGCCTGTCTGCAGGTTTGCTTTTTTCCTATGTTTTGTAGTTTTTTTGCTACAATCCGTGCTTAGAGCATATTTATATTTAAGCTTATAATATAAATTTAGGCAATATGCTAGCATCAGACATCAGCAACAAACTAATGCTAAGACTTTCTCGAGGCCCTAAATGATTTTACGACAACAGTATGTTACTATTAAGATTTACTGTCAAAGTCCAAAAGAATCAATCTGCTGATTTTATTCATGTAAATAGAAGTTTAATCGAACAGTGTGAAGATGGTTTCGTATATGACAATAGGGTTGGCAAAACAACTGCGGCGATGGAGGTAAGTTATGTCTCAACAGTTGATGAAAAAGTATATGATGTATATGCAATGTAGAGGGTAATTGTACAAGACTGCTAAAGAGAAATCTCATTTTGCCGTTATTATTGTTGATTTCGATCAGTATGAATATTAGGTCAATCAGCAAGAATTTGGCTGCTAGGAAATATATATTATATATACCAGGGTGGTCCAAGGTTGCAGGGCCGCAAAAACTTTTAAGGAGTTTTCGCGGGCCGAAGTAGGAGAAACCTAAAAATGATCAAAACATCGCGAGTTTACTCACTTTGAATATATTTAAGAATGTGAGTTTATCGTTCTGATCAGTTTTCCAAGGAAAACGATATAAAGCTTTCAGGTATTTTAAAATTGCTTCCCGTGGAAATATCGTGGTATTTTATGTATCATTTCTCGTGTTTGGTTTTGTAATGTCGCTTAAAAGTATATTCTCTGATATTACTTGAAAACACACTAGACAGTGTGATTTACAGTTTTTGTGGCTAAAGAAATACGCCTCCTCTCAGTTTACCTCGGTCACCTGCTTTCTACACTCATATGATAAATTGCTATATTCGAAAAAATTTATTACCTGTAGCGTGAGGGGGCCTAGTGCTACCGTCAAAAAACAAGTCCGTCCGCAGATGAAAAATAAAATGGATCGCGCGGCGCTAACTCAGCTCTGCGGTTCGTCTCTTCTGTCACACGGCCAACACTTGAAAATGGAGGAGTGTTTTGACTAAAAAAGGCACAAAACGTGTCTTCAAATGAAGAGTTACTTGGCGCGAGCTCATCGGCGTGGTCCAGTCTGCACAAGGCAACTCATTCTCCTTTTACCGACTACAGGACGTCATTCCCATATAGGCACCGCACCGTTTTGACGTTTATAAATACAGCGATGAAATTCCGTAATTTTATTTAACAAACATCACTCCCGACATTGGGATTAAGAAAAGGATTATTCCCAGATGGAATAGTTCAAAATTAAATCAAAATTGTCCTGCTAATAAATACAAATATCTGCCAATGGTTCAGTAGGGTACGCTAAAATTGTTCTGCGGGCCGCACGGGATGTGTCGGTGGGCGGCATCCGGCCCGCGTTCCGCAGTTTGGACCACCCTCCTAAAAAACAGAATTCATCAATTTTCCAATTACTTGTATTAATTAAATGAAGTAAATTATTTAATTTTATTTACATTTAACTTCTTGTGCCTAAGATGTTCAGTAATTTAAGACGTATTGGATTTCAATTATCACACTAAAAGCATTTACCGATCAAGATATAGTAATTATTTGCAACTTTCATAGTTCAATTCAGTATGCGACGATGCATGGAAAAGACTGTTCCTGAGTTGAGTTGAGTTTTTCAATTGGTGCTCTCATTAGTGGAATGATTGCTGGAGCAATATCAGACAAGTATTTATTTATTTTATGATTTGCAAGTAATTCGAATTTCAAAGTCGTTATACGTGGGCCTAACACAATATTTCGTTTCGTTGTACAAAAAGTGTTATTAAACAGGTCGGCAGAAAATGTTTATCAATTTTTTACAGGGGTTCAACATTCAAGAAGAATACATCTCAATTTGTAAATAAAATGGAGAAAGTAGATATTGGAATTGTTTTAGTTATTATCAGCAATTTGCCTCATTTTGTACCCCCCGAACTTTTTTCTACAATATTGCGAAGTACCGGAGTTGGAATAGCTCTATACGTCTGCTAGGGTTTCATGTTTGATGTCGCCCTTTCTCGTCTTTTCGGGTGGATATACAAAACTAGAATTGTTTGTGATATTGAGTCCGTTCATCGACCGAGTATTCTCTGTCTGTTGAAAAAAATAGTTTTTTAAAGAACACTCATTTGGTATTTTTAACAACTAAACATAAAAGATCAGCTTGAGCTTTGTCTTAGTAGATATATATTGATATTCCAGTTATTACTAGTGAATTTAATTTAAGTTAGTTTACCGTTTTTTCGCGTGCGTTTACCGCATTTTTGGTTTTTAAAATTTTATTTGACTAAAATGAGGATAAATAAAAATATCTCATTTATTACGCTCAGGTGAGGTATCAGGAAAATAGACTCCGTTCTATGCCATGGGAGGTTTAAGCTTACTCGCTGCACTTCTAACGCTTGTACTTCCTGAAACAAAGCATTCCTCGCTTCCAGAATCGCTGAAAGATTCTATTGAACTCGAAAAATACAGGTAACGCTGTCATTTGTCAATATCTCTATAACAGAAAGATTCTGATTGTTATGGTGGTCGTCTAGGTTGATTGCGCAGTTTATTTACTTCCTATGTAGTGAATTACCTACTTTTACACCAAATTTTAAAATTTCACTATTACCCCCTCGGAAATTCTCATGTAGCCATATTGTTGCATACTATTGCGATGGAGAATTCCCAAATTTGGCCTATAGAAAAATTGATCGCAAGTAAGTCTGTGCTCAAGGCAACAACCCATCCAGTGGACGATAGTCGGCTGTGCAGTTAAAACACCAAATCGAAACATTGCCGGGTATTCCTGTAAATTAGACGTGTGGGGCATTTTATTTTATATATGTAATTCAATCTTTTTCAGATCGGCATGCACTTGTACAAGAAGAGATATCAATTTTAATAAGCCACCTACAAATCTCATGGGGGATGGGGATCTCATTGAAATTGGGATTACAGCCTGACTGCATTATTTCTGATTAGGTCTCCATCTGAAAATCATTTTTCAATTTCCAGCTTATCTAAACATTTTTTGTACCTATTTGTCCTAGATGACCTAGAGTCCTAGTCTCTTATATCAACTAGCAATAGTGCAACCGCATTTTAACCCCAACATAGATTTCCATTCGTTTACAAATATTAGTACATTCTTTATTTAAATTCAAAATATAGTTTATGATTCAACTACACCAAGCCTGAACATATGAGATGTACAATACTTGGTGGCAAGTAACAGTCTTGTTTACTTCCAGTATTATTGGACACGTTTAGTGATCGTTTCAATGTTTTGTTATTGTTCTTAATAATTTTCGTCTTCATCATTATAAAATCGCCTTTCTCTTCGAATACTGGACTAATTGCTTTGCAATTTTCAGTGGTTTAAATTGACTTTTTTGCCAGAAGGCTATCATTTTTATTTATTCCTAAAATGTCTATGAATCTTATGAGATCTAATATTTAATCCAGAATTGCGCTGTATTACGTTTTAATTACGGGAACACGGTTTTTAATCCGTCAAGCGTGGCGGCTGACTGTGAAAATTCTTGCGACTGAAAAATTGGAGTTTTTTGAAGTTACGTTACCGGTAACGTCAAAGGTGAAGACTGCTTCGCTCTGGTCTACGTGTCCATATCTTTGAGCGTTGCTCTCTTGTTATTTCTTATTATCGTGGATGTGAATGTATGTAGGTGCAGCATTCTATAAGTGCGTTTATTTACGGTTACATATAGACTACATGTGAGTTCAATTGTCAATAAGTGCAAATTCTATGGGTAAAAATAACATATATATATATGTTCTGGATGCAAGCTACGGGAGCAAAGATATTGGAAATCAGTTGGCAACGATGGTTTGTTTAGTCCACCGATCTTTCGCATTCTAAGTCATTCGAGGGCCTCTAGTCCATGCAGTATAAATATCAAAATGATCTTTTTGTCTTCGGATAAGTTTAAGTATAGCCTTGGTAGTCAAAAATACATTGAGAAAAATCTGGTAAGGACATGGCGGAAACTGGCTATTGGTACAGTTAAATGGTAGGTTGTTAAATAATTGATTTTGTGTTTGAAAATTACGTATACGGTGCATGTAAAGTTGAAAACACCTCGAAAAAGAGGCATCAAAAATATTACAATGCTGAACTGTCGATGAATTTAGTTTCGGATTAAGTTTAGCTGAATACACTCATTTTTCCAACACATAAACAAATTGAAAATCCGTGGAAGAATTGGCGTCGAGGGCACATTCAGCGCCTCACATATTATATATAATATTGACGATATATGTGTTTTCAACTATTCCTGGTTTGGTTTATATAATTCAACTCTTATTCTCGCCTATAGCAACAATAAAAGTATTTTACCCAGAGTGCATTCAAAATGTCGTGTCCCATTTGTCCCAAGTGTCCCACTCGTTCCACTTGTCCAAATGGGACAAGTGGTACATGTGGGGCAAGTGGGACACGTCATTTTAGAGACACCATTTTACTTACACGCTAAAGACAATCACGCTAAAAAGTCAAATCTTAGACCTCTGCTGTTTTGCAGTTAATTGCGTTCAGGTTCAATCTGATACATTTGCCATGCTTCATGCGATGGGATATTTTGTATAAACTACGGCAATACGGATATCAAGGAAAATGATTGTTCAAACCTTGTCAAAAAGACACTAAAGATGATTCTGAATCGAAAAAGCGGCATTTTAATAGAGGGTGAAAGCTAATTCTCAAGTCAGAATTATCGGGAAACCTAAATGATTTAAAAATAATAGGCACGCTATATTTTGGTACAAGTAATCTGGCAAATACTTTTTGTCGAGATAGAACCACAACTAATTACTTATTCAACATTTTATTTGGTAGTTCTAAATGTTTCCAAATACTAAAACAAAAACTAGTGAAAAACCCGAACCTGTCTCCTCTACGACACATAAACTCGGTCGATGGCAGCTTTATTTTGAAATATTCTCAAGTGGGAGAATGAATCTATTGATTCTATCACAAATTCTTGATTCATAGTGTTCCTTCTGTTCAATATTTTGTGATTTTAATTTGTGAAGTTGAGTCATGAGATGCAAAATGCACTGGCAACAACGTGACTATTATTTTCTATTTCTGTTGTGTTGTAATTTGTAATGTAAGCGTGCCTTCGCAAAATGTCGTAAAATAGATGTTTGTGTTTAAATTGATCTCCGTGAGACACGCAATGTTTCATTCGTGTACAGCCAATCGCACCATATATTGCAGATACTAGTTGTTTTGCGAAGCGGTCAATCTATGATTTAAAGTCGCCATAAGCTTGCGTATAGGTGTCTTGAAACATAGGAAAATCTGCACTTGGAATAAAAATATATCATTGTTAAATATACAAAGATCAGTTGCAAAAAATTATATCAACATTTATATGTGAATGAATTCATTTGTCGTTGACAAAAATGGACGATGTTTTTGAAGAACCGGGATCTACCAGCGCATATCACAAACTAATCCTAGCAAGTTTGATAATCACTACTATACCTCAAGCAATGGTAAACTTTTCGCCAGTTTTTGTGTTTCATGCACCGCCGTATAGATGCCTAGTTCCGAAGATTGATCACCAAGTGAGTGTGTATTCGATTCAGTTTCGTAATGTCTTCTAGTTTCTTATAATAAATTCTCAATATTTGAATTTGAGCTAACCTGATTGAAGAAACAAGTTGCACAATTCCTGAAATATGTTGAATAATTTTTTTTTATTACAGAATGATATTCATTTCAACAATTCATATTTGTTCAACTATATTCCTGCATCTTCGGAAAATAACAAAACGTTGAGTAACTGCCGAAGGTACAGATAAGAATCTTTGCCTTGTTGTCTTGATTACCCCAATTAAAATGTCTATTGTTATTTGAAATATACGACAATTTCTGTGTATCGAAGTGACCAGTTTCAATTTTTTTTTTCTTGGATCTTTTTATTTGAACAACAAACTAAATTCCAGACTAAAATTTCTACGAAGTATAGTTTCTAATTCTTTTCACTAAGACCAAATTTTAGTATCCGTCGTCAGTAAAAATCTTTTAGGCCATGAACCAACAATGTGAAATGTTAAGTTATTGTACAACAGTATGTTTAGTTACAAAATCCATGGTCTTATTATATTTATTATCATAAAGATTCACCGTTGAAATCCAAACTAATCAATCTTCTGAAAAATATATTCGAATAAATAAAAGTCTCATCGAACCGTGCGAAGATGGTTTCGTATATGACAACATGGACTGCAAAACAACCGCAGCTATGGAGGTATATTAGCAATAAATAAAATATTTAAAATAACAAATCATTAATTATCTAGTTAATCTAAGGGTTCGGGTTAGAAATGATATGAAAATTTGAATCTCCGGCGCAATCTGCATTCCCAGCCCTAACCCTAACTGGATTATTTCTATTTTTATATTTTGATTGGCCCTTTTTATCGGGTAATGAATTTTCAGCTGCCTATTCAATTCGTGGCTAATACGAATGCATTTATAATGTCTTGCTTTGTCAATTTAATTGTGTGTTCTGTGTGACATGCGGCTGAGTCAAGGAATGAGTACATTGCTATGAAATATGACAGTAATCTACGACCATAAGAAAGCGTGTCAAACTGCCCATTAAGGTCTAGATTCGATTCGTAATTTTGCGATGTTACGAATTATACAAATATCATATGTTCCTGCAACACTGAGTCCGCTCTATTACAATGCTACCACCCTAAGATTTTCTTCAGGTAATCAACGTTAGAAAAATACCAAGATCTGCGATAAAATAAAAAAGACCATAATTTACTTTACTACAATAAAAATTGGTTGTACAGTAATAACCCGGTAATCGACCAAGAAATTCGAGTCAAAAATGCTGCGGTATTCGAACGGGAATTAGAATCTCGAACAACCAAGCTAAGTGCGAGACCAAGTGAGATGACGTCACCCGAACTTACCCGAAACCGAACTTAATCAATATACAGAAGAAAATCTTAGTATACAGTTGAGAGTTTCCAAATAAATCAGGTCGTCCTAATATTAAACGCTTGGTCAATCGAAAAAGTTTCCAATAATCTGACTAGGCGAACAAATTCATTGAATGTTTTTTTTTCTCAGTTTTATGCTGCAATATATCATTAAATAACTTTAGCTGTATGGATGCATGGGTTTTAGTACTTTCGTTTGTTGTTCGTTTCTGTTGATAAAAATCATCAGATATAGTATGACTAAAAAGTGCGGCCCACTTATTCGGCAGTGACTGATAAAATGACCCGCGATAACAAATAGATTCGTCAATCATGATATAGCCCATTGAACTGTTTGTTTATTTTGCTTTTTTATTTTTTATTTTGACTGAGCTGGACTCAGCAATTTAAAAATTGAGTTTGCATGTGCATGTGTCTTATAAGAGACCGCGATTATTTGCAACTTCAATTCTGCAGTTCAACTTAGTATGTGGCGAAAAGTGGAAAAAACCTTTTCTAACAGCGAGTTTATCAATCGGTGCCCTTGCTAGTGGAATAATCTCTGGAGCACTATCAGACAAGTATTTGTTTTTTACATTTCATAGTGATTCTAAACGGGCATATTGGAACATTACCATTTCGTTCATTTGTGCATTGGTTAATTGTAGGGAGTTTTATGACAAATGTGTCAGTGAAAAAAAGTATGTAATCACTTTATGCCAAAATAGTATAATACATCAAAACATTACAAAGTAGTCAAGTCCCATTAAATTTAAACGATACTTGTGATGCATTTCCCTATTGGTCAAATGTCCAATTAGTCCGAGCGGAATCTAAAACTAATATAAGTTCAATTTCAATTTTGTGTTATTTCTGAGACCCGAATTCGAGCAAGTGTCCTATGAACTTACAAGACATTTATTCTTTCGCTCATTTATCACAAATAAAGCTCAATCAAACATTTGATTGAAATATATTATGCCAAGATTCAGTCATTACAATTCGATATTTCAATCCCAATATTGCGACACCTCGTGGCATTACGTCATACAAGACCTCTATCCATCAAACAATCCAGTGCTCTTTGCCCAGGTGTGACTGTACGACTATCTATGTAATTAGCTACGTCATCGGGATTTGAAATTTTGCTTTTGACACTTTTGAATGATCAGATAACGGAGCTCACGGTAAGTCGCATAGGCCATAGGCTAACGATACATTAGGTTCCGAGTACATATATTCGAGCATTGCTATTTTGTTATTAACAAAAATCCATTTTTTAGGTTCGGCAGAAGAACTGCTACTCTTGTATGCGTCACAATTTTAATGTTGGTTATTTTTGGATACAGTTTGGCAGTGAATTATTGGATGAGCTGGATATTTTTTTTGTTGTATGGCAGTGGAGGCAGCATAACTTACAGCTTAACAATTGTCCATGGTAATCGGAAACAGTAATAATATTATTAATGGTTCAATATTAATTTTGATGCCTTGTTACTGGTGAACACACTAGAGTACTTTTATGAAAATTGAATAAACATCTGCAATGCTGTACTTGACTTTCAGCTCAAGAACTCGTCAAGAAAGAGCACAGAGGCCTCATTGTATGTCTTTGTAATATATGCTGGTCTGTTGGTTATATGATGCTGACATTCACTGCATATTTCTGCGGCCACTGGAGATGGATAATAAGAATTCCTGGATTCTTCTGCATCTTTTTTATGACGTATTACTGGTGAGGTATTGTTGTTACCAAGTTTTATTTTCTAGTGAATTGAGTTACTTATCAGAGCCGTGAGTTTGGTCTGGGTTGCATTATGCCTAAGTCAGTATGGGCCATGTAGGACATTCGATATTGGTTAATGAAATATTATAATTCTGATGTTACTTTAACTAATGAGTTCATTGCAGAGCTGCAAATAAAATATTTGAAGAGTTTAACTTGTGTGGTCATGATTTGGGTCTATTCCAACCACGCCACTAACCAATCTGTGCCAATTTATATTTTAATTTGCTATTTACCGATTCAATATGCTTCAATATACATGTCCCATAATAGAATCCCAAATTACAATTTCCCCCTAAATGATACTGTGTAGCTGTAGGCTAGAAAAGGTTTCTCAGAACAGTAGTATATCATTTTTTCTTAAAAAACTATTAAGTTGTTGTTTTGGAAAAGTGCCGCATTTTGACTTTAGCCATAGAACCTCTTTCAACTTATCACCTAGAAGAAGACATAGAGGTGCTTTGAGGTATTCGACTATCTTTCTGGGCTCTCTGTGACTCTCTTCAATTGTTAGCGGATTAGTCCTAATGCTGCAGTGTAACTAAATTTATAACATAATTTTCATAGAGTTTTTTGTAATTTCAATACTATGCTCAATTGCTCATACACAAAAATTAAACCAAATAAATTCCATTTCCCTCCAAAAATCTATTTAATACCATTTTCGCGTTCAGTTATTTGCCAGAATCTCCGTGTTGGTTGATGTCTAGAGGAAGAACTGAGGAAGCGGTAGACATTGCAAAACGATTTTTGAATAAATCGAAATCATCTGAAGCATTTGTCGAACTTATGCAAAACACGAGACTGAATGACCAAAATGAGGTATTATTGGGAAATTATGTGAAAAGCAATTACGTGAACAAACCAAATTAAAAATAAACTCGACCTCTGGATTGATTATGTATAACTCCCGATTACAACTCCTGTGTTGTTACCTATTTCAACAAAAAACCTTCATCTAATACCTCAACATATTTTCAAATTCTTCAGGCATTTCAAACAATGTGTTTTTTCAAATTTTAGTAATTTTATTCACTTTCGCGAAATATTTTAACTATTGAAAAAGTGCAATTACGTTGATTATGATGATTTTAATTGCACAGCAAAACAATGTTGAATCGAAGAATCGAAAACACGTCAGTTTTAAGAAATCGTTATCCATGCTTTTTCATAACAGAATTTTGCTGAAAAGAACTCTGATTTTATGTTGGTTATGGTAAGAAATTGAAAGTACAGTATTTTACTCTAAATCTATCATAAAGGAAATAAAATAATAGGGGTATATATAGAACCAGATAAGTTCGTTCCCCCATACATATCACAGATTATATCCCATAAAAAGCGCCTTGTGTGTACTTTCTGGTCTTGACGAAAATAATAATAAATAGAAGTTTGAATACGTCAGAACGTGGATATTTTTTTTTTTTCAGGATGGTTTCATTTGTATGTTATTATACATTTGGATATAACACTTCCAACTTGGGAGGAAGTAGATATTGGAATAGTTTTCAATCAGCTGCGGCAGAAATACCTGGATGGATACTTGCCTTTTTTGGACTAAAAAGGCTCGGACGCCGTTTGTCAATATCTGTTGCCTTTTTGTTATCAGCAATGTGCCTCATTTTGTCTCCACTGCTCGGATCTTGTGAGTTTTATTTTATTGCTAAATTGTTTATTGTGTAATTTTTGACTTATGTATTGAAAATAAATTAACACGAGTCCCGACCAATATATGCATACAATATACTGGCAGCACTGTTCCAAATGTTAATTGAAGAACCGGAGTGTCATCAATCGCATATATAGGCTTACCATATATATGAAAAGAGAAACCGGGCCAGTTCGGAAATGACAAACCTTGGTTCGATTCCGAGGCTTAGTGATATTAGACTCATTTTGTAATATTGGAAAATGTGCTATTTCTTTTGTGCGTTACAATAACGTTATATTAAAAAAATAACTGGTTATTTAAAATAACTGGCATATTATACTGATAAATTCAATTTTATCGTTATCTTGGCAACCATATGCACATAATCGAACGTTCAATGTTCTTTACTATTGCCTACCATATTTACCTCACCGTCATAACATTGTTGTGAGGCTGTCTGTGGTGCATGAGTCGACTTTCTTTTGTTGAAACGGTGATTGCTTGGTACATACCAGGTCGCCATGACGTACCTATTGCCCCTTTTCTTTAATTTATTTATTAAATATTTAGTTCGATCTTATTCTATTTATCACGTTACTGTTAGACTTCCCCAAAGGGTGCCGCCGCTCGATAACCAGTTTTGGTTTTCGGCGTCTTCTTTCGGACCTCCGGAAGTATGCGCACCAAGATGGCGAACTCCAAGATGAACTCAGGTTGTGTACCAGGTTAGGGTTCAGGTTTTGCGACATCTTGGTGCGCATGCTTCAGGAGTACCCTCCTTTCACCCTGGAATGCGACTTATTTTCGTATTTTTTTAAATTTGTGTATGTATATTGTATAGTTTCAGCATGGTGAGGAAATAAATTAATGATTACTGTTAACGTTACATGTTTAAATGACGTTGATATTAATCATACAACTATTACATAACAATATATATACATCAGTTTTCTCTCTTTCTCATCGAACTATTAAATGAGTCGCAAATCAGGGGTAAATGGACTGACTCCGGTAAAAAATTGTATTATTGAATGAAAAAATATTTATGACTGCCGCACTGCACGATCGGGACATTTAAGTTTACCTAAGGGGACGATGGTGAGGCTTGTCAAAATTGGAACACTCCCAGCTAAACTTGGACGTATGGTAAGCCTACACGGCTACATTATGTACATAACTGTAGGATGACTAATGAAACAATCCATGTGTGCAAATGAATAAAACAATACAAATGTTGACATTTGAAAAATCTTATTGCTATAAAAAGCTTCTTAATTTCAAGTGCGATTTTCAGTTATACGAATCCTGCATAGCGGCATATATTTTCTGCATATTTTATTTTGTTTAGATGAAAAAGCCAGTATTGCAATGGCGAGGATTGGAAAAGTATTTTCATCATCGACTATGGGAATGGTTTATTTATATACAGCCGAACTTTTCCCTACAATATTGCGAAGTACAGGTGTTGGAATAGCTTCTACCTCGGCTGGGGTAGCATGTGTGATGGCGCCCTTTCTCGCTTTCTCAGGTTGGTCTCAAGGCTGTATGTTTGTGTCGTTGTCACTGTATATCGTGAGCGTACTCTCTGTCTGGTTAAATATTAGCTTCAAATGTATTTTTTCAAAATATATTATTATTCCTGTTATCACTACTGTAGTGCGATTATAATGAATGAGTTTACAGCTTTTTCTCATGTCAGTCGCTACTTGTCGTTGTTTGAATGTGAAGATTAAATAACAATTTTCGATTTATTACGTTCAGGTGAGGTATCAGGAAAATGGATTCCTTTTTATGTCATGGGAGGTTCAAGTTTAATTGCTGGACTTTTAACGCTTATACTACCTGAAACAAAGCATTCCTCGCTTCCGGAAACTTTGAAAGATTCTGTTGAACTGGAAAAATACCGGTAACGCAATATATATCTCTATAACAGGGAGGTTCTGATGGATTTTTATAGTGGGCGTCTGCAGGTGATATATATACTCTATTCCATATTCGTTTTACTAAATTATTCCCTGAACGATATTCTACAGACTGCTTTTATTTCATCCTAACGATCGTAATAAATCATACCAAAACTGATACCATTACTGATACTCAAATACCATATATATGGTAGATATAAATTTACTCAGAATTAAGTTTTTTAAACATTTTCTCCAAAGTAGTGGTTATTACCTAGAATCGATATTGAAGCGAGGTATTGAGTTTAAAGAATTTCGCACGCGTCTTCAATCTCCTATAAACAAAGTTTTAAGACAGGTAATGACAACATTTCCACATCCGCTAAGTCGTATTACGTCACCGAATTGATTGAGAATTCATGTTCCAATCGGAATATGCCATGATGCGCAATATATTTTTCGTATTATCAGTATTCGGTTTCATAATGTGCTTCAATTTTCCGTCTTGTTACAAAAATAAACCCAAAATCTTATAAAACCCGCGTTAAAATTCCTAAGAAACAATTGCCACTCTGATGCTCTTATCCAGAGTAGTAACTAGCGCTGGGCATTTTTGAATACCTGATAATTTCAGAATCTGATCGAACATTTTTTTCGAATCGATTTTCGAATACTTGGAACTTGGAAATGTAATTGTATTTGAAGAAACACTAAGAAAAAAAGAGTCATATGTTAGAATTGCATTCTAAAAACATGGGTTCAATAAAAGAAATCGAGGAAATCGCCTTGACGTTTTGCGATAACAAATAAAACAAGATATTAGCAATTCGAAAACTTCGTACGAACCGATTGATTCGAATTATTTACTAATCGATTCGAAATTCCCAGCCCCGGTAGAAACAAAATGAGCAGCTTTTACCTATAGGCTATAGATAAACGACCGCAAAAAAAGTTTGACCAGCCAACCAGTCTACGATTTACAAAATTGGTTGAAACGAAACATGATGGCCAGTTATAAATAAATATATTTTTAGATTGTCAAGAACTTGTACTTCGAGAAAAGACATCAAAACCGATGCCAACTGCGAATGATTGGAACGAAAAGTTTATAGAAACCAGTTTCATAGCATGAATAGTTTTGATTTGATATTCATCCAAAAAAAATTTTCATCATACGAATGAATCAACGAACAATGATTTTATTTTGAGATTAACACAGCTTCCCATTCAGAAATAAACATTGAAAAAGTTATAATTCAAATTCCAATTTTATTGAATCCAACATACCACTCGTTATTGAGCTAAGCTAAAGAATAGAAATGTTGTTGTAGTCCAAGGGTGGGCGAGATTTTGTCAAAAATTTTGCCCACCTAGACTGGCTGGCCATGTAAGTATAACGTTAAAAGTTACGTTTTATGAACAATATTTACAGTGCCACACAAGCGAAATTGAAAAACAATAGGCCTGGTGACGAAACTACGTTTAATTGCAATTTTAATAAACCCTCGAGTTATTTTTAGGTAAAAAAACATCTAAATTTGTTTTTAGTTTGGTTGTGACAGCATCAGGCGGACTGATCGAATTACCCAGTTTGCTCATGTCAGTGTAGCCCACTATAACTGTTGTGCTATTCTTTCCTGTGTGTTTTCATATAATATTATTTTGGAACTTCGCTAAAAGCAATGCGATTGATAATATTTCATGGTAGTTCAAGTTACGGAGTTTGAGTTTGTTTGCATGCTTCCGTTGAGATTGAGCAGTATTTTGGATTTCCCCTAATGGGGGTAGCCAAAGTCGAAATTATGAAGAAAATTAAAAAAGCTATAAATCAATTAGCCATTTTGTCAATATGGTGATTTCTACCTTACCAAGTGATGCTTAAATAAATGAACATCAACTGTTATTGCCAATTTTCGCAATTAAAATGCCATATTTCTTTTGACACACACGCGGGGTTTGTGTGGAAGAAAACCAGATCGTGGAATGTTTTTTTCGAACCAGAATTTTGGGTAAAACAACGGGACTAAAGCGTACGATCAATTCCGGTAAATTACGAGCATTAGTCCATTGGGAGACATCTCTTGCAGGAAAGACAGTAATTTGGCCACCTAGGGTTGTGTTTAGACAGCATTAGCCGTTGGAACGATTGATGAACATCGGCGTGTTTATATTTTTCGAGCCCAGCAAAATGTGTAGTTTAATATTGTATCATGATTTACAGACTTGTTTACGTTGACTTCCATTAAAGTGATTATGACGCAATAATTGTGAAGTGACGTGAAGCCTGAATATGTTGGTCACGGGCTTCTTTGTCTAGGACTGCTGTCTATTGAACTGTGTAATTATATCGTGCTGAATCTTACTGTATACTGTTTAAAAAAGGCCGTTCGTCCGGCTGATGAATATTTGGATCAAGTTTATTGTGTGCATAGAACCTCGTCTAATCCTGACAACAATAAATCTTGACATGGTGTCAGAAGTGGGATGCTGATTAAAGCAATCCTGAAGACTACCGGACGATTTTAAAACTTGAAATCGTAGGACAACGATTTTACAGCGTCGCAGTGATTGAAGAGTTATCGCGCGACTGAAGGTACTCGATTACAGTAAGATATTTACAATATTTTGGGAAGACGGATTAGGCTACGAAGACCCAAAGCGTAATGGCTGAAGGTTGTGTAAAACCTCCAAATGGCCTTGATATAAAAGCTTGCGGAAATCCATCGCAGATATGAGAAAAATGGAATCGAAAATTTCGAATCTATCTACAAGCTACTGGTATGTCGGCGAAACAAAAGATTGGACTTCTTTTAAACCATATTGGCGATCAGGGAATAGACATTTTTGCAAATTTTACATTTTTTGCGGAAAGGCCAAATCCAAGCGGCGGCGATGCTTTGCCTGCAGAAGATCGCGATGACTATGAAACCGTGATCAAGAAATTTGATGAATATTTCACAAAACGTGATCCGCAGCTTATGTTGCGTGAGAAATTTTGGTTGAAATTAAATCGGGAGCCTGACCAGACTTTCGATGCATGGGTAAACGCAATCCGTCATATGGCGCAAGAGTGTAAGTTTCCTGCCGATTTTGTGAATGAAGCTATACGCGATAAGCTGACGTTTTCTTGTCGCGACGATGCCACAAAACTGAAATTATATGATGCAGGTGCCTCACTTAAGTTAGAAAAAGTGATACAAATTTTATCCCTGAAAGAAGCAACCAGTCGAGAACTAAAAGAAACAAAGACAGCTATGATTGATGCCATAGAAGAAGACGAAAGAAGAGAACAAAGACCAATGAAGAAATATCGAGGTCGGGCTAGGATAAGCACTGACCAGAGCAGGACCAAATGCCGATATTGCAATTACAAGCACCATGCCGGGAAAGATAACTGCCCAGCTGCTCACAAGAAATGCAACAAATGCCACAAGGCTGGTCATTTTTATTATGTTTGTCAAAGCAGAGTTCCGATTAATGTTGGGGAAATACAAAGCCCTAGCAAGCCAAAATCTGATTTTGTGGGTACTATAAATCGATCTAGAAAACGCAGAAAGCGTATGAAAAGGAATTTTTCTAATGATCCAGGGTGATTTATTAAACTAAAAGCTGGAACCGAAAATGAAGAACTTGTTTGGTGCATAGATACTGGTGCACAAGTTTCGGGGATGCCCGAAAATGTGTATAAAACGGCTTTTGGTGAAATAACAGTGACCGATAAAGAATTATTCGGAGCTGGTGGTGTCAAACTAGACGTAGTTGGCTGTGTGGGGATGACGATGACACATGACAAAATCGAGGTCACCGAAAAAGTATATGTGGTGCGAAAAGCATCGAAACGCCTATTGCGGATACCAGCCATACAGAAATTGGGTTTGATACATGAGGTCAAAGGTACATATACTGTAAAAATAGTTGAGTGCAAGAAAGGCTCACGGGAAAACGTACCTTCACTCCGCACTAAGGAGGATGTTTTGAAAGCATATCCCAAATTATTTAATAGACTGGGTAAATTGGAAGGTGAACATACAATTCGCTTAAAAGATGAAGCGAAGCCTTTTTGTGTGACAACACCTCGTAGAATTCCGATACCCCTACTAGGAAAAGTAGAGGCTGAAATAAACCGCTTGGTGAAACTAGATACGTGAAATATACACAATGCCCACTGTAGAACACACTTTGGGAAGAATAGCAAAAGGTTCAGTGTACACCAAGTTGGATGCGAATTCCGGATTTTACCAAATCGAGCTTGACCCAGAAAGTCGTAAACTGACGACGTTTATTACGCCATTTGGAAGATTCATGTTCCGGAGGCTGCCTTATGGGATTTCATCCGCCCCAGAATTGTACCAAAAACGAATGAACCACATTTTGGAAGGATTTTCCAATACGACTTGTCACATGGATGACATAATTTTGAGTACTGACGCTGTGAAGCATGATGAATGTTTAAAACAACTTCTGGATCGACTCCAAGAAGAGGGTATGACGCTAAACATTGATAAATGCGTGTTCCATGCTACGAAACTTGAATATTTAGGCCAAATAATTGGGGAGAAAGGAATTTGTAAAGATCCCGAAAAAGTTAAAGCCATAAACGATTTTCCTACTCCTACTGATGTTTCAGCGCTCAGGCGATTTTTGGGAATGGCGAATCAGTTGATGAAACTTACTCCTGATTTGTCAGAACATACGAAACCTTTACGTGATCTTTTGAAGAAAAAGTATGCTTGGTGTTGGGGCCCAATACAGGAAAAGGCATTTGAGAAAGTAAAGGAGGAACTAACGTCAGATCGAATACTTGCAATGTACAATCCAGAATTGGAAACCGTTGTATCTGCTGACGCAAGTGGATATGGACTTTGAGCTGTTATGCTTCAAAAGCAAGCTTCAGGAGAGCTCAGACCTGTCGCCTATGCAAGTAGATCTATGACTGAAACAGAGTCCAGATACGCTCAGATTGAGAAAGAAGCGTTAGCTATTACGTGGTCTATGGAACATTGGCAAAATATGCTGATAGGATTGAAGAGTCTGAAAATTGAGACAGACCACAAACCTCTTGTACCCCTGTTATCTACGAAGATGATAGATGAGCTACCCATTCGAGTACAAAGATTTCGAATGAGGTTAATGAAATATGATTTTACAATTGTGCACGTTCCGGGTAAAATGCTATACACCGCTGACGCATTGTCCCGAGGACCTATCCAAGAGTTAGACGAAGATAATCAGTTGTTAGCTGATACGAACTGTTATGTTCAATCCATAATGGTTAACTTGCCTGCTTCAAACTCCAGATTGGATGAAATTAGACGTGAATCGAAGAAAGACGACATTATAAAAGTTGTGATGCACAATGTTAAATTTGGATGGCCGGAAAACAAAAAGCAATTATACGGTCCTGTGAATAAGTACTGGAACGAGCGAGCGAACTTCAGCATACATGATGATCTTTTGATGAAGGGAAACAGGCTCGTGATTCCAGAAGTACTCCGAACAGACATATTGAGATATTTACATGATGCACATCAAGGTGTGAGTAAATCGCGTGAACATGCGAAGAATTCTGTTTGGTGGCCAGGACTGTCTCGTGATATTGAAAAAGTTGTGAGAAACTGCAATCTTTGTGAGAAATATAGACGAGATCGAATCGAACCAATGAGAGGAACAGAATTTCCGAAGAGACCATGGTCACGAATTGGCGCTGATTTTTTCTATTACAAAGGAAACAGCTATCTTCTAGCAGTTGATTATTATTCTCGCGATGTAGAAATTTGCATCGTGACCAAGAATGTTGATACAGCGGAAACTGTATTGAAAATGAAGAAGATTTTTAGTCGCCATGGTATTTGTGACGTATTATTTTCAGACAATGGTCCACAGTTTGATTCAAGACTGTTTAAAGAATTTGCTAAGAAATGGAACTTTGAGCAAATGGTCAAACTGGTCAAATGGTGAAACTGAAAGAGCTGTCCAGACAATGAAGGCAATTCTGAACAAGTGCGATGATGAATATCTCGCATTGCTGACATATCGAAATACTCCATTGCATAATGGATATTCGCCTTCACAACTGCGTATGGGCAGAAAGCTGAAAACTAGAGTACCATGCCATCCAGACGAACTTATACCGAAAGTTCCGGAATACTCTAAACTTTGTCAGAGAGAGAGAGAATATAGGAGTAAAATGACAAATGATTATAATCGTCGACACAGAGTTGTTCAAGGCGATGACTTATCTCCGGGCGACAGAGTTTGGATACCAGATTTGAGAACTGAAGGGAGAGTGTTAAGCCGACACTTTGCTCCAAGATCAGTTTTGATTGAGACTCTGAAAGGTACAGTTCGGAGAAATCGACGTATGACTAGAAGAATGTTAGGAGATACTCAGGATGCAGAAGATGTTTTTGAACCAACACATATATCGTCCAGAGAAGAAGATGAGAATCATAATTTTTCAAGAGACAATAACGTACATCCTACACAGCCTAGTGTAAGGAGGTCAAATAGAATACGTCGATCGCCAAGACGATGCATTGAAGAAATGTAATTTCTAGTCCGATAGGTGACAAGCTTTACATCGAGGCAGAATAATCCTCAAAGCTTGTATGCTGCAGAGGTAGTCTACCCTCTAGTAGCTAGATAGGGACTAGGATTTGATTATATGTTTATGACGTTTTAAATGTTAATATTGAATATAAATAATGCGTCATATTAATCACTTTAAAAAGAAAGGGAGATGTTGTATCATGATTTACAGACTTGTTTACGTTGACTTCCATTAAAGTGATTATGACGCAATAATTGAGAAGTGACGTGAAGCCTGAATATGTTGGTCACGGGCTTCTTTGTCTAGGACTGCTGTCTATTGAACTGTGTAATTATATCGTGCTGAATCTTACTGTATACTGTTTAATAAACGCCGTTCGTCCGGCTGATGAATATTTGGATCAAGTTTATTGTGTGCATAGAACCTCGGTCTAATCCTGACAAAAATAAATCTTGACAGTTTAACAACAAGCCCATGAGAAAACTTTTGAAAACAAAGTTCCCTCGGCGGTGCTGTCAAAAGGCTTTCATTTAGCCTTAAATTGTTACGTACGAATTCGCTTTTGATAAGTAGCAGACCATATCGGTTGCCACGGTTTGTTGAATTTTGTACGCGGATGACGTCGAACAAATTCCGAACTTTGCTTTTATCTGATGTATGGAGGGCTGATTACAAGCATATGTTTCGAGTTTATGTATAGTTGATTCGAAGGTTAGTTCGAGGTCGTAAAATATTTCTGGTCAGATTGTTTGTAAACATTCAAATGCATAGAAGAATATTTTCGTATCATCTGGCACTTACACAAACTTGTATGAGTAATCCGGATAATGTGATTTTCAATGAGATGTTTGAAATATAACTTACCCGGCGCCAAGTTCTATTTGTGGTTATGTATATATTTAACGGTTTGAAAGCGCAGGCTTTCTGTTGACACATTAAAAGACACTGCTCATGGTTGGTTGACTGTGCGTAAAGTTTTTATGCACTTTTATATAATTAACATGTACATTTGCCAGTAACCCTGGCCTCACACGCGCAGTGGGGCAAAAACGGTATTTATAAATAAATACAACATATTACATTTACCTAAAACGCACAAGTATTTTTCAGCTGAGCTAGATGCACTTGTGTTGTTTCCTATTTCGCAGCCGTTAACATTTTAGCAGTATTATTTAAAATGGCGAGCAGCGATGTGCCAGGGAATCTACATGAAGACATCTTAACCAAAGAAGGGGAGAGTCTATTTAAAGCACTGGAGTCCTTGCATAAGAATATGGAGAACGCGAAAACACTGTTCGGTAAGAAACTAGAATTACCTCGCACTGTTACAACGAAGATGTAGCTCTGTGGTACAATTTTTATTTTGAAAATAAATGAAATTGGCATATACTGACCAAATTACAAATACTGAGAAGATACTACAACTACACTACTACTTGCTGATACATGTCGTCACGCTAATAACCGAATTGCGTAAGTCATTTTTGGCGATTTTGAGTTTTTATTAAAATAGGTTTTTTTTGTGTAAGGCTGCGCACCTATCTGTTAACTCAGATTTTATTTTAAGTATTCCGAAACCTATAAAAATGGAGATTTTGACATGCACATTTGTGCAATTGTTTCGTCACAATGAATTATCATGTTTACCGCAGGACTATTGTGACGTCACAAAGGCAAAATAATCTCGGCTAAGTATTTTCCATTTTCTGCATCTCGGATTATAGCTTAGCGCGTATTAATTTGAATTTATACCACAGTATAGGAAGACGTGCACTTGTGATATTCACTGTCCGAGTCCAATTCACCTTGGTTGGCTTTTATATTGGGTGCATTGCTGTTATATTCTTTATATTTATTCTCATTCTCATTTCGGTGGGTGTGCAGAACATGTTATATTGATGAAACATATATTTTTAAACATAAAAAATAATGCAATTGAAACTGATTAGCTATTTTGGGGATTAGACATTGTAGATAGTGAGAATTACATTCGTTTTTGGAATGTTTAGTTTTCAGGACTGGTGCATATAGTAAAGATTCAAAATTGCGTATGTCCCCAAGTCTTAGACACATTTCTGCCTAAGTCACAGTGCGCCATTATGACGTCACTTAACTGCGTCATACAAATTAACTTAAATCCGGCTACGATCAAAAAATTGAACCATGGCAAATTATTGACTCTCAATTGCATAACAATATCATTAGGAAGTTTTTTACGTTTTTCTCAAAACTGCTAAAAATGACTTACGAAATTCGGTTATTAGCCTGACGATGTGCTCTTGACATAGAGTTGAGTTCATGCAAAAATTTTATGTTGCTGAATTAGTTTTTACATAATATATTTAGGATTTTGACACTTACGGATTACATTAATTAAGTCCACGTTGTTTTCAATACATGACTTTTCAAAAACAGCTGTAGCCTAAATCGACCACGGAAAAAATAATCTCTGATGACACAATTGACATATATGGTTTGCTTAACATGGAAAAGTGTATTCGCTTGGTAAAACGTTATTTACTAAGTCCTAAGAAGTGCAAAACTGAATAAAACCTGTTTTTATAAACAGCGCCACACTGTTGTCAATGCAAGCAATCTCCAAAAATGTTACGAATTACAACACACATAATTAATTAAATGTCTTTTTAGTTTCTGTATTGTTTTTATACGGGGACACGGCTGGTAGGGTCAATTGAGTAAAGGACAAATCACTTTGACTTGTGCTTGAACTGCTAAAAACTTTGGCCAATCGGTTTTGAAAATGCGAGTCTCACAGACTTTGTCGACTGTATGTGATGGGTTCGCAACGCTAAAAATCCCACTAAAATGAGAAAAAATAATTAAGGTTCAGAAATTCAATATGATCTGATGTTGACATGCAATATTATTTTTAATCGAAGGATATATTTTCACATGCATATAGCAGGATCCACACGACTGAAAAATCTTAATTTGTCATCTGTGGATCTATCAATGAGTAGCAAGATGGACATCGTGGGTTCTTTTGTGCAGTTGCTGCCACAGATTGAAAGCCTCAATCTATCATCATGCAAACTGACAGCTGAAAGTCTGCAGACGCTTTATGAGAAACTAAGAAATTCAACAACTACGGTACGCTTACACTCTTAACGTCTATTTATTTTTATTCTTTGAGGGAGGGAGGAACAAAACTCTGTGGTTTTGTCAGACTGTGGAATTAAGCGTAGTGTTTAACAAGGACATGGGTATGAAAGGAATTGAATCCCTGGGAAATATTGTTAAAAATTGCAAGATTGAAAAGCTGGATGCAAACGAGTGTGCCTTGACTCCTCAGCTTATGGAAGTTTTCGAAAAATCTTTTCGACATATTACTATCAGCCTCCTTTTGGTGTCGTTTTTCTGATTTATAATCTTATATAAATAAATCATATGAGCGTACTGGAATGAGTTGTCAGTTCTATATACATTTAAACAAACAAAACGTTTTTATCGAATGAAATTACGAAATGGTACGTTTGCATAAAACATACCATAGGTTATACAGAATTTTTTTTGTGTGATTGACTTATTCTTTTCAGTTGAAGAATCTCACCATCAGCGAAAACTATGATATTGATGTTGCTGGTATGGCAACTCTTGGGAAATTAATTCAACAAAACAAATTGCGAAAAATTAACATAAGTCGATGCGATCTGACGGTTTATCACCTGGAAAATTTCAAAATATCGCTCAGAAAAGCTGAGGTGAGGAAATATATTGTCAGCTAAATATTTAAATTACTGCTATTGAGATTAATCTATTTGAAAAAATTTCACTTATTTTATTATTCATATTTTTTATTACCCAGTTTATAAATGTGAATACCAATACTGTTTCAGTTCAAAGAACTTGACATCAGCTTCAACCATGTGGGAGCTACAGGGGGCGAACATGTGATGGAAATTGTTGAAGATTGCAAATTAAACACATTAAGAATGCGTTCCAATCAACCTTTATCTCCAGCTATCTTAGATTTATTTTCTGATGTAAAAGCAAGTAATATTAGGAAAGATGAGAAATTTTGGATTCTCGTATCGGTATTAGGTTTAATATTTTGCGCAAAAGGAAAATAATTATGTTTTTATTCAGTCTTGTACAGTTCTAATCTTACATATATCCAATCTCCAAGGTGTACAAGCAAAATATATGAATGCCATAGTTCACAATTTTACATGTGATGCACGAAATAAATAGGTAGAAATTGCATTACAATCGTAAAAGTGAAAACAGTGGTAAAATTTGTACACGTAGTACAAATCTATTACTATCACACCATATATAGCCTTACTTGTGGCGTAGAACCAACACTACTGCTTTTGTGTCTATTGTCTATTTTTTAATCTATTTGATCTCCAAAGATAGAATCTGAAAAATATATATATCTTTTACTTTAAAATACCATAATACGCTCTCACTATGTAAACTGCAGAGATTAAAGTGATGTTATTCTTTTTAACTAGATAAAACACCTTGAGACATCAGTAGCGGAGATAGATTGAATAAAGACGACGAGTCTGAAGAACTTCTACCTATGCTAATATCATCTGTGAACGAAAACTTGGAACTGTTACATCGTCAGCTGAGTGATAAATGCATAAATGTTCTCCAAGAGGCTTTAAATGATGGATTAAACCCTGTAAATAGTGTTTCTATTAGAGTATTTGATATAAATATTATTTTATAGTATGTCTCGGTTATCTCGCGTAATAAGTGAGGATCATTTCATCAAAATTTTTTTTTGGTTTCTGATGTAACTTCTTATTTTCTGAAATGATAGAAAGGCTATAATACATATCCACGTGGAATAGCTTGGCGCCTAAACAGATTTGCTAAGTTGTAACTTTTAGACAAATAATGATTTTATTTTTCAGAATTTAATAATTACTTTCGGCAATTCACAAGAATTGAAGATGAGACATCTATTTGTAAAGAAATCAAGGAAAAGTAAGTATCTTGGATTGTATGGTAACTGGTTGATAAAGTAGCAGCGAAGTTTCTAGTCGTATGCCGACTTGTTGGACTTGAAGTGATTCAATGGGCCGTGTTGTTGAATTGTTCTTGCTGTTGTGAAAATAACAGTGTTTTACTACTGGACCAATTACTTTTCAGTAATAATTTCAGTGATTAGAAATTGTTGTTTTTGATAGAAGGCTATGCTTTCATTTATTTAAAAATCACTAGGGGCTTCAAAATTAAGAACTGCGCACCGTGTGGTGAAGCCGGGAAATTTTGTATTAAATTCAACCACTGGAAATTTCAAAGCAATTGTTTCAGTATTATAGCGCACAGAGATAGTTTTATGACAACAAGAAAAAAAGAATTAGTAACAACAACAGCAATAACATAATAAAAAACGATTCATAGGTCTATTTCGTCTTGTCCAATCAAGTGCTATTGGTTAATCAGTCCCTACAGACAAAAAATGAGCTTCCCGTAGAGAGCGTTATGGATATTTAGTAGAAAGTGTTTATTTCATTTGAATATATTTATCTTATTTGTTTAAATAAATGATATGATGCGAATCGGATTGCGTCAAAATTTATCAACTTCCTGCTTCTTTTAATTTTGGATTGCAGTTGGCGCTTCCGGTGGAAATATTGAAGTTGGTGACTGCAGACTCACTTTTCCGGAGAGAGCACTTACTAAGAATATCGAGATTTCACTATCGTTGAACTACGACCCTACGGCGATTCTAGAAATCGACGACCACATTCAAGTATTTCCCGTGATAAAATGTGAGCCTGAAGGAACGCAATTTCAGAGAACCGTGGAACTTGACATAAAGACATGGCTTGATAGCTCACATGCAGGATTTAGAGTGTTCAGCAAAAAATCCCATGACTCGCCCTGGTTGTTTTTTGAAAAAGCTTTTACGGTTGACAGAAAAATTAATTTGGAAATTAATCACTTCACTGAATTTTTGGTTATGTTTAAAAAAGCGATAAATCATGTTTGGTATTCTAAAATTTATGTCAGCAACTCGGTCTACCACGACAAAAATGGAAACTTCACTTCCACTTTTAGTCTCGACGAAAAGGAACTAAAAAAACAAATTGAGCGGAGATTCTCTTCAATAAAATTCGAAAGAACTTTTCCGATGGAAAAAGTGATGTGGGTTCCTCTGAATAGTACGGTTAACTGTGTGATATCTATAATCAGACCTAGAGGTTTCTCTGTATTCCCTGAAGATGGTTTCAGCTTCATCGTAGATAAAGATTTTCGTCAGCACTGCAGGAGTATACAAGCGAATCCCTCTAACCCACTTCCGACCGTTCCGATCACGTTTCTCTTGAAGTACTCACTTCATGCAAATGAAAACGAGATTTCTAACGACTCGCAAGCACTTTTATATCCACTGTTAGATCCAGGTAGGTTTTATGACACAAAAAGTGTACTTTTTATTTATTTTGAATATAAATATATTTTGCTTAATGACTAATGAAAAAGTATCGCTGGAGTTGAATTTAGGTCTTACGTTTGTAAATATTGCATTTTTGTTTTATGCGCAAGAACAAGTTCAAAGCCAACCTAGTGATTCTGGGGCTGAAGTTGGCGAAGCTGCTGGTGTACGCATAGAAGGCAATGCGCGAGTGAACATTTATCAGCACGGAAATATTTCGGCAACACAAACTCAATCTCAACAAAATCAGGTTTGCAAAATGAAGTTTTTTCACGCGTATGACTTTTTGCATATATTTTCCAAATTCTGTTATGGCAAGAAAATCTTCCTTGCCCCTATAAATTTTTGTTTTCATGAAAATACTTTCAAGTTCAATTTTCGTTATTTGCATAGAACTTGTACTGCGTAAAATTATAATTGCCATTGGAAAAAAATGGATCCAGCTGTCTTGTTAATAAGTAGGTGTTGGGGTAATGTTAATATTCTTCCTTATCTCTTGTGCATATTGCTTTGTATTTTTTTGTAATGAAATATGTAAGTATGTTCTACAAATACGTATGACTATATGAATTTTTTTCTTCTGATTTTCCCTCTGGATACACAGGACCTGTCACGAAACCTCCTACCAAATTACGAAAGACGTAGCCATAGGAGAAGATCGAGTGATTCAGTAATTCGACTTTATGGTTAGTAGAGTTATTTGTTCAATTGCTCGAATCAGCAGGTAACTCACAAATTGACGAGTTTTAAACATTGCCTTATGAGTTTTTATTTCTCCAGAACAACGCGAAAATGAACCTCCTAGGTGCAGCTGTTCCGTGATTTGATTTCCATGCAAAGAACAACAGCAGGACAATGCTCAAATATATGAATATGAAGGTCGCTCATTGGTACCGGCTGGAATATGGCCGGGTGAGCGTGGCGACATAAATATGGTTTAAATAAGTGTGGATGAAACATTGAGCAGCTAACAAAGCTTTAATGAGATTTGACAAATAAAAATGACATTAGTTACGAAGCATTGTTCACGACACAGCCCTAATGAAAACACCAAGAACCAAACGAAAAATACAACAACAAGTAAGCAAAACGTTCCATAGGTACATTTCGTGTCCAGTTTATGCTGGAAGGACATTGCTGATGTCTCATCATTAAATTCATTATCGATGGCCAACGCGAAACAGCTAATGAATAAAATTACTTACTGTTTTACACTTTTTTCACAGGAAAGTTGCTCGTTTCAGCCCTGGAAATACTTGTTTTCACTCTTTCATTACTAGATGTCAACTATAATATAACAACTATTTAACTGAATACAACATGAAAACCTTTTTTTCATTCCTAATCGCCAATGGTTTCTCATTCTCTAAAAGGTTTACCGAATATTTTTCTTTGTCACAATTTGTTATATTAATACATTATTAATTTATGTCAGAAACGTTGGCTCTTGACAAGTTTCGTACGATTAGTACATAAATGTTTTAACTTCGTCCAAGAGTTCGCAATTCAGTTGAAATTTTGGATTTATCTTCGCGCATATTGTTCCTCAAGCATTGCTGACGTAACTATCGAATACGGCTATTTATTCTGCAGGCTTACAGCGAAAGGTGCGAATGATTGCCTTACAAGGCCATAGCTTTAAAATTATTTGACAAGTAGTATTGAATAGTGATTAGATAAAAACTATAAAAAGTAGATATAAATCACCGTGCGAATTTTCGGTGTATGTTTGATACTGCTGAGGGTTTATCGAGGCATTTATATGTTTTTCCTAGTTTTCTATTAATTAAGCCCTAACCATAAATAGAGTTGCCTTGTACTATAAACAATCAAAATTTAAGCTTGTGAATAACTACTCAAATTCGTGTATATTAACGCATTTATGAAAAGGCCAATGTGTAGTGTTGTGCGCAAAGCTGGTTCAAACATAACATCGGTTACAATTGGTAATCCGAGCAACCAGGCATGACGAAACTTATAATATATCGCATACCTTATAATTAGTCAAAATTGAATCGGAAACATCGTGACGTCGAATAATGATATTCAAATATTATTCTAATTGGCGAGATATAATTATATCGTCCCATTTAACAAATTACCACAAGCGTGTAAAGTTAAAGTTAGATGGCGAGTAACGCTGTGATTAGACAGTCATAAAGCGACAGAGGTGAATATCAGAAAGAAATAGCTGATATGGTAGTGTCGACTGTCGCGAATCAGCATAGAGTTCAGTTAAATTTAGCTAAAACGGGGATGAAATATATTACTTCAAAAAATGGGGATGCAGTTCCTACAAACTAAAGTAATAAATAATGGTATTTTCAATTGTATAGAGCAGTTCAACAATAGAAAATATGACATCGTCGCAGACAACTTTCTTTGGCGATTGAGCTGCGAAGATGCTTTTGAATAAGTATGTTCGAAAGACCTCCAATGTCCAACTGTTTATTATAACAGCAGTATTATGGATTATCAATGTTGTTATGATGTCAGCTGACCATCAATTACACACTGGTAAGTGAAATATCAACGCCGCCCTAATTATTGAGGGGCCCGATGCAAAACGAAATGCACGGGGCCTAAACTGGGTAGATATAAGGATATCAACAATAAATTAAAAATTTGGTAATAAAAATTAAATCCGCCTTCACATATTATTACATTTCAAACACGTACATAGTACAAATATAGTAATTACTTTACATGTCTTGAGCATATAGAATAAACACGCTGATACATGAGTATATTGTGTGAATTTATGATTTACACCTATAATTAGAAGGTATATGGGAGTACAAGGCCTAAGGTAAGATATGCTAAAATGAAACTGAACTTGACCAAACTGACAACGAAAAAGATTTTTGAAGTGTAGCTAGTTTAATATTACTGGCAAACCTAATACGTATTTGATTATATTTAAATTACATATATATATATTAATATAATTATAGACGGATTCGGATGAAAAATTGCAGAACCCTTCGACTGTACTAACGTTACTCTATGTTGCCGCGGAACGCAGGTTGGAAAACACTGGCTTGTCTGCTTAAAGGGGTGGATTAATTATATGTCGGTAACGCTAGTTGGAACCCCGTTTTCAAATATCATTCCAAACCACCAATTCCGGTTGTAATAAATTGAGTTTTTATCTAGAAGTGTTTACTTGTACGGAGCTTTGGTCGGAGCGAAATGCATATCGAAATAAATTGTAGATATTACGTTAGTGTTCTGTACATAGTTGTGATTGGCCCGAATTTTTAAATTTCAGTTCTTGCAAGAAAAAGGTTCGGAATCGAGTCTGATAGCAATAAAATTTTTATCGAACCGAATAACGAATTTTATTTCATTTTTTGAAACAGATCACATACTGCCATTGATTCGATTCATTTAGCTTTTGGTCATATTTCATGGTTTCAATATAAATATTTTTTCTGTTTCGACCGTGTTCGGTTTCCGAAATAAGCTTTTTCCAACTTGAGCGATGAAACTCAATTTGCGGTCAAGTGTCGGATCGTAGCCTGTGGGTTATAAATCGGAATTATATGGATCATATTACCGAATTTTATTATGACACTTGATACTTTGCTACTGCGTATGTTGTAATATTATACTCGGTATCATATTATTTTAAATCAAATATTATGCTTGGGTATATATACATCATATACTGAGACATGCGACATACGTTCGTTTACAAGTTTTACGACTCACGACACTTAATTACGACAATCAATAAACTAACAAAGTCATTTCAAGTCGTCTTACTGACATGAATTGTCATTGAACCAGGGAATTTAATTACGATGCCATGAATCATTTTATGAAAATACATAGGGATCTCCTGCAGAAAGCCCCCCCCCCCAACATAACACCCCTAGAATTTTCATGCATTGAAGTGAAGCATACATGCATTCAGATTTCGTTCACTGTCAAATTCTATATAACTTAACTGGATATTTTTACCATATTTAAATTGTTTTATTCAGTGTCGCCCTGCTATTATGAAAACAACGGACAGAAAGATCAAGTTCGATCCAAACGTACCTTGGAAGGAGTTAACAAGAAAATTTATCACGAAACCATGAGTTTGAAATATCTCAAAACTGCAGAAAGAGACAATTATAAAGAGAACAAACTGCTGAAAATTTTGTTGAAGAATATTGCGAGAGTTAATCAACAATTGTCAGAAAAAAATACAGAATATTCCAGTTTTAGAAAATCAATCAAAGAATTGGATTCTGAATCCCGTCTAATAATGGATAATTTAGATTCAAAATCTGAGCTCATGGGGTGCGAGGACTTATTCAAAATTGATGCAGCTTCGACTAATGCTGTGAACGTATCAAGAAGAAATAACGTATTAGAAAAATTTCCAGATGAATCAACTAAGACTCGATTATTCGACGTTAAAGCCATAAATTGGAATTCGGTAACAAGTTCAAATATAAATATGGTTGAATCATTCGAGATAGCAACAAAGGAAATTACAAATTTGTTAAAAACTCAAGGATGGTACGGCGTTCCTAGATTATATGGGATATGTATTATTACATCACCGTTAACTGATAATAAATTAACTGGCGTTGAGAACAAGTGGAAGAAGGAAGAGTTATCGAAAGCTATCGAAATACGGTAATTATTTATATTAAAAGGGGTCGTATTCAAGATTTTAGCCATTACTTCAATTAACAATTATAGAGAAATACACTAATATAAGAACATATAGGAACATTATGACAATACGCACACCATCGTGACTTTTACCAAAATGCCCAATTATGATTGTACGGTAAAGTCGTATGCTCAACGCATTAAAGTTTATATCATCATTATTTTCTCCCTGAGTAGATATTGTATTTAATGACTTCTTAAATGATAAAACATTGTTGACCAAACCATCATGCCAAAACTGTATTTTTTTGTTTATTATTGTTTCATAAGCATAACACTTTATTAGGGAATATAATTCGTCAGGAAACACATATTTATATGGAATATATTGTGAATGGGCGTAAGGTTACAGTACAATATTTTATGGTTTCACGAGCATCGGATACATTCAGGCTGGCTCTTACACGCTGATAAAACATCACAAATATAATGGTATTGATAGACAAAGTTTTGTTTCAAACATATATATATATATATAACTGATGTTATGGATTTTCCTGAATCCGCATAAAGCTTTGTCAGAAATGTTTTCTAGATAAAAAAATGAAATGTCAGTAATTTTTCCAGTTTTGTTACATCTCGGTACGATGAAGGAATCCGTTTATGCAGTTCAAATTACGCGTCCTATGAATGCAAACGTCTTCCGGCTATTATGGAACGAGTGAAGTTGAGTCGACAGCCTGGCATTGATGCATTGACTATTATGTTAAATACTGCAATACTGTTTGAGAAACTATGGATGAACGGGTGAGAATTGACTCAGTAAATGTGCCTAAATGCATTTGCAACAATTTTATATTTTGATACATCCACGTTTATGATGGATATGATGAACACGTGTTCTATGTTTTATAAAAAAAACGACCACTCTCATATTTATACAGTATGGATACTTTACGAAAAAAAATGTTCATTTCTAACCTTTTTATTGATGATGCGAGTAATTCTAGGGATTGTATTTCAAAAACATGTTTGGGGAAATCATTCAAAGTTCTCCATACACAAATTCATGCATAATGGCGAGATAAAATAGCCCTATTGAATAACAAATCATCTCGCGCCCAAGTTTGCCATAGGTGGGGCTGTGGAGGTGGACGTTTCATCGATTACACCTTAAGACATTTAGCGAATCGATTCCATTTTGCTCCCATTACCCGTGACTCCAGTTTAGGAATTTTGTATATACGAAGCTTGGAATTCCGACCGCAACAATTTCAAAGATTCGTGCCCGATTCCAATAAACTGTAGGTTCCGAAGAATACAAATATGATTCCGGAATCGGTACTCCCGTAGTATGTGTACAGGGTTAGGTTAGGCCGTAATTTTATTCAGATTTTCCTTATTTCAGTTCTATTACGAGTTTGGGAAATGTATGTGCTAGACAAGTGAATATACCCCTTGTCCATAGGCTTCCGTCTCTTTACACAATTTGAAGTAGGAGAACAAAATTAGTTACCTCCACATTGCTACACACACTTCTGGAGCTCCCCGAAATCTGATACCGGCGACACGCGCCAATCACTGACTCAATTTAACAAACCATTTGTCACAAGACCGTTATAGGGAAACTTCGTGTGTCTATTGCTAATCCATCTTATTTGTAAATTTTATTCAATTATATACCTATCTCATATTCAGCGTGATGCAGTACGATTTTCAAGCTACTAGTTTCTACATTGATTCGGATTTAAACGTAAAAATAACAGATTTACGAACATTGAAGTTTTTCTCAATTAACCAGCAATCAGAAATGACTAAATATCAAAGGTGAGAATGACACATTCGGTGGTGTAACTTTCGTAAAACATGTTTATTCAGTGTTTCCTAATCTATGACAATGCTTTAGTGCAGGGGTTTCCAAGCGGGGCCCTTTGCCCCCTAGCGGGTCACAATGCTAGACCCAAACTAATTTTACTTTTGTCTAGTCAAGAAGACTTTATGAATATGGTATAGAAGACTATGGTATGTGATTTTATCGGTTGTGTGATCTATGTAATTTTTAGTAAAGGTTAGGAACTGAATTCTATGCGGATGTATTCATGAGATTAAATGTTTACCAAAGTGGCACCAATCGCGATAGAGGTCACGTTTAAGACGTGTGGTATCAAAGTGGTACCGTTTATTGTATTCAATTATATTATAGGTTACTCTCTGGAACAACCTGCAAAGGTTCGTATGAATGTGCTTCTGTAACATGGGACAAAGATTCTATTATGTATTCTTATGGTTATCATTGTCAAGAAATCCGAGGATATTGTACAAAGAATAATCGATGTTGGGGAGTGGATTCCATTACTCATTTATGTGTATTATCTACATGGTTATTTGGTCGGCTTCACTCAGCGGTGTCGCCGTTTTGGAGGCATGAAGGGGAATTGACAAAACTTTTGAGGTGCGGTTCAAAATATTCACCAGATGGAAGATGTAATTGGACAGACATGAAAGTTGGATTTACTAAATTACTTGAATATGCTCGTAAAGATGGGATTTGAGAAATACAATCAAATTTTGAATTTATTCGAATTATCGGGAAAAATTGAACAAAATATATTTCTGCAACACAGACAACATTAACGAGGCATCTTACAACTAAGGTGTTATATGGTCGAACAGAATGGAAATCATTACAAACCGCGCATACGTTTCTTAAATCTTCGAAACTTTGGATGTTTTCAAAAAGCGCAAAAAGAACAAAAGCACAAATAGCACAAAACAACTGTTATTTTATTAGGTAATTATTATTATACTGCGATAGCCCAGTTAATACCTGAAATTACTAGCAAATAGCAGAAATTTGAGAGGCATGCTTCAGTCGGGTTCCTAAGGTTCTGCCAATAAAGTCTAGTTGTTCCACAAGTTTACATTTAAAAATATCATATCAGTTAAAATATCATACAGTAAATAAAATATCATACAGTTTATACAGTTAGACAAGAGACAATTGAAGTATTGCAAATTGGTTCCTCGAGCCTCTGGGAAGTTTAATTAGGGTTTCCTTCACCAAAAATATTAAATCATTGGTGTAAGGTTTTGCGCTAGTTTTCAAGGCACTGCTTTACTTGCTATATTACGTATAGCACGAAGTTTGTAGGAAGGTATACATATTTTCACAAAGTAAAAGTACGCAGTGGGTATATTCGAAAAAATGTTAATGTGTCATGCGTAACTTATTTAGGCGATTGGTTCTTAAAATAGACATTGTCAGTATAACCTGGCCAAGTTCCCGAAAATTGTAACGATATTTGACCAAAGCGAAAATATATGGGCTTTGATGATAAATACGTTGGATACAATTGACCAATTACCACAGAAAATGTTTACTGACGCCTTTTGAAAGTCAATGTGTCTGCAAGTATGTTAAGATCATTGGAAATGGCAGTTTTGAGCTGTAAATTTAAGAATGTCAAACTACATGCGATGTGTGTTAATACAAATGTAACAAACGATGAGAAACTAATTTTCGAATTTTTTATATATTTTTTGCGCAAGTTCAAGAATTCCAGGGCCAATAGTTTAACATACATTGATAAAACAATGTAGGAATTCTCACACATAACCAACGTTGAGTCACCACGATACACTTAATACTTTTATTGAAAATCGAAAGTGGTGACCTGATAATTTGAGGCAATCTTATTGAATGCTTGTTTCAAATTCGGTAGTCACATTGTATAAACGCTACAAGGAAAATCACTTCTACACAAAACAACAAAAAATTAGAAAAAATGGAAAATACCCGGAGTAACGCGGAAAGGCGTGCTGGTTTTGATACTGGCCTCTTAATAGTATAAAATATACTGAAACATGAAAACTGAAAATAAGCATGAGTATCGCTTAGTAATGTTCTTGCTAAAATAACTATAATGCAAAAAAGACATGTACAAAAACAATGGACACTTTGAGAAACATTGTCTGGAAGTCCAACAAAAATTTGCATTTCAAACGTGAAAAACTAAGTTTAACGTTGTTGCAGCGAAATAGCGGAGATTCAACGAACAATATTTATATTTTAGTACTATAAATTGATCAACAAACAAAATTCGCCTTTGAGATAACTGAGGCAGGACATTTCAAATCGAATCGTAAATTATTCTAATCGGTTCAGACGAAAATTTTGAATTGTCGCCATCTTGTTTTACGTTGTCTGGGTGAATACGTCAATTTTCTTATTGAAGCCATATTTTTAAAATGCAATCTGACATAAAACTCATTACTTCCCGGTGAGCTGTGGATGAAACATATTTTTTCTTGTGTGTGATAACCTCAGTGAACTGAACGAATGTTAAATTATAGGTTTTAGTAATTTATGTCTGGCGGACCCATCACAATAAAAAAGTCACGGGCAATTACATATGTTTCAAGCAATCGAGATTCGTTTCGAAAATCACCAGGTATCCGAATTTGAAGAGCTCGTGAGTTGTGTGTAGCTTTCGATTGCTCGATTCTGTGACATCATCATAAGTCAATTTAACTTGTGTATATGTGTATATGTGAGTTAGGAGATTTATATTACTTGACTGTGTAACATTAACATTCACCTCAAATGGATCTAGTCATCGTGGATGGTGCCTATTGAAGGCCTTGGTCCCGAGAAAAGCGTTACGTGGCCCCCTTAAGAAGTCGAGGAAAAAGTTTGAAAAAGCCTGCCTTACTCAATATTCTGCTTTTCAGCAATTGCCAGCAGCATTTTTACGGCCCATTTTAGGAAAGAAAAAGGCAATCGAAACTTCTGGCGCCTTTCACACATGAGTCACGATGGTTTCTCTTTTAAGAGCGTACGCGCGACTTCGAAACAGAACTAGCATTCGTATATACTCGAAGCGTATCCTACGTGTCGAAATTTTCAATATTGCAACAGCTCCGAAAGAACCTTTCAAGCTACGATTGAAGTTTCTAACATCAGCATTTTCTAAGAGACTTTTATGTTATACGAGCCGAGAGAATGGATGGTCGGACAGGTATGAACTGAAGTGATAACTTGATGACGGATGTCTCCCTGACTATCCGCTTCTTTGTACCTTTTTTTTAACATTGGCTAATCAGCAAGATGTCTCAAGTGACGCAACAATTGAGATTTTGGTTGTCATTATGTCTCCCAGGGAGGTTTTAAAATAAGCAGTGAAATTTAGCAATGCTAAAATATAGATTGAATTTTTCTGGCGTAAATTGTGGGAGAAACGTCCATAATCGTTCCCGAACTGAAAAATTATTTGACGTTATTTATACATGTCATAAATAAGTTTCCAAATACTTTTCTAGCTGTCTGCGTATTTTGTTTTAAATTGTAATAAAAATATTTATAACAAAAACAACTATTATATTAATTTCTTGGATGCGTCTCCACTTGCTTTGAGTATTTTCAGCAAATTAAATTTAGTAGTAGATAACTATGCTTGGATTGTCAGACTGAAACCTAAGATCTCAAAATCCATCAAATTTTGGACCCAATATCAAATTGGACTATCATTTATTTTTCTTTTATCCATAAATTTAACGGCGTGTTAACAATTAATACGGTTTCAAATTTTGATTTGTAATCAGGTTCAAATGATTCTTGTTCCAAAATTATAAAATTCCCGTTTGAAAAGTGAAAATATTATATATGGTCGTATAAACGAATTTGTCTGAATTTGAAAAACTCTTCGATTTGCCTTAATTGAGAAATATTGTATAATCATTTGAATTAATTAAATAGTCATTGCTGTAATGACGTTTATTTCACGAAAAAGAAAAATATTAATATGAGGCTTTATTGATTATCTTAGTAACAGCGAATCATATATAATTTCTCACTATTTAGGAATCTTCATTTTTTTATTATCTTACATATGTTTAATTTGTAATAACGAAATGATAATGATTTATTATAATATTTGTTTAATTGCTTGTCCCTGACAAAAAGTTATTCGTGAAGCTAGAATAGAACTAGCATAATTTTACAATTCCAACAATAATTTTATTTAATGAACATACATTTTTTGACAAAGAATTTAGTCGAGTATGCATTCCGCAGACATATGTTTATATTGTATTTGATAAACCATTGAAAAGAATTTATAGTAAGCAATCTTTCAATGTTGTAATACAAATCTTTTGTAGCTTCGACTTCGAGCAATAATCGACAGATCAATAATGGCGAACAAGCTTGTGCAAGCTCCAATGCACCGGAAGCATCAGTACTATACGAAGAAAACAATAATGAGGTGAAGGTTAAATAACAACAAAATAGTATTCTCCTATTTCTCCATCACAAATTATCTGATCATGTTTCCAATTTGTGACAGTACCTGTTCCAGATTGCGATTGGCATAAAACATTTAAAAAATAATCATCCTGACCCCAGATATGCAGAACCAAAGAAACCAAATCAGAAATTCAGTGGTGAGATAAAAACCGTATATTAAATACCGACAACTGATAAATTTATTGTCATCGTTTTCGAAAAATAAAATAACACTCATCGCTAAAATCCTAATTGTAATATTCCCCTTTACACCTCCATCTAATTGCTCGAGCCAATATAGTGTATATATTTTTGATAAGAGGACAAAGAAGCAAACAATTTTGATGTATCAATTTCGAAGCCAAATAACGTGATGGAAAGTTAGTATAAGAAAGAATTCGATAAAACAATATGTCGAAACAACAGTTCTTTGTATAAGTTTGCTCAATAATGGACCAGCAAATGGTATTGATCGAAAAATTGCATACGAGTTGTCCCTACGTGGTCTATATTAGTTTATCCTTTGGCGTGCTCCACGACATCTGGATGTCACAAATTTGAACGGCTCTTAGCAGATATTTTAAGCGGTGACAATATCTCAGACTTGAGTCATATCAAAGCATTCATGCAACACACATCTTATAGATATGATAGAAATTTTTCATTTTTGTTCACATTTTGATTGCCGACTCACTGAGTTGTGCAGATACTGTCTTTCTTTGAAAAATTAAAATTGAAAAATTGCGGTCGGGGGAAGGACGTGGGGGCATATTGAATATTCATGAAAAGTTTATCAACATGCGTAACTATATTTAGGAAAAACGAAATCAGGTCAGACAGCAAAAAGGGCGACCGCATGCGCTTTCGCACGCTTCCGGTGAAAGGTGGATGGCGAGGAATAGATGCGAGGTAAATATATGATATTTGTAGTATGATTGGTTGCAATATCCAAATCTTCTCTGGTAATGCCAATAGGCGTGAATGAAAATGTCAGTTGACACCCAAAATATGCCACTGTCAACTTTCAAAAATAATGATAATTTCAATTAACGATAAACATCAATGAACATGGGCAGATGAAGCGATACCCGATATGGCTTTCAGTTAAATGTTCTCTTGCTAGAACCATGTTTTTCGTTAATATTATTTCCAATATAATGATTTGAATATTCATTTTAGGTAAGAACGTCGCGTGCAACACGTCAATTGAGCCAAGGAAATGTTAATCCCTACTATCATCATCACGCAGGTAGAATTTTTTTTTATCTAGAATTTCTAAGAGGTTTTTAATACTATCGATATACAAAAAAATCTTCACACACAACACACACACATTTGAGAGTCTTGGTTGGTAATGAGGTTTTCTATACTATCGATATACAAAAAAGTCTTCACACACAACACACACATACACACACGTTGTAGAGTCTTGGTTGGTAATGACTGAAAAAAGCAAAAATATAGGAAAATAGTCGTATTCGGTATAATCTTGAACCCTGAGCAACCTGCAAGTGGGGGAAACGGCTTTTGTCACTGCACTGTGGGATAGATTAATCAATCCTTCCTTCTTCTTGGTATCTACAGGATTAGCTTCGTATCATTCTCTGATACATGACAATCAGAGATTAACTAGTTGCAATAAGGCTGGTAGCGTGCTATCTATGCAAACCTGTGCTGTTTAAGCTAAATATTTCGACTATCAATCAGACATTTTATAGTACTACGCAAAGTTATCCTTGTTATGCCATGTTATCACGTTCTGTTGTCATTCGACAAACTGCACGCTTATCAAGATTGGTACAGATTCATGTGAATTAGCTGTGCGGGGATAAGACGTCACCAAAAATAACGGTACTCGCGAAGTATGTGAACCAATATGACGGACACTGGAACATACTTTGAGTACCAGGTTAGAGTTAGGCCATAGTTCCAGGTACAAATACTACGTTCCGGTGTTGCCCATCTTGGTTCACATACTTCGGGAGTGCCAAAATAGCGATCTTTGTATAAATGCGTTATTTATATTTTGTTACGTTTACATATAACTTAAAATACATATAAATCCTTGATGAAATGATCATCATAGGGGATGATCATTTCATCAAGGATTTATATGTATTTTTAATGGAACACTATTAATTTCCAATTTATCATATCGTTGAACAGCCGCACACCTCTCAAAGATTCATGACCAACCGAATGTGTCAGAACGGGAAGAAACACAAAAGCCTACCGAACGTGTAAGTCGAAATTATCTGTAAGTTAAGCATAAACAATTTGGAAACCACATCATATTTTGTTAAAATTGTAATTGTTTTCAAAATTTCTTCATATCCGCCATTTTAAAATCCATCTGTCTGCTCTGGGTAACGTAAAACAACTGCAAATTCCAACAACTTTTGTAGATCAAATCTTAAAGTCGCCGAATAGAATAGATTTAATTGAATAAATGTCATTCAAGGGGATATTAAGGCATATAAAGTTGCATATGTCACAAAAATACAATTCTAAAGTAATGGCTAATAATTGTTGGCAAACTATGTAATGCGTAAATAGATTTTTAAATATATATTTATATAATGTATATTCATATATTTATAGGTAAAGATTACAAACAACATTAATCAGCATCAACCAGTTATTGGACAACAATATGTTCATCAGGGACCTGTAAATATATACACAGTTGAACCTGCTCCTCCGGGTAAGTCTGCTTTCAAGCATTTTGTGTTATTATATTCAAATTGGGCAAATGAGCATATGAATCGTTCGTCTAAATTGTCGTTGTGGAATAGATTACTGTTATTGTTGTTGTTGTTGTTGCTGTTGTTGTTTTACCCTAAATTTTGCGGTTTTTGAAAATTGTGTGTTATATGACTATTTCGCTGGTCGATTCTGATGAACAAGTAGTCCTCAGCCAAAATTGTGTTTCAACGGTAGTTGTGCCGAATTGATAGAATACATCTTCAAATCTTCAAAACAAATATATAACTCGATCAGCATTAAGCAGATGCTTCCTGTTACAAACTCTTTGATTCCATTATTTTGTTTTCATTCATTCACGCTTAGTGCTGGGCACACAAAACGTTGAATGCATGATACAGGATATGATTCGAACTCTCTCTCAAAAACCATCTATCTCTTTGTTGGCATTGAAACTATTTCATCGCTAAAAGCATGTTGTATGAACAACAAAATTTGTTTTGAATAGCTTTCGCTATCGTTTTCATTTTGTATTGTATGTACCTAAGAGGGAATAGGACACGGTATGAACCTTTATCAAAAATTCTGTCCATTATAATACCTAATTCACGTAATTTGATAACTTTCAGGCAGTTTTGCTTGTTATTTAGGATAATATTTTTTATTAAAGTTGATTGCGAAGAATTTTATTACATTTTTTTCTATAGAAATATGGATTAGTTTAAAAAATTCTTAGATAGGTTACTTCAATACCCTTTTATTCAGGAAATCGTGATTCCAAAATGTCGCGCAATATTATTTTTTACACATGCATTTTATATAGGTTGTTTTAATACATCGAATGTCCTATATCAACGTTTCCAATCGGGGGGAATTCTGCGGTATTTGGGAAAAAATTTTGCTTTGTATTCGCTGTAATGTTACTAACTTTCTTCAGTTTTTTCATTACTGTAATAGAATAATACCTATTTATGAACACATAATATACTGTGCAAAAACGGTATTGCGCTTTTCGCGCAACTCCCGCTAAGGATTCACTATAAATTGAATAAATAAAGTAGTTTTTATACCTAATGAGCGAGGAATAAACGCCTCCAAAATAGTTCAATATGGGAATCCAACCATTTTTTTTTCGATCTTCGAACAAGATTGTTTCCGTATTCGCCTTTTAGCGATCTTGATAAACGCTGAAGCGCCGTTAAACACTTTTATATTTTCGTCTTACAGGAATGGAACCAGCAGAATCCAGAGAACACGATGACGAAACAAAGGTAATATTGAATAGTTTAACATGTGTTTAATATTTATATATAAATGGAATAATGCAAAATCATGTTTTAGTAATTGATTGCGTAAAACAGTTTTGGCTATAAAGCTATGAGGTACCCCATGACTTCTTGCATTTGAAGGAATTGTCCCAACAAAAATAAAGAGAGAAAGTAGAAGTCGCAACAAAGGATTTTTATTCCATAATTGAGAAACTCGTTTGAAGTGCAAAAATACCAATCCGTAAAAAATAACATCTATGGGAAGTGAGACTCAATTTGGTGACTGATAATTTTGAACTGGAAGCCATTTATCTTTATCCCAGCGATGGTTGTGAGAAATGTCGAAATTTGGCTATTTTTCGAGCTGCGGCCAAAGCCATGTTTTTAAATTTTATGTGATCAAAAATAGGCCCGAGTAATTTCACAGAGTCAAGATTCGGAGTTATAGAATATATATATGGGCCATTCCAAGCAAAAGTTGAATTCCATCAATTTTTTTAAAAAGTGTAGTGAAAGTAATTTATTTTTATTTTTGATATCAAAGGCTTTGGAATTTTATTGGACTGCATTCATTTCATCGAACAATTTAAAATTTCACCCAGGTTTTTGATGGTTTATAAAAAAATGGCCTGAAATGTAGAAATTTTGGTATAATTGACATATTTTGTGATGATTCCTGACACAAAGTGTTTGATTGTGTGGTACAGTTATTTCATATGGAATTGACGCACTGGATTTAAGTTAGTAAAGTTTAAATGTTTGCAGGGCTGTAGGACATTTCTTCACCCATTTAACGATTTATTACCAGAATTTTAAGAGATGATAGATGCCGCTATTCCGAAGTGGAAAAATGTCCTGTAGTGTCTCGTCCTGTAGTGTCACATACAATATGCACATTATTGGCATGGATTTACAGTGTTACATTAAGTAACTTGAGCAACACATAGAGGGGTAGTTCAGCTACTGCACCAGAAATTATTATGGGCTCCTACTGTACCATCACAAAAATTTACAGCACAACACAATGTACTGTTAGTGCATGGTGGATTTGCCGTCCTGTAGTGTCACGCTATATTTTACTATATTTTTTTTATCTACTAAGCAAGGTTGGGTGTAACTTTTGTGCAATTTTTTACATATTCAATAAAGCAACTGATTGGACAATGAAACAAAACATGTAGCTGAAAATGTAAAAATATATTGAATTTAACAACATGCAAAATTTCTGGAATTGTCCTGTAGTGTCACTTGGAATAGCCCATATATATATATATAATATATATGCGTGATTAAATTTTTCGATTGAAATAAATAAGATTTTATACGTCACACTCTTTCTATTCAAAATTCTACTATCCCGAAGTACGTAAATTGTGTGTCAGCATAAATTTTTTGTCAATCTGGAGATGGAAATCGAAACCGGAGTCGTTGTTGAAGAGCGTTTTTTTTTGTTTTTGAAATTCACACATATCCTGAACTTTTTAAGTGACAGGAAAAGTAATATTTTTGTATGATACAAAAAAGTAAGCCGGAATGCAAGCTCAGTATCATGAGTTTTAACGGTTGTGATCCACACTATATTTATCATGAATTAACTATGCGACATCAATACTGTTTTTTACATGTTTGAATAACGTTTTTTAATGAGTTTTTGTGTCACGTTTCCGACTATACATTTAACGCTTTTCATTTTTAGGACTCTGTGACTGCGGCGAATGAGAAATATTTACAAAGACTAGCAGGTAAATGCTTAAACTTAATAGAGATTTTGAGTGCATCACGCACTCTTCTGATTTGTGAAATTTGATTATTGTTTGACACGGCAAATTGCGATCTCAGGGCACAGTGATTTTTTGGTACTCCCAAAGTATGTAAAATAATAGACGGACACCGGAAAGTATTATGTATCCCCTAGTCCTCGAACTCGTAATGAAACTAAAATAAGAAAAATTGGAATAAAATTATTGCCTAACCCTACTCTGGTCCGGTGTCCGCCATCTTGGTTCACATACTTCGGGAGTTTCGATTTTTGTACTACCTCACCATAACCCAACGGTGATAGAGTTAGGGTTATGGACTGAATTCCATGAGAATGTATTTATGGGATTGAGATCATGTACCAAGGTAGTTTTATGACACTGGGATCGCCTCCCAAAGTAGCACCCAAATCGCTTCGACAAATTAACAAGCGAAAGTTTATGGCTACAGCCTTTCGTTTAGTTTTTTTTTAGGTGTTTTACTCATTGTCCAATAACAAGGATCTACTGTATTTTGAAAAGATTATTGGTAAATTGGGCCATAATTCGAACCTTTTTCGGAATAGTCAATGGCATGCTCTGCGACTATTCAAAGTTAAGTTCAACTGAAATTCTACCTAATTTCAGACGATTACAAAGAGTCTGTTAATAAAGCAACCCGGGAACACATTCGAAAAATCTTACAAGCTGATCACATGTTCGGGGATACAGAGTTCATATTAATAGACTTGGGTAAAGCAAAACAATCCCGGGGAAGTGTTCATTACAATTTTGAGACTGCTCTTGGATTAGACGAACTGTTAGAATTACAGAGTAGTAACCACAACCGCACCATAATAGTCGGTGGTGCTGGACAAGGAAAAACCATATCTGCTTTGCGATACGCTGACCTTGTGCTTAACAAAAGGTGAAAGGCTTGAACAATGTCGAGATGATACACTACATTGACTGCGCAAAGATATACAACTGCCAGGGTATTGCATTTGAAACAATTTTTGTTCAAAATGATTTAGATGGATCCTTAGAAAACTGTATAGAATCGGGCCGAGGGTGGGTCAGCAAAAACTGTGACAAAATTCTGCTTATTTTGGATGGATTAGAAAAGGTTACCCGAACTAAAATAGAACGCAGGCAATATTCAAAAATAGGACACTCAGTAAAGGCCACATCTTACACGACGCTTCTGAATATACTTCAAGGCGATATTTATAAAGGCATGTGGGTGTTGGCAACGACAAGATGGGAAGGCATTTGGAAAATCCCAACTCCCATGAACGAAAGAAACTATAAAACTGTTCAAATATCGGGATATTCAGAACGCGTTTCATGGGAACTCACCAAAAATATTATTCCAGACAAAAACGTGCTGAACTCGTTCGAAAATCTTTGTCGAAAATTCCCGCAAATAAGCATGCTTAGTAAAACCCCTATGTTTCATAAATTTTTAATGGATATAAGCGTTGACAAAGAACACGACTTACATAGTTTGACATCTGTTATGGTAGGAGTTAGTGAACGATTTCGAACCTCCATTCATCATACTGGGCGCGACACAGACTCTTTTAAATCTATGGGATCCTTTGCTTACGATAGTCTATTAAGAGGTAACGTTCCAATGAATCGTCAAAAGTGTGAGTTCACCTTTAACCCAAGAAACATTCGAGATCTCGTGAATGCAAAGGCAGTATTACAACCATGTATGCAACATATAACAAAAGAAGAGTTATGCTATTCTTTTCACACATTTCACAAACCGATTCAGGTGAGAATTTATTTTAATATAATTCAGCGATGGTGTTTAAAATTAAAATAGAACAATAACCTCATTTTGAGGCATGGACATTATTCAATCTCTTTTGACAATAAATAACTTGAAACCTCTCACATTGCAGTGTATTGATTTCAGCTCTTCCGTTAAAAATCTCTATTGCGCATTTCTGAATCGATGATAATAAACCGATGACTCTTTGTGACATATTTCGATGCCCATATTTGTAAAGATGAGTATTTCCCTGTATGTGAATGTCTTTTGTAAACATTCCTATTCTTAAAAACTGAAGCGAAATTTTTCAAAACGACGAAAAATATAGAAATATCCATATATATATATATGTTTTAATATGGGGTAATCTATTTTTTTTTTCATACAAATTTTGGTACTTTGCAGTGACATTTTTTTCTGATTTTTTAATCTAGGACTTTTTAGCTGCAATATTCGTGATTGGTATGCCCAGAGACAAATTTGAGAAAATTTTGGAACAAGATTTCAGAAAATCAGAAATGTTTGGAGTGCGAAATTTTGTTTGTGGATTGATTTTAGACGACCAGCATATCAAAGTAGTTTCGAAAATGACACCAGACGGTTTGTACTGGTTTTTTAATTATTTTTAATTTATGTATTTGATTAGTCAGTGTCCATACTCGAGAAGCCGTGATATCACATGAAATAAAATAAAAACAGCGGTTACGAATAATTTCCGGTGCTTCATCTCGACCAAAATATTTTTTCCCAAGTTTATAAAATCCAAGATGCCCTCATCGGCTCCAACCAAAAAGTCATTAGATGAAATGAATCAATAAATCTAAGCCGACAAAGGATTCGTAACACAAATAGGGCGGCTACACTAATAGACTATTTGATTGAATATATCATCTTCCGATCAACTTACTCGAATTATGTAATGGGCGTTTATACTAGAATTAACTGGGACTAATTTTGTCAACTCTATTTGTGAGCTCACAATTTTTTTTATTTCAGCAATTACACAAGACGACATAAAAACTAAACGTAGTTTCGTTTTTGAATCTCTGCTGAAGAAATTGGGGAAAAAGATTACAGAAATGGAAAAAATTATCCTTCTTCATGAGTGCGATAGAAAATGTAAACAAAAATACGCGTCTCGAATACAACAAGTAAAACTGGACAAAAGCGTGGATTCCAGCAATGGCAACATTGTATTAAGCCTATTCGGCTCCAGCAAAAATCTGACGTTACTTGAATTCGGAGAACTTGAAGTCGATTCTTTTTCATTGCCGATGTTGCGTGAGTTCCCAATGATCAAGGTACGTGATAAAATATTCTTCGTTTTCCCTTCTAATCGTGAAACTCAATTGTGAAGCATATAACGCAATACATTCAAATTTATAATTTAATTAATACTAAGCAAACTCAAAGATTGGTTTTGGCCTATAACCTTATCCAGAAGAGGTTGTCGCTCTTACTACGTCGTTACCCGCGAAGGCAATTGTAGGGAAAAGTTTTAGACAAAGTAAAAAGCGAACGCCCGTTTGGTGTTCGATGGACGCACGAAGATTTTGCGCTGGACGTAAGGCGAAAATTTGTCCGGTGCGATGCCCCCCGAACTATTTTGACCGTTAGTATCAATAACACATCATAAACCGATCACTCCTAATGGAAGTCGAGTTTTATCAATTTGGGGGTCTGTGATCACTCAACCGTGAAATTATTTTTTGTCATAAACTTTACCTCAATTACCTCGTATAACCCAAATAAGGCAGCTTCACCTATTACCATTGTCGGATATAATATAAAATCACTGGAGCGTGACGGGGGCGTGGAAGAAAAACAATTCTTTTAAAAATGATTCAAATAATTTTTCCAGCTATGCCGATGTCTTTAGATCAGTGCTCTTCAACCGGGTATTCGATATACCCAAGTGTATACCGGACCATAAGTTGGATAGGATATACAAAGGGTGTACAGCAGAGGGCGGCAACCTTTTGTCGCTCGCGGGCCAAAATGAAGGGCTGCAAGTCATTGGCGGGCTATACCTATTTTTAGAAATTTAAAACCAAAAGATTATTCTTTTTGAAATAGAGATCAAGCACTGGCACATCTCTCTAATATAATATAGATTTATTTCCTCATGGCATTGCATCTAAAAAATTTCCCTTTGAATATTTTCTGCGTCATTGAATCATTTGTCTAATTATAATCAATTTATAGGCTTATTAAACGAGTGATTGTGAATTAAATACTCTTTAGATTATAATATAGTTTAGTCCACACGTGTCTAACAATAAATTATGTTACGTAAAGAATAAAATTGCCAAAATAGCTGTTTTGTTACTATAATTCGATGAAGCGTCACGGGCCGGATCCGGCCCGCGGGCCATGGGTTGCCGACAACAATGCTAACGCGGCGCACATGAAATATAAAATGTCGTTTACACAAAGAATCGACTTGAGCACATTGTTACATCACAAAATATATAGATAATAAGGGTTGGTGATTTCGGCTGCCTTGCACTTCGTTTAATTTGCGTTAAACATTATTCCCGTTGACGTTAAGGCCGTCAGTCAAATTTATAGCTTGCGGACACTAGCCTATTAGATTCATGATGATATTTGCTGTACAATATGTGCTTTAAATTTAATGTTTATTTAAGCCTTAAATAAACAATGGTATTTGTAAGGTATGCCAAGTTCTTGAAAAATTGTTAAGGGTATACCACGATAAAAAGGTTGAAGAACACTGCTTTAGATTTCTAATAAGACCTTCCAGAGGCTGCAATAAGCCAAAATCAATAGACCGTGACTGGGGGAGGAGTAGGAGAAAAAAGAAATCTTCCTAAAAATGAGCCGAATAATTTTTCCAGCCATGCCTATGTCATGTCTTTAGATTCTTAATAAGACCTCTCAGAGCCTGCAATAAGCCAAAATCACTGGACCGTAAATGGAATTAGGCAACGCGACGCCTAAAAACCCAATCAAAGTTATCCGAATCGCAGAAAAGCAATAAACTCCAGTGGGTGTGGCTTCACACACGATGGTCGATTTTAAATTACAAACTATACAGAATTACAGTTTTATGTTAAAGTTTTATCATAATGTATTGTTAACTTTACTATACGATAAGAAGAATGAACACCCGATTCGTAAATCGTGAACCACTCTGTTCACGCAAAAAGTTGACTAATCCCTTTGCGCATATTCATCCCCTGAAATGATCATGTTCCATGGGAAAAAGGTTCCAAAAGACCCAGGGTTCAGATTTTTGGGTCACACCACTGTACCTTTGCTTTCATAAGATACTTAACCCACACAGTGTTTTAATGTTGCATGGTCAAAGGTTTTTACATGAAATGTCTCTTTTATTGTTTCCAGCTTGCTGCCACGTTATAGTATCGTTCGCATCGCACGTCTAACCTAATTGTAGTAGCTCTATGTACCTGGTTATTGTTACTCTATGAACGTATAATCTCAAAAATCCAACAATGAGGCGATTCTGATTACTCGCAGAAACGATGAAATATTAGAAACAGTTTTAAAAATTATTCATTCAGGCGTCCTAAAAAGTTTATCCTAGTGTTTTTTTAACCAGGGTTTCGAAAAGGTAAAATATAATCATATAGTGCGTTGCAATAGTGTTTCGTAAAAGACCTCCTGGTGTTCCGAGTGTTGAAAATTACTGTTTTAGAATTGGGCAATCAAGACGAGACTTCTGAAATAGAAAGCACGTGCTGAAATATATATTGATCAGTCATTTTAATTTGCAATTAGATCAATAATTCAAAATATCATATATGTATGCCGGTAGGTTAATTAGTTGAAGTTGTCGGAAAATAAATCAAGTCAACGATATATTTTATGCATTCAGGTAAAACGTATTAATGTTGTCGAAGAAATTGACAACCACACTTTTGCTGACTTTTGGAAACTCTGTGTAGATGCAGATGTATCGTCCGTGAAATATGACTCTTGGAATGCACAAATATGCGGTCAGGTAAATGATACAAAAAGTACTAGTAATTCTGCGTATTAGGATAGATTTTCTTTTTGAAAATTCACTTCGGAGTAGAGAGATGTTTGGTATACATACCGTTTTATTCTCAAAATTGCTAGTTGATATAGTTCGCACAAAAGTTTTGGCAAGCTGGCAAATATAGAATATGTCCAAATATACATATGCATCACAGCTACTATTCTTAATTAAAACTATTATGGATGCGATTTTTAGGCTGGCAATGTACATTATGTTATGACTGTAGGATCATCACCATCTTATTTTAGGAAACGATAATAACTAGATCATTAGTTTTTTTGTCACACCACGTGGTCATATGGACTGCTTGCTAAATTTTTGTCGTTGAATTTTTTTATTTTTTATTGGGCGTATTGTTGTTGTTGTTTACCAAAAAGCCGCTTTCACTCGTATGTAATGAAGTAATCGATTTAATTTTCAATTACTCAGAGAAGTCGCTTAAAGGATAACCTTATTACCTCTGATTCTCATTAAAAATGGTATTTCACAGCATTTCTAATTACCTCTTTACGCCAAGCATCCGGATTGCTAGTGCGACGATTGTTTGACAAACAGGCTACTTGCACGCATCCTCATACCGGTACCGATTCACGATTTTCGTATTGAACCTTGCGGTGTTGTTCTAACAGGGAATGTCAGCAAACATAATTATCAAGATGCACAGAAGCCCAACATATGTCGAAAATTTTTGCACTATTCTGAACTTTGGGAGAACCGAAGAATTACACATTGAATGTGAATTGTCTGAAGATTTTATAACACTGTTCAGCCGCAAGACAAACAAGCGTATGAGCAAGGTTTATATTTTAAATTTTTAACATTTGTATTCTCGACATGTTTTCCGCACGCCTAAATAAGAAGTATTCAGACTCATGTGCAAGTTTTTAGTACAGTAAATATTAAATTTTAAAAATAGCGTTTATCTCTAGGTAAGTAAGAGAATTATGCACGTGTACAAGTCGTAAGCAAAAACTTTTTTTTCAAAAAAGATGGCATAGCTGATGGCTGCCTTCGATTTACTCACGACTAATATTTTTGATATTTAAGCAGACCAGTTTGTTGTCAATTGGACCATTTCCTCACTGTTTTGTCTTGGAGGCCTGGAGTAAATACATAAATTTGATAACTGTGTCTGAATTATTCTATATTTTGGTACACAGGTGAAATCAATAATAATTGGTCGAAAAGCAGTTCGTCGCATGGAATATGTCGCTGCCTTGCTCGAAAAAACCAGTGTTGAAAAGCTGTCGATAAATAATAGCGAAATTAATCTTCGCACTCTCAGTGTAAGATTCTTATATATTTTATAAAATAAAGGTATTTGAAAAAATAAAACAAAAACTTTTATGATTTTTATCATCAGCCTTTCTTACATTTATTTTGATGACCATCTTGGTCACGAACTTTCAAGGTATTAACAGTGATCCAAACAACCTTCAGGTTTCTCGAGATGATAGTCAGCCAGTTACTGCTGAAGAGTTTGAAGGAATAGCACACCTTTCAATAAAGAAAAAAAATTCATCCATAAATCTTAGACACGCTGCAACATTGGATTCAGCACTGAGTGAGATGACGAAAGCAAAATTACCGGTAATTATATGGCCACAAATGTCGCACAGTCGGTACATGTACGATAAGACATGAGCTGCCTAGCTATGTATTGAGTTTGCCGCAAATATCGGTGGACAACCGTGTAGAGGCAGACGAGCGCGGATGTATTAAGTGTTTTCATTTTTTATAAAAAGAGGGTTTCCATGTATTAAATAAAACGCAAAGTTCTTGGCAAAATATTGAGTAAATATAATAAAATTTTAGCAGCTTCAGCCATAATGAAGTCCTGAACATTTAAAACCAACGGGTTTATTAGTTACCCCAAAATGAGATTTGTTTCTTAACAACAACAACAATAAGATGAGATAGTCATTTTTCTTTGCTGGATTTCTTTTTTTTTGTGAATATTTTACTTTTTTTGGAGCATATTGCAAACGTATAAACTTTCATCATTTCAGGTGGCATCCATCAAAATATTATGCCACAATGATTCAGTATATCTGGGGAAACAATCATGTCAAATCTATTTGACCAACGAAAATTCCGACGAAAAAGAAAAGTCGATGGTATGTATCATTGGGTTAAGTAACACATGTATGTACGATTGAGACTAAAGTAGAAGCTCTAGCACTATTGGTTTAACCTCCGTGATCAGTGATAGATCACACGAATAATATCTTATGGAAAGCTCAAATTTGTCTGAAATCGTTACTTTCCCGGTGCTATAAAATTATTTTGGTACTCCCGTAGTATGTGAACCAAGATGGCGGACACCGGAACGTAGTATGTGTACCTGGTTAGGGTTAGGGCATAATTTCAGGTACAAATACTACGGGAGTCACTTGGCTAGCCCCGAACTCGTAATATAATTAAAAGAAGAAAAATTGGAATAAAATCATGGCCTAACTCTAGCCTGGTACACATACTGTGTTCAGGTGTCCGCCATCTTGGTTCACATACTACGTGAGCGCCATTATTTTTTTGCATTACTAAAAATCAAATTGCAACCCTCCTATTGTCTCGCATTAGAGTCTGTTGAAAATATTGTATACTCATTTCTATCTTACAGGAAGTTGAAATTGTGGCCAATCATAATGCCGGATACCAAACGTGCGCATTTCTCCGTAAATTTCTCGAAAAGCAAGGTTGCACGAAAGCGACATTCAATGGAGTTGAAATCGTCGTCGAATTTAATGATAATAAAGAGGTAGGTAATGTAAAGTCATTTCTATATGAAAATTTTAAATTAACCAATTTGAAACGTTATACTTTCATTGACTATAATTAATCGTCTAAAAATATTCTAATTTATTTTACGCAAGGTTGAATCTATCTATTTGCCATGGGAAGAGCCTGTATGTGTGACTTCGGAGACTCCTTACCTATTTGGTGTTGAAGATGTTAAAGATGATTCGCCATATGTAAATTATCGTGGTGTCGAGAGTAACACAGACGGTTATGAATCTCTTTTATATAAGAAAGAAACCACTTTCTGTGCTGAAATCGTAACGGGAATCAAAGCACCAAACGTATGGCTTGGAAAACACCATCTTTCTCTGAAATATCATCCTGAAGAGGTTTGTTAAATTGTTTGCAATTTTCAAATTATCATCACCTAAAATATTTAATACTTCATATATAGAGATGAATATTAGAAAACATAAATGTGCAACATGAGGTCAAAGAATACGAATGAATTGGTGGTTACATCAATATCATTGGGTGTCACAAATTAAAAATAGTAAACAATACTAATGCGCAAATTTCGTGCCCATATATTTCAAAATTGCTTCATTGTTTTTATAATAATGAAAAATGCTACATTACATATTCCTGGTTTTGCTGGAGTGCGCCAAAATTGGTACAAGCGCTAAGGTTGACCCTACTCATGTTTTGTACTCTCTCAATGATGAGCAGCCGAGCTTTCAATCTCATTCATTACCATTACAGGTTCTGGAACTCAATGTTGCACATATTGACAAATCAATTGGGGAAAAATTGTCCTTGGTTTGGCGTAGCATGAGCACTCCAAATCTGAAGTTAAACGCTAATGGATTGCTTGTGAATTTAACGCTTCAATCAAACTCGAGTGGACAAAGAAAAAATGCTTTGGCCAGGCAGCAGGACATTCCGTTCGCTACACATATCCCACTGGTAATTACGTTGTCATTTTTTTTTTCATTTTACTCAACCTAGAACTAGACCATTAAAAAAAAAATATCGATATCAGTGATTTTCTTTGCCGTTTTTGTTAATGAATTAGTGGTTAGAAGTGGTTCTCAAACTTTTCAAGCCGCGCCCCATTTTTAGAATTTGTAAAGTCACTTTAAAAATACCTAGCTAACAATAGTCTGCAAATAACATACAGTAAGGCTGAAAGTATGTTTCATTCAAAAAAAAAAGTGGAAATACGTGTATAGAACGTAAATATCCAAAATAAGGGAATGTAAATATCCAAAAAAGGCGGGCAAGATCACATATAACAAATGTTTTTGCTTTCATTAGCTTCAAGCCCCCTCAAAAATTGTCTACGCCCAACTTGCGGACCGCACTCCACCTACTTTAGAGTGCCTGATTTATTACTATTTCACGTTTAGTCTCCATTTATTACGTTTCTCTCAAGATTGTATGGCAACTAGGGTACTTCCTCATAGTTACAATGGCCTTTTTCGATAACATTCAGTTCACATTGTGTATAAGAAACTGACTATCGAGGGAATCCCATTCATAATACTCATGTAATAAATGAATTGAGATCACAATAACAAATGAAAAACTCTGTATTACAGATACAAAATGCGACTATTCAGAGTTTTTCGAGTGAATACCTAAACGCTCTACAAGACCTCCTAAAAAAAGTCCCCAGCATAGCAGGAAGCGAGATTAGAATAATGTATTGCATTATTGATAGCAACTGTGAATTGGAAATCGAAAAAATATTAGAAACCATACAAAGGTTATTAGACCAACACAACATACGAGTGAGTACAACTTTCAGAAACAAACACATATATATTCTTTGGGATCATATTTACTTGTCCCCAAAATCATACCGAATCTCAACAAACCTCTTATAAGTTGGTTATATGTGAACTGTGATGGAATAGGTACAATGGCAAAATTGGATATGCTGACAAATGACCATACCGATATTTGCATATCGTCAAGTCTTTCATTACATTAATATAAAAATATTAAATGGTTTTTATGAAGATTTGTGATGCACTATCTGAGTTGTAGTTTTGCGAGCCTACAAAACATCTCTGGCGATATACTAATAGGTGAATAAAACGAGTCATGTCGAAAGAAAACATTCAATAAAATATTAACATTCGCTTCGCAAGCCCGCAGAGGTTTTTTCTTTTTTTATTATAATCCATATAAGGTCCATGAGTGACTGCAATAGAACGAAAGCTCTTCTTGTTCAGCTTTAACATTCAAGCATTCAAAAAATACGATTTACCGTGTTATTATATTCCAGGTCGACAATTTGTCTTTAAACAGGAGTGGATGTGATGTTGCCAAGCTTGTCTGTGAAATCGTCGACGAGTTTCATATTGGCAAAGTTCAAATCTGTGGCATGGATCTCCTGCAAATCGAACACAATAACAAAGTAATATAAAATATTTATTTTCATCTAAAGAACTTAACAAAATTTCCCAACAGCCATGAAGAAAGAATTATTTCAAACACTTCATGTGCTTTAAACTTCCGAATCCACACCATTCAGGAAAATTACTAAGATGACACAACAACAACATAATTCCAAAAACGATTCAAGTGTACATTTCGTGCCCAAAAATACGTAATTTTGATAATATTTGGATTTGACTCAATGAAACTCGTCGAAAACGACAAAAATTGGGCAAATGTAGAAATTTTCTGCTTTAAAAATGTTTGAAATAATTACTTACTAAATATAGTCACAATTACTCGATTTTGCTTAGTTTACTCATGTGCGATCTTACTAAATAATGGCCAGTCGGGACAATAGTAGCCATTAGGACGTAGAACGTAAAACAAAAACGAGGAAGTAAAAATCCTCTTTGCCGTTTGCTGCACCAAAGTGACGGGAATTGTATTTGTTAGGTCATTAAAATATAGGAATAAATATAATAAATTTCTAATATTTTTTTATAACATTTGTAAACATTATTTGGTAATTTCTACGTGTCTATTCACCTTGTTAATTAATTATTTTGTACAAATAGTTTTCGGTCAGCCTAACATGAAATGTCTTCTCTAATATTTTAGAGCGTGCGCTCTATCTGCATTCAAAATAAAACAGTTTTTATTTATCATTTCAAAACACTTCAGATGTGCTTTAAAGTCAACGTTGGAGAATCTCCAAATATCGCAGATCTAGCAGGCCTTGCTTTGAGTGTATCTTTAATCACATACAGGGATATAACTATTGAATTGTTTTATCACAATGCTTGCAAAGTGAGTCGTCATTTTAGCAATCTATATATATTCAATTAAGTTTTCTTAACTGTTCCCAACCAGATGGTTGATTACAACATCATTTTCACATGTTTAAGTCGTCTAATCTTCTATTCTCTCACATTGTTTAAAAACACAAAAATCGGATGGATGGATTCAGCTGATTGTCACTCTTCTGGTAAAAACCTTCAAAAAGTCTGAAAATCGTTAAGATAAGATTTTGACAGTATAATGTATAACTCATTGTTCAATACCCCATTAAGATATGGCAACTCCAAATCCGTGCTACTGGGACAAATATCTGGTTAGCTATTCTCATAAGCGACCTGGAATGTTAAATGGGCAAAACGGCAGTAATATTTTTATATTTTCTCTATTTAACAGAAAATTGAGTCATAAAATCTTTAATAAATTATCGAACCTATGCAAAACTTGATTGTTACAGAAAACTATATATTCTATTTACAGATTATGAGGATTGACAATGCAAACTTTAGCGAAGATGAACTCGCCACGACTGATATCTTCACATTGTTTACAATGGCAGAATTCTACGAGTTGCGTGTTCCACAATGTATTCTTAGTGCCATATATCAAAATAGCAGTGTAAAGGTAAGTTGGGACAATCTCCAACTTTGAATAATAGAACTTTACGTTCAGTGAAATTTAGACACGATAGAAGCAGCATTTAGACACGCATTAAAAGGCGCGGGACTAAAGATGTATCTCTGTTCACTCCGGACACGCATGTTCACAACTCTTCACTTTACAGCATAAAACTTCAACGTTAATTAATCGTGGGCAAAATAGGGCCCGCGAGCCAAATCCGGCCCACTGGGTAATTCAATCTGGCCCGCCTGATGCTGCCACAACCAAACTAAATTAGCTCATGTTATTTGTTGAGATTGCGATTGAATTTAGTTTTGGCATTTTTGCTTATGTAACCCTGTAAATATTGTTGATAAAATGTTTTTAAGTCACACTTACATTTCCCCGCCAGCCCAGGTGGGCAAAATGTTTAACCCCTGTTTGACAAACCTTTCCCATCCCTATTATATAGCATATAAGGGGTTAATAACCTTTTGCACAGCTTCTGTGGCTATATCAGCAAATCGAAAATTCATTTTGCTCACTTGCAAACAAAAGTAAAAAAAAGGACCCCAGAAGTATTTGCACCAAGTTGGCGCACAACCTGAACATAGTATGTGTATCAGGTTGGGGTTCAGGTTATGCGCCATCTTGGTGCACATACTTCTGGAGCGCCAAAGTAAATCGTTGATAAATAAATTGATATCATAATTTTTCACAGGAATTTGTTCTGAAAACAGATGACAAAATGAGCAACCAATTTCTTTTACGGTGTTTATTGGATTCAGAAGTTCACAAGTTAACAATCAACGGTCTTAGTTTTAGTATGAACAAAAATTCACAAAAAATGGTAAAGCATAAATTTGTTATTGGTAAATTGCTTTATTTTTCGTTTTGTTCGTTCCTGATGTTGAAAATAAGGTACTCCTGAAGTATGCGTACCAAGATGGCGGACATCAGAACGTAGTATGTGTACCAAGTTAGGGTAAGGCCATAATTTTAGATACAAATACAACAGGAGTCACTTGGCTAATCCCCGAACGCGTTATGGAACTGAAATAGGGAAATTGGAATCAAATTATGACCTTACCCTAACCCTGACCTGGTACACATACATTGTTCCGGTGTCCGAGATCTTGGTACGTATACTTCAGGAGCACCGAAAATATATTTTTATGAAAGCCTATTTGATTGGAAAGATAATATCAGTATGGATATGGAAGATTAGTTTGCTAAGGAGCTTTCTGTTGTTTGTTAAACTACAACAAATTAGGCTATATTCCTGTAATATTCTTTTTTTCTTTTTTGTTTGGTGACAAGGTCGTGGAATTAACTATGCAGGAAGTATCGGATACATCAATTGGAATACTCAAGCAGTTGATGGGAATCTTTAAAGACATGAATAAAAAAGTATTCAAAGTCAGTATCCAGAATTGTGTCATAAGAGATTATATCGACGAGTTGGAAGAATTAGCAAATGAAATACATGTTCACGTGAGTGTACCTTAAAGACTTTATAGGTAAATAAAACAGTACCCTACGTACAAATCAAACCTTTCTAATATATCTTCCTTTCTGTTTGAGCAAATTAACTTTCAAATTTACCATTTCACAAAAACGATGATGCGAGAAAATAAAAAAAACGATATTGTATATCTACAATGAAACGTTAGTACCTTCGTTAAATAATTTTCACAATTATATTGGTTCCATGACATTTTTAAGATAGTGAATCAATATTCACTGAGTTCGATAAAATTTTATATTAATGATTTGGAACTTTGATTAATCTGAAATTTATAAACGTATCCGTTATAATACAAAAGTAACATCATCTTATTCTATAAAGGCTTAAGGACACCTAAAATGAAATCACGCTAGTAACATATTTTGTGATTTGTTAGTTTTTTTTTTGTTCGTTTTATACGATTTGTTCGTAATTCTCCCGGTATAAATAAATTTCACCGAGATTGAACTTTGTTGTTCATATAAAATGTCCAAATTACATAGAAGTACAACCGAAGCATCGTTAATGTATATTGACTTTACACTCAGAGGCCAGAGCAGTCAATAAGCATAAAATGTGTTTCAATTCTTTGCAGTGACGTCAATACAAATGACGTATTATATATGAACATCCCCAAAATAAAACAATACATAAATGTGTATGGCCACCTTAATGTCAGCAAAATTGAAGCTAAGCGTTAGAAGAAAATGTAGAATCGTTTGATCCATTAGAATTTTCTCAGCAGGGGACAAAACTACAAATAGAACAACAACAATTTTGCGAAATAATCCACAGATCCGCTTTTTGTACGAGATTGGGTACTCCCGTATAGTATGTGTACAAGGTTAGGGTTAGGTCATAATTTTATTCCGATTTTCCTTACTTTAGTTCTATTAGAGTTTGGGGACTGTCTGTGTTAGCCAAATAAATACACCCCCTGCCCATAGTAATCAGTCCCTTTACACAACTTGATGTAAAGTAGGCGAACAAAATTACATACTTCTAGAGCCAAGATTGTTCACACCACTGGAACATTATCTGTAACGTACCTACAAGTCTTCCACAAAACAACCAAATAAGCATTTTCCTATCAGATTAATCAGCTTAGCGTTGGAGGATCGCAGACGGAATCTTACAACAAAGTTTTGAGTTTAATGAAAGTGGCTGATGTCGAGAAATCAACATCAGTTGCCTCTTTTGCAAATGACTGCGTAACTACAATACATAAAGATGTAAGTAAACGTTTTGAGTTTGAGTATTGCAGATTTCTACCGATGTAAACTTAGCTTTAACAAAATTCATTCTGTTTCAGTACCAGACCACTGTGAGCAAAATTAGTGTTCGAAGGCTGATTGCATTTTTAGAAAAGCTCGGAAGTTACATTGAACAACCGCCAGTGATTGTGATAGAAACATTGATAGAGACAAATAACGAAAGACTATTGAATGAGTTCGAAAATTTACTTCACAATCTGCGTTCACGGCAGATACTAATCGAGGTAGACAAACCAAATACGTAAAGTAAGAAAGTATAGAAACATATCTTTCCGTGCAAGTGTGTCCTTCCATGGCTAATGTGAAGGCTAGTTAACAAAAAGCCTCGCATGATAACACAAAAGACAAAAACAGAGTATTACTAAACTATTATGGGACACTTCAGAACACCTATAGTCCTGTACCATAAAGTGGATTTATTGTTGTTGTCACATCATGCCCAATCGCGTCCTTTGAAACGTATGGAAGACATTTAAGTGTTAATAATAAGAATATTTTTATTTACAAATTAGACATCGTCTTTCGATCGCCCCTATTTACTGTATGATGTTCAGTCACTTCGTTCGTCCGCAAATTAGAACTATATACTTGTTACTCCACTCCGTACAAAATAAAATGATACTATACAAAAACAAATATGAGCATTCAGTCTTTGAGTAAAATGTTTTTTGCACAGATTCAAGTGATCGTCGCTGGAACAGAATTGTGGAACATACAACAATCTATTTTGAATATTTTGAAAATTACAAAAGTTTTTCACGTACAGACATCAGATATTAACTTCGACATAATTTACGATAATGCAATGAATGTTAGTCAATAAACAATTAAATTTAATTGATTTGAATAATTTTTTAAATACAGAATTTATGTTGAATTTTATTTTATTTTGGAACCACTTTCGTTAACTATATATACTGAGTATGGGAAGCCAAATTTAATGAAGGAATTTCATATTTAGTCGATAAGACGGCTTAATCATAATTTTATGTTAAATCACGGTTACCAGACCATGTCGGGTTTGGAAATAGTTAACCAGTTGTTTCGGAATTGAACAAAGACAGAATTAAAATTGTCACGCAAGCATAAGATTATTATTCTGATAATGAATCCAATCGTATCATGAATTGATTAAATGATTTGTCAAGACTACTAATATGTACCCACGACAAGCACATTAGTGCTATTACCGGCCTTACAGCTGAACTGCGGCTTTTCACAGAAAAACTAGTTCGGCTCAGCATCAGGCTATGTTAAAGTGTTTTAATGCTGTTGTATATTACAATTTTCCCCAAAGACCTTATTTTGGGGAAATCCGCTCCCCCATTTTCTCAAAGTAAAAAAAGAACAAAAATTGAGTTGCACAGTGTTATTTATACTCCAATCTAATGAATGCTTTCAATATGAATAGATCACTAGCTTTGATGCGGATAAACTAAGGATTTGTGAAGTCGACGCTTTAATGAAAACGGCTGAATCAGCATCCGTTGGAAAATGTTCTGCTCGACAATGCCTGGTACTTGGCGCGGATGAAAACGATATTGTCAACCATATGATCTTTCTGGAAGAACTATTCTGCAATCCAACAATTTCTTTCACGGTAAACAAAATTTTCTTATCGATTCATTGTTCTTATTTTACAAATAAGACGATGTATATTTGACTGTTATAATAACTCGGCAGGAAATGTTTGAATGTATACTTCCTCGTGCATCCCCCATCTTTTTAAGTATGCTTGGCAAAAAAAGTATGCTTACGAAATTTAACATAAAAAAGGGAAAAAAAGTGGGGACAATAAACGGTTAATACACCAACTATAGACCAGATTTGTAACAACGGTACCACTTTGTTATGCAATCTTACTTGCCTAACGTGATCTCAATCACATATAGAAATTCTCGTAGAATTCAGTTCCTGACCCTAATTACAATCACTGAGATCACATAATTGCTGATACTGCATACCAAAGTAGTATCGTAACAACTTATAATAATTAACAACTTATAGGTAAATCAACTAAAAGTTGATACAGATTTTTTGGCGATTGCTAAACACGTTGTAAGAATGATGGAAAATCACCAAGTTAGCAAAATAGAGTCGGAAGATCTTGTTATGGAAGCAGTTCCGTGCGACGAGGTATGAATAGGATTATTGCGATTTTAGCTCCTTGAACTAAATTTGACTATTATGGCAATATTTACAGATCAGAATTCTCTAAGATCAAATTACCCGTCATCAATACAACATGATAGGCATAACCTTATAATCATTCCTACTAGATACGAAAACGCGCGAAGTAATAAAAATAAACTAATATATTTTATTCCATTAATTGTGGAAAACATTGGAACTAAGATTGTCATTGTTGTATAAATAAATGTTGAGATATGAGTATCTGCTTTAATAAAGAAAGTAGAAGCACAAAGATTGTGTAATAGATTAATTGCGTAATATTTCAGATACTTCTATGCATTGTAACAGTTTCAGACTTGGCGTTAAATTTTAGCAAGTTTCATACGATGAAATTTCAGAATATTTTTGGAGCTCAGTAAATAACATATATAGCTATTAACTCATTTTAAACAGAATCTGTATTTTGATATTTCAACAATTTTTGTGCGACATGTTGATGAAATTGTGAGCTTCATGTGCAATAAAAATCTAACACGATTGTCAATTCAAACTTGTGAAGTTGGTCTGAAAGATCAAAAGAAAATACAAGATGCCATCCACCATATTGGACACCTACGTGATAAACAAAGCAAAGTACTTCAGGTCATAGAAAACGAATTTATTATTGATAAAGACCAAATTATTTATTGATAAATATTACTTATAACCTTAACTATAACGCTACAAACAGAGATAGTTACGCGACTCATTTATTAGATCGTGTATAGTAAAAAAATATTCTCTGAATTTTTTGTAATCCAATTTTGTAGCGTGTGCATCAACGTATGACTTTATTTAAAGGATGCATTGAATGATTCAGCGCTGAAGGAGATATCTGATGATATAGCGTTACTGGAAGACTTGTCCAATGAAAACTTTTCTCATGTAGAAGTAAGTTGATTCTAGGAAATAAATAGCACAAGCTTTTTCGTGCCAAATTGGCCAACGAGATAAATGTCTCAGAGCAGAATCTGTCAGCAAAGTTTAAGTATTTTTAGTCTTTTGGTATTTTTGGTCTCGAAGTGGACCTATGGATCGTCTTGGGATTACGTTGCTGGAATTCTTTTTTTCTTGTTATTATGAAAAATTCGCCTTTCTCTCCAATTATTAGAGCAATTGCTTTTGAAATTTTCAGTAGTTAAACATTGTTGTTCAGGCTAGAAGGCTTCTATATAATACTTTTATTTATTTCAAAAATTTCTGTGGGCTTTATGGGATTCGTTTACTTTACGTATGATTGCGTAATCAAAATTACCAATTGCGCACCGTGTGTTGGTTCCGCTTTCGCGGTCGTTGAGTGCTGGTGTTCACTCAAAGTCGGGGAGAATGCGGCTCTATACCGGTGCCGTGGAAGATTAAATACTCGTGCAACTTTGCTTTGGACTTCGTGTCTATATATTTTAGCATCGCTCTCTCGTATTACCACATGTTGTTCCCCAAACTGTACAAGCTTCGACTAGGACTTGTCCATTGAGTAGATATTATGCAAAAATTCTCAGACGATGTAATGAGACTGAATAAATTTCATTATTTTATTCTAGATTGGGCTGTTGAATATCAATTATTCTCTGACAAGCTATTTATGGATTTTGGACCTCATAGAGAAAATGAAAATAAACGATATTTCATCTCACAACCAGAAATTTCAAATAAAATGTGGAAATCATGATGAGGTAGCTCAAAATAGACAATAATAATAAAAAGAATAATGCACAACATTTGGGAATACACAAACTAATTGAGTGAAAATATAAATTAATAAGCACAATGATCCTCATTATTGCGGTCTATTATGTTTGATACTTTAGAAAAAGAGACTTGAAATACATTATTCCAACGATCTGAAATCTCTTCTGGATCTGGCAACACACAAGGACATAGCCTGCGTTAGTATGAGAGAATGCGTCATAGAGCAGACCGAGAAATGCGAGATTGAGCACAGTCTTCAAATGTTATGTGACATATCAAAACGAAATGACGAGGTAACTATTGCCCTTTAATTAAAGTAACTGTTTATTCTTGATGTGCCAACTTGTATTTGTAGAGTTTAGCTGAACTGTTCAAATACGAAATCAATACTCGAACCTTATCCTGCCCAAGTCTTTACTCGAGATTTGGTACAAACTAACACAAAATTTTTTATTTGATCCTGCCAACAATAGAAAATTGACGTGATGGTTCTGACAAAACATTTAATGCAGAACTAACAGATACCAGTTCCAATTCAAGCCCGACTAGCTGAAAAGCAGTTGGAGCGAGGTTTGCGGTAGAGTGAAGGAAGCCAACACAGTTTAAATACCGTCCGTAATGAAAGCGAACACCATGAGGCGCAAACGAGTCATTAAATACAATCCCTTAAGTTCGTAAATTATATGATAGCTGCATGAAGTATGATATTATGACAGTCTATGAAAGGCTGTGCAAAATCTAGTCTGGCTACATTTCCATCCAAAATTTGGCTGATTCTGATTTTACTACAAATATGTATTTACTCGCGGGGTAATATTACATCAACGCAGAAACAAAAGTATAAAATGACGACTTTAAAAAATCAGAATGCCCACATTGGGAAATTAGCTATGCTACCTAAAGTTATATATAAAACAAAAAATTACTTATAATATCATAATTATCGTGAATTAAAATTGATCATCTGTTTCCTATTTACAGTTCCATGTTGATTGTTTGACTTTTCATTGTTCATTTTCATTGGCTTCCACGTGGGTACTGCAGAATATAGACATCTTGACAAAAGTTTGCACAGAGGATATTGATTTTTCTTTTCAACGAAATGCTGAAAAAGAGGTAAAATTTTAAAATCTCTTGTTTTGAAAAATTTTCTCAATTTTTTTCTCAATGGAAATGATAGTCTCGTTGACTCGACTGTGGTTCGACTCAAATCGGTACTCCCGTAGTATATGTACCAGGTTAGGCCATAATTTTATTCCGATTTCCTTATTTTAGTTCTATTTTCGGGGACTGTCTGTGTTAGCCAAGTGAATATACTATACCCCCTGCCCATAAGCATCAGTCTCTTTACATAACTTGATGTAAAGTAGGCGAACAAAGTTAGTTACCTCCATGTTGGTACATACACTTCTGGAGCGCCCTCAAATTACCTTTTATAAAAGACTCGGAGTGACTCCATGAAATGAAAGGATAGGCTAGAGGCAATTCTAGTCGAACTCGATCTGCCCTTCATCAAGAACTCGAAGTAACTTAACTCCGAATCAAATGAACGAACTCGACAGCAATTAATCACCAGTGAGACATAACTCAGTGATTGACTCGACTAGTTGGACGAGTCACCATATAGCGGATCTTATTGAAATTGCTTGGTGCTTAGTCAACACCTTGTTGTATTCTATTTCCTATTACATTAAATCTTATATAATTAACCTTTGTAAAAGTCTTTTTAAAAGTATAGTTCAGCGTTTCAGGAAATAACAACGTACAATATATTGCTTATTCTATCTATAGATAGATTAAACCGGTGATAGATGTCAAAATGCTTCAGTACAAAAAGTTTTTATGATACTTGTATTGTTAAGATTGTTGGGTTGTATGTAAAAAAGATCGACGAATATTCCATAAAACATGTTGGACGAATAATTCATCAACTCAAGTTGCCATACTTGCAAGAAGACGATATATTTTTGAAGATTGAATACGAAACTTCATTCATGGTAGTGACATACAGTATAAACGTTTTTATTTTTTCAATTTGATATCGTCAATATTCATTTTTTACTTCTTATTTGTTTATTTTGAGAATTACATAAATTTTCTTGTTTCTTGTGGACCAATTTGAATATTTTTCACACCCAAGCATCTCATTCTAAATTGTTTTGTTTTTCTTCATAACTTAGATCACAATTATTTATTTGAGGGAAGACATTGAGAGCTCCCAAGAGAATTTTTTATTCTGGTTGCTAGACAACCTCACACGATGTGGCGAACTAAATCGTTGCTTACTTACCTTGAATGGCTGTTCAGTGGAATATAAATTAACTTCTCAGGTAAATATTTTTGTAAAATTTGAACAATTTAATAGGAAAATTTTTAATTATTATACGCTAATTACACAGGATTGAAGACCCCTAAACTGCTAATGAGACTGACAAGTGACAACCCCCTTTTTTAATTTGGTAGTAATTTTGAAAGTTATCCATTGCAGGGGGCGATGGTTACTTATGCGAAGCTATCTTCAGAAGAAGATTTATTCTTGAACATTAATTGCAAACTTCCAAAAACTTCTTCAGTAAAACTCATTGCCAACGAAATTCAATGTGATAATTTTGAAGAATTAATAAAATTGGAAACAAAAGAATTCGGACAGGTATAACATTTTGTTATATACAGTGGATCCGTTCTCAAATATAAGGTTCCGAGGTCGCAGTGTAATATATAAAATCGGTGGAATGCTTGCATCGTTGGCAAATTTTAAAAATCATCTTTCAAACTACACTTTCATATTTAGATAAGATTGAAAGCGGTTCATCCAGCAATTGAAAAAAAATATTCTTTTATTAACAACAACATTGACAGCATTTTCATTAAACCGGTTATAGTTCTGATCAAATACTCGTATTCATGTATATTTATATATAAATACTCATTTGCCGTTTTAAGATTGATCATATTCGGATAATCGATTTTGAGGCAACAAGTAAACATATGGAAAAATTGAGAAATTTCATCAATGCTAAAGACACAAAGCTTGTACAAATACTGAACTACCACGATTCAGCCAGCCAACTTCAACAGTATTGTAATACTCCCTCCTACTATAAAGGAATAAAGGTATGCAATTAAGAATAGTACCATTGTTAGCTAATTGTTCTGAATAAACCTCGCTATTGATAAACTCAATCAGAGATGTATTTTCGTTTCCATCTGCACTGTTTGCCCCAATTAATATTTTACAACTTTTGTGCAAATGTATATTAAAGGATAAATATGCATTTCGGTCTTCAAATAGGCCCCGGCGATAAATTAATTCATTTAAAGGCGTAAATGATATGTATAAAAAGTGACAGGCCCAAAGCATTGTTATGGTCAAACCTAAGCATTAAAATACTTATCAAATACAAAAACTAAAGCATCAATGCACCGTATGCATACCCATTCCTAAGATTTTATTCGGTCCTTTCTAATATCCTGGAAAAACAGGTTCGTGCTACTTCGATATGCGATCTCAGCGATTTTAGTTAGGAACTGAATTCTGCGCACGAATCGGCACCACTTTAGTACGCAATTGAGATCACGTTAGTAAAGTGAAATCGCATACTAAAGTGGCCCCGGAGGTTCTTTACACTTGGTAATTACTGTAAATATTTTTTCCAGATTGATGTTCTTCATATAGATTGTGGAATGTCTGAACCAAACATAAGATTCTCAAGCATTATAGACACAATACATCCGAATTCGATACAATATACGGATTATTTTGCCATGAAGCAAACTTTTGATTTGGAGTATAATGAAGACAATCAGGTTTATTCTTATGAATTCTATTTGATTGCCGTTTCAGAAATATACTAATTTGTATAATTAATTCGAAAGTACAATAATATTTGGTTGGCTGTATTTGTATATCGCGTTACCAACCCTGACATTAAATTCTAGGTGGAAACCTGGCGGACAACTACTATCAAGAACAATGTCGTTGGTCATATTTTGAACTTGAATGCGCGACGCGTTGTTGTGGACAAATTAGTTATAAAAAGCCCTGCAGAGTTGAAAGAAATTGAAAAGATTATCCAAGATTTTGGAAAAGACAAAATCGAGGTATAAGATTTTCAGACCTGATTTTGAAAGTGTTTCAATCAAATAGGCTTTAAAATATTTCATATTCTGTGTAGATTTCCTGTTTAAAGCTTGAGTATGGCAGTACAGAAATAGAAGATCGGATTGAATCTATTACCAATAAAGTACGAGTTGTGAAATTGGAGACAAGATCAGAAGTTTTTGAAATGATCTACGATTCTTACAATAAGGTATAAAGATTATTTTATGACATTCCACGACCATTTGAATCAGTATTCTGTATTGTATTTATTCGTTTACACAAATCAAGCACACGGCTTCGCTAATTTTCGTGCCCTTTTGAGAAAAGGTTTGGTTTATCTACGGCCAGAGTAAAAGTTTATTTAGTTAATGTATTTCAAAATATTTAATTAATTCAATTATGACGATTAAATTTGTAATTATAATTGTAATTTTGTAATTATATCTTATGTGCACAGGTTACCCATCGTATTTTGAATAATGTTGATTTAGGCGACGACATCACCAGGATTTTGAAATATAAGGTAAAGTACGACCAGGTAGACAATAAAAAATAGAAATATTCTCTATGACCAAAAACTGACATGAGACTAATTCACTAGTTTGCCCATGGGACAGTTCTTAAGAGATAAAAAAAAGGATAAAAATGACATGAAAAGCTACTTGGTTATATTTTTAAATTTATTTCTGAATTTTGATTTTGATGACCTTTTCCTTCTGTCCAAGCTCTAACTGAAAAAGTAATTAAATTGTGATACTGTGTATTAGTATAATAGTTTTTAAGTTTTCAAATAAAAATATAATTTTGTATAATGCTTATGTACATTTTAGGTTGATCATATCCGAGTACACACAGCTTTGTCGAAGGAGCTACTTACTTTTATCTGCCAGTCTCGAGCAACTTCCGTCACATCGTCAGATACTGAATTATCTGTCCAATATAATAAATTTAGCAAGGTAAACGTCCAATTTTTCTCAATATATTTCAATGTTTTTTTTATGATAATCTTGCATTAATATCTTGTATGTTTCACTAGATTGAAGTGCTTAAATTAAGAAGAGTTACGCTCCAGAATCTCCTCAAGTTCATGGAATATTTTGGGGAAATACCCATTGTGAAAGTAAATACATGCTTATTGGAAGATTTTAAAGATACGAACAAGAGTGAAGATTTGATTGAACTTGTTGCCAGCAACTTCTGTTTAGAGGTAATGCAATTCGAGTTAAGTTTGCAAAATGTTATCTTTTGGATATTTTAACAACTTTATCAAAATTAATTACGATATTTTTTGGTTCATCTTCCAGTTTATTATTATTGTTTTAATTTTTGTATAGTCAATTTCAAACAGTCAGTATAATCATGACTTTTCTTAAATCTATGCTGCTCTTTTTATGCAATTAATATTTATTAATTATGGTCATTATGTAATTGAACTATTCAAGTTCACACGATTGTTGTCTATGGTTCCACCACAATTAGGAATAGTTACGCGACTGCTTGGAATATTTTATGATCGTGAATAATTTTCCGTTTATTTGTGTCTCGCTCACATTCAGTTAGGAGAGAGCGGTGATATAAAAACGCTATGAAAAAAATTCAATTTGGCAGAAAAAAAAATTTCCCTTGTTGTTAACCAAATGGGTATTTTTTAACCTTATAGTTGCAAAAGATTATAATAGAAAATGTCAGCTCCGGAGATCTATGTTGTCTTGAAACGTTGATGAAGATTAGACGGCGTGTCGTAATTAAATATTTGGATATGGAAAATGACGAAGATCAAAATTTGGAGGACATATACATTTATCTGAAACGAAAAAATGTTGAGGTACATTATTACACATATATATATTTATTTCTTTATATTCAATGCAAATATCCAAGATTGTGTTATTTCGGTATAAACAGAAAACCCAGTCATGTATTGTACATACACTGATGTAGGAGAGTTCAGTGTAGGTAAGTTGGAGCCGGCTATCCATAGAGTTCTCGTGCCTATATAGATTTGCAGGGTGCTTCTGCGTTTTCAATATCGGTGAACTCAAACGTGACCCCAGCAAAAGTCTTCCTATTCTTTGCCTTTAATTTGAAGAAAAATTACTAGTGATTATTTTATGAGTGTTTTTACGAGTTGGCACGCAGAAACTGATTTACATGTTCTCACCCCTTATTTAGATTAAAAAATTCCAACTTCCAGCCGCAGTCGTGTTTAATATTATCCTTATATGCTCGGAGGAAATCCATTGCACCAATTTCATAAAACATTTCATTGCTAGGACGAGTATCTGATAAAGGTACTGCAAAACTGCGCACAGATTGAATAATTTGTTGTATATTTTTTGTTCAGTTTAAATCAGGGGTTCTCAAACAGGAAGTACATGTACATACAGGGATATATTTCGATTGAGTATAATAGATAATCTTTCCATAACTTCTAATCTGCCTTAAACTATATTATCACCTGGTGTTAATAATTTGAAGACCTGAGTTTAGGAACTCTTTAGGAAAACACATTTCATCCGTGTAGATGCTTTAACTACAACTACCGTTTCGCCGTTCACATGACATTTTTTTATCCGAGCACAGTATGAAATGCAATTTCGGGGGCACGCGAGCTATCTGTAAAATTCACATTAAGTTTGTGTAATCCTGGTTTAAATGTTCGTGAATATCATAGACAAATATAAAGATACGTGTCAGTCAAGTAAAAAACTATACCTAATCAATAAAAATACGTACTTTTTTTTTCAGGTAAAACACATTCGCATTCACGAGGAGGGCTGGGAACGCCTCGATGTTCTAATGCAAATGTCGAACGACATTCATCTTCGGCACGTGACTGCACGCACGCTGACAATGGAAATATTGAAAAACAATGACAATGTAAACATTTTTTACTATTTATTTTCACATTTTTTTACTTTTCCATTTAAAATAATTTTCATATATATTATTAAAATTTCGCTTCCAAATTCAACAAGGGTACTTGAACATAGAATGTGAAAATTGATCCACGTAATAATTTGTCAGCCTAGCTAATTCGACGTGTTTGATGGTGCAAGTAAAATGTTTCTATTTCTAGGAAATATCTTGGAAAATCTCTGGCGACCACACCGACGTTTTCGAAAATATGGAACAGATGTTTAAACGATTCGACCTAAAACAGATTCAAGGCAATGAATATACAATCCAGCTGAATAGTCACGACAACGGGATTGTGAGTTCTCTCGACTGAACTTCATGCTTTGCAATAAGTGCATTAATTATGAGCTATTCGGAATTAGATGTTGTGTAAAAAATGGTATAACGTTGCGAACAAACATGAAAACGTTTTATGAGGGTTAGAATTACAGAAATTAAGATATTAAAATTTTTGTCATAGAGAAATTTAGTAGACTTTGACGTGTTCAGAATTTTTTTACAATCAATCTTTAAATAATGCTAAATAACGTATATTGAGTATGTAAATACTATTTCATTAGCATAGATGTGTGATTATTATTAATTTCTTCCTACTGAACACGAAGTGGACCTATGGATAGTTTTGTTATTATGCTGTATTTATTTCAATACTTCCTCTATTGGATTCGTTTTTGTATGCGATGACATCATCATAATTGAAAATTGCGCACCGCGTCGGGGTTCTGTGATCTGTTGTCAGACCAACTGTGCTGTAACCTGTAAAAGATTTAATTTTACATAGTTTTGAGTTTTGTGTTCATATGTTTGATCTTTATTTTCTTGTTTTTATAGAAAACAATGAACGTGATTTGCGAAGGGAATTTTGAAAAACTATCTGCAAACTTATTACAAAGTCTTGCACAGCGAATCAATGTTAAGTACCTGGTCGTGAAATATTCCGATACAGGTACGAAATGCTACAGCATAGATGATGTAAAAGAAGAAGAAGGATATTGTTCGTTGAATCTTTACAAATCAACTATTGATTACCCTGAGAATTGTGAAGTGGATTATTCGACTGAAGTGCATGAATTTGCTCCGCCGGTTCCGTTACAATTATTTTCTCTTGCTACCGATCTCGAACATCCTTATGAGGTCAATCATCATCAATCATTGCCAGCTCCTGAAGATAGGGAACTGTATGACGACGTTTGTGACCCTGTGGAACCTCTTTATGAGGAGGTAGTTTTTTTTGATGCTGCAGGGTTGTAATTTTCATTTTTATATTATGCAAATAAGTCGTCAAAAATATCATGTGATTCCATGTGATATAAACATTCACTGTGGAAATAAAAAAACCGTCAAATGTTATTCTGATGATGATAAAAACTAATTGAAATCAATTTTAAAAATCGGAGTTTTGCGGAAAAAACAATGCATAATACACATTTTTCTTTGGTAGTGATAGCATCATTAAAAAAAGCAGGCATGAAACCTAGGGTCTGAAAATTCATAGGGACCTCGGTGTTCAATTGAGAACTATCAGTTATTTTCATGTTAGAATTAAACTGGTAATAACTTGTTTTTTAGTTTAATTTATTTTATTCTTTAATCAGGTTGATTGTTATTTTTTAAATATTTTTTACTCTATAACAACGTCGTAATTAAAATAAAAGATAATATTGATAATAACTATATTAAATTAGACAGTATTTATATATTAATTATATATATATATATATAATACTTTTCAAATTAAAATTATTATCCAAGATACTTGCCTGATTAACATATATACGCGTCTTGTCTGTAACTAAAATTTTGTATTTTACGAAAGACATAGCATTGGCGTAAATTCGTTTAAACCCAGCCCTGGTTTTGTATATATTTATTATCTAGGAAGGTAGCGACCACATATGCCATAAATATATATAACTTTGTTTGCGCTCTGTGTTAAAAATATCGAAAACGTGTCGTGTGAAAGCTGAGGGAATATAAATATATTCTATCTTTGTACTATTTTAAACACGTGACTTTGAATATATTATCAAATGTTGAGAACGGACTTTTTTCGTCGATTTTATAATATTGGCGCTTGTATGACATTCGCGCATTATTGGGATGTTGCATTTTTTATTTACTTAATTCTAACTTTTTTGAATCACTTATATTGTATATATTTTGGTTATATAATACTATTAGTTATTTTATAACATATATATAGGATAATCATGCGGCAACTGTTCGAGAGATTAGCTATGCTATAGCACCCGCCAAATTTTCTACGTATTTTTTCCAAAAAGCGATTTTGCGTCATTTGCAGTTAGACGCAAGCTATTCTCTTTTGCTCTATTTATGAGCGATTTACTGATAGCCAGACGTTTCTAAGCTTACTATCAAAATTTCCTCCCAGAATACAAAGCAGGATAGATAAAATTGTGAGCTTGTATAATTTCGACAGCGTAGTAAGTCTGTATGATATAGGTCTGTCTGTACCTGGTCCTGTTTGAAACAAAATGTGCGAGTAAGCGGTTAGTAAAAGCATATAAGTTGAGCAAAAGACATTTTTTTTATTTTGAGTCAAACCAGGTTATCTGAAACGTGCATGGTTACCCACGAGCTCTGAGTTGCCCAACAATTATACGCACAAAGTCACGTAGTGTGTACAGAGGGATAGATTTATCAAAACTCTTATTCTTGAAGTTGATCTTCATTCATCAGAATTGGTTTCAGGCTTCTGCATTCTGTCTCTCCGCATTCTAGGTGGAAGTCATTAAATTGAACCATTTTAATCATGCATAACTTTGAGGATACGTACGTACACTGCATGACATCACCACATGTAAGATTCGCGAATTGAAGTTACTTTAATCTGATTTCATATTTAGTTAATGAGATTCGAATTTATTGTCTATGAAGAAATTTTAAAGTCCAGTTTATATCTCAAACTACATCGGTTCTCGTGTAACCCCCCTCGTATTGCGATAGTTAAGGCCCGTCTTGTTCGCTATTTGAGTGTCTAAACCAGTGATTCTCAAACTAGGGTTTGAGAGCCGCATGCGACTCTCAACAACCTTTCCTGCGGCTCTTGTTAATGCTTTAAAAATTAATTACTTTAAAAAAAATATTTTATTGAAAACTAATCATTAACTTGAAATTAAAATGCGGGAGTCTATTAGTTAGTCGAATAGATTCCCCCGTGTTTATTTGCGTAGCGTTGACTAATCTACAAGATGCAATAGTGACGCAACAGTAAGCGTTTTCGCGGCCACTCGGACACTTTTCACTTGGAAAGATTTTAGACGTGGCTGTGATCATTGGCTTGCTTTCGTGGATTTTCAGTTTTTGTCGCATTTCCGAATATTATGTATAAATCAAATAACTCAATAATAATTTTAATTTCTAGAGCATTTTAATTTTGTCCCAGTAATCGAAAATAGTCCTGAAATATCTGGCGATCATCTCAGCAGCTACTGCACCGTGAATCCTCCACGATTACGACCCGCTTCGACAAACTTATTAGAAATCAAAGCCAAATTAAATGGCTGTTAGTCTAGGGTAGGCAAAATCGAATCTTTTTTCGAACCGAATAATTTGAATATTTTTAACGAATACCGAATAGTCGAATGTTGAATATTTTTTATACATAACACGGATCCAGAACGTCGGAGGTCAATACTCAGGTCACGTGGTACCGGATATTCGAATAGTAAAATGTCATTCGAATATTTCAATATTCGAATATTTTGCCCAACCCTAGTTGTTACGTGTGTTGTTGTTACGATGACTTGGTATTTTAAATACGCGCTTGGTTTGTTGCTATTTTACCTTGAATTGTTTGTGTGCGGCTCTTCACAACTTTGAGGTTTGAAATGCGGCTCTGGGACTGAAAAAGTTTGAGAACCACTGGTCTAAACTCTAAACGCCTTACCATCAACAACGGTTCAAAACTAATCATCTCCCAATAATTTTTAATCACAATTTGAAATTCAACTAGATTTCTAAAATATAATGACTAATGAGTGAGTACAATATTGCAGATTTGCGTACCACCATCCGTATAATTTTTTGATTAAATTTTTATTCAACAACGAACGCTTAACACTTGGCAAAATTGTTGATATCAATAATAAGTAACAGGTCTGTAAGCAGAGGCAGAGGTAACATTTGTTACAAAATCGAAATAGATAACGGCATTTCGAGTATCAGTACAATTAGACAATAACATATACAATGATTAATAAAATAAAATATTGAAGAAAATAGAAATTTTCCTACTCAGAAACTACCAACAAACATTAGTCTATAACTTGCGATGCAATTTTTTTTTTCTATTTTTTGTTCAGCAAAATTTTCTAACATGAAAAAACAATAAATAAAGTACACAAATACAGAGAGTTCAAATTAAAAAAAAAAATCAAGTTACTAATTTTCAAGTATTTTCATTGTCTTTTTTCAACTTCCGTCGTTTATTCTTGCGCTTCATTGCTTGCCTGAGTTCTGAATTTTTCAGGAAATAAAAATAAAACACAATCGGCCCTTGTACAGCATTTAATATATTGTTAATCATGTATGCTTCCACGTTATGATCCAAAGTGTTTAAAATTACAGTGACAAATTGTGGAATACCTAGAGACCAAGCAAGAAATATAATAGCGTTTGTTGTTGTTTTTATTGTGTCCCTCGTGGGCAGGGGGTTGTCTGACGGCCGGCTTGATTGTGTTGCAATACTTTTACGCAAAACTACAGTAGTAATATAGGTAGCGACTATCAAGTTAAAAATAAATGCTATTACGGTGGGCGTTAAAACAAGATAAACAACGTAATCATTATGCGAGGGTTCACAGCCGTAATATTTTATATACTTAGTCATATCGTACACGGTGCTATTCCCGTATGAACTCAACAAATTGTGTCTTTCATTAATAGCGTTGTATAGATTTGTATTGCAGACAAAGATATTAGCTCTATGTGCAGGATACGCTGTAGCAAATACATACAAAGCAGAAAAAATCCAAATACATACTGTAACTGCGGTCATACGTCTGGTAGAGAAAGCCTTAGTGTAGCTGACCATTTGGAGTAATCCTACTTTCACAAATAGCACTAATGCTTCACTTAGCAACCAACATGCAGTCGTAACAGAAAAATATAGGAATAAAATTGCCATACATTCACATAAACGTACTGGATATGGTTCTGCCACCAACATCCCGGTGTACAGTAATATAACGAATTGTCTTCCGATAAACGAAAGTGAGATTCCAAGTTGATTGAAAACGCGATGGGATGGTAGTTTAACGCGGTATCGTACGAGAAAGAAAACGGTTATTAGTAAAAAGAATGTGCTAATGCCGACAAAAACTTTCGACACGATGAAAAAAGTTCTCCAAAACATCGACATTTGGAAAAGTTTGATTTCTTGTTTGACACCGTAAACCGATCCCGCTTCATTACGGCATCTGGTGACCAGGGGTTGAATCGAATGGTTTTCAAATTCAACCCATTTTCCGTCTTCGCTTAGTCGATTACAATTCTGAGTAAATGAATATACTTTGGTAAATCGATCGTTGTATCGCAATATACTTATGTCCCAAGCTAGGTTATATCCGAAAGTCACATTTATGGGTACTTTCGAACAATTCTGCGTTGCATCACACCTGATTGCGGTCACGGACAAAAAACCAAGATTGTCCAATTCATATACGTCTGTGCGGTATGAAGTTTCAGATGATGGTTTTCTTTTGTGGTCGGATACGTTAGGATGCAATATTCCAACGATCAAGATTGATATATTTGAAGACAGCAATTGGGTTTCTAATATAGCGTATACTTCACTTTTATTCGTTTTTGCCGAAAAATGTTTGGACATTACTGGCCGTTTTCCTTCAGTTTCGTAAAATATAATGTTGTGGTCAATGTTGTTTTCTGCGAACAAAACCATTTTCTTTGTTTTAAAGTAGTTGTATTGGTCAAGGAGTTTTGTTTCTTCCATCGATAACAATGACAAGAAAGATGTTGAAGTATTGTCTAAAAATGACATAAACTTTATCAATATACGAGTATAAAAAGTCAAATGCTCCGAATTTCTCCGACACAACTTCACTATTTACGCGTATTGAATAATTTATGACATACGTTGAATACCTCAAGCCTAAAAAAATTGACATTGAATTGTATTGAAAAGGTTCATTATATATATGTTGCAATAGATTAATTGAGCCATGCATGCCTCTTACCCCTTCTGACTGGAAACGAGTTTTATGACATCAATTTTTCTGGCACCGTGGTATTTTAATATTACAGCTTGGAGCTTTCAACTTTTTTGAATACCAAATATATTTGCTTATAATTGCTGTTTTGTAGTTTACACAGATGTGTATAATATTTATTCATGATGTAATCATGCATTATTAAGCCGAAATCCACGTGACGTTATCCTGTTTTTTTTCTATTGCGTAAAATACACATTATTTACCATAATATGACGCCACAAATTTTCAAATAATAAATACTCCAATAAAAATCCTGAATAGCTACTGCTAACGAAGACCGTGTTTTGCTAGTTACAGTCGCAAGTCTTTGAAGAGCGGGTATCAATCAACTATATAATATATTTTATTAATACTCAGTTAAAGCTACTCTTAAACTTTTATAAATATGATGAAGATAAGTATACATATACAATTTAGCGAATGACAGTCTAGTTTTGCCATAAATACGTGTCTTTCTGTTTGATAACTATTTGCATATTTTTGTTGGTATTTTATAAGAAAAAATCAAAGATACACTCAAATACTCGTTTGGAGCGTAAAATGAAGTAGATGGCGGCTATCCATTGGGAATTGTGTTTTGTACCAGATACCGGAATCTAATTATGATTTCTGAATGTGATGACAATTATACGTTTCCTTACGGAAAAAGCGAATTTACATACCGTTTCATATTCCTTTGCTTCCGAATGCAAGGGAATTTCCTATGCTTTTAGCTGTCAGCCAAACCCACCTTGTGCGCCAAGACATGTTTTGAAGATTCCGTCTTCAAATCGATACTGCACGTTATTATCGTCTTGTGTTTGATTTTGGACAATCAGAGAATTCTCAATACATCCATTCACTTTCCTTGCCTGTTGCTCTATTACAATAGTCTGATATTCTGTGAAATAATTAAAACTATATAATTTAAATTAGCGAGTTTTACGTTTCCAATTTACAACAGTGTATTTAAAATTATTTAATTTAACACCAAAATAAAATTCGGTCAATCCAGGACAATTGCGCACTGTTGGTGCCTGGAGTGTACCAATCAGGCGGATGTTGGAGTGATTCAACTAGATTATAGTAAAATGTCAGACATTAAGTTTTTGGGAAAGTAAGACGTGAAAGTGTATACCATTGAATCGCTATATATATATACTTTAAGATCAGGATGTTCTCAGAGACTCACGTTGGTAATATTAAATATTAAAAAAATAACACTCACCCACATGTTGGCTCTTAACTTCTGAACATATTACAAACAGCAAAAGTACAAGCTCAGCGATACCCATTACTTAGTTTAAATCAAAACATTTTCTAGCTGATAACACTTATACACACACGTCTATTCCAACTAATGTGTCAAGCGACGGTATACTATATACATTGCTACGTTAGAAGCTTCCAGCCGCTGAAAATAGAATATTAATCATACATGTAAACACATAACTGTTATGCATTGCTAAATTTAGGAATGTTCAGGGAAGTAAAAGACGTACGCCCCATTGTGTTCGTTACATGACTAACACATTCGTTGCGGTTTAGTGGAGAGCGAAATAAGCGTTTCCGCGTACAATGCAAGCCACATTATACATCGATGGTAACGTGGAAGCGACTGTTTGATGAGTATAAACAACACTAATGATGTTGGTTCAACCGTAAACGTTGCTCAAAATTATCTGTGAAGAACCGACTAATGAAATGCAAAAATTAACTCTTTACTACTAACCAGTTACTAAAAATTTGAGGAAAAAAAATGAGTCGAGGAAATTCCTTAAATAATGGGTTATTACTTCTTTCTTGGATGTATTTACCCTAACACCAGTATCAAGCGATAATCAATATTATGCTACTACTGTTTTCCCGACGAAAATATATTCGTATATCTTATCCGCATATGCGGTATTACGAATATTTAGAAAGGCAGCGTTTTCTTATGCTGAAACCGCAGACACCTCTTACGGTGTACGGTATTTACAGACTACATTTAGGATTAAATGTTACACCGAATTACTTTTATCTCATTTCCATCATGAATAAAATATCTGCAATTTAAAGATAGCTGTTCGAACCTTGGCCGTTGAAGACTGATTTTCCTTCGATTTGTCATAATTAGTTACGACAGCGGAGGAATTAGGTCCGGCGTCAATAATTTTCAGGCTGATCCACCATGCAAGCAGTTATATATACAATATAAAATTATAAGAAGATTAATTGACTTTGTTTTACGATGAATGAACTTCCCAACGAAACCTCGAAAAGTATTTATCGACAATATTTTAGAATTTAGGATATTTTGCGGAAAAAGTTATTTATTAAAATAGCACACAACTTTCTGTAACTTTCACTATGTTTTTGGAACAGTAATTTTACACGAAGAGAGTTACCCTATTATTTCCGACTAGAGTGTCCGACTGAGTCAACGTTGATGGATAAAATGTTCGCGTATCTATACGTCAATCATGAACCATAGCGGCAATTAGTATTGTTTTGTTGCAGTATCATGACAAAAGTCGTCCAATATAAAAATGAACGACATGTTCTTGTTTGTGAAAATGAATCAAATCAGAAACACTATCTATCCTACGTCGTCAGCGTGCAAAACGCGAGTGTAACCGAAGAAATACTTCATACGGGTTCACTTGTTCGGTTTGAGCGACATCTGTACAGTGATCAACAGTCACTTAGTAGGCTCTCGCACTGCGAACCATGAGCTAGGCTACTATATATATTTGAAATACCGTAACATTTCCCAATCAAATTATTGTACGTGGGTGAAATAATGGGTATGAAGCACCACCCCGTTATTTTTAAAGGGCATAAGGCGCATGTTGTAATTGAATTAAATTCATTATATTCATACAAATTCCGAATAAAACAACAATTATTCGAGATAATAATGATTTTTAGCCTACTGGTCATTTCCCCTTTTTTATGGCATATAACAGCCATCTATTTAGACTATTTGTCGAATCGATAGGACTATAATATTCATATATTATCGATGTTTATACTATCTGAGGACATATCTTCAAGGCATATCCTATAAAGTAAAGATAATATATTTATGAAGCTAACTCATGTTGTATATAAATGTTGTGAGTAGTAAGAGAGCCCACTATTTAGACCCAAATCTGTAAAAACCTGCCGAATTAATTAATTGGACTCGAGAATGAATTGTTGTTAGTAGGGCTGGGAATTTCAGCGCAAAACTTTAACCGTTAACCTGGTAAAATTAATCGCTCGAAATGATTCACGTATCGAGATAGTTTTATGGTCGCCCTACTGCACAAATATGTAGTGTACCTGGGACATTATCAAATATCATATCTGAAACAAAACATTCGGTATCTGGTGGGAAACTTCTACTTTGATATATTATAGAAAACACAACATCAACTGCGATCAGGAGCTACTAGCTCTAATAGTTCTGTACTATGTGATAAGAGTGTACCATCAAATAGTGTATTTAACACCCCCGGGATTAATAATTCAAAGCGTAAGTACACCCAAAATGTCGATATGCTAATATATTCCTCGGACAAAAAGCGCACTTGTTGAATGACAACCCCTTTTGTAATAAAATCGAGAACAATAAATTCTGCCCGGAGAGTGATTCTGAACTCATCTTTGTCGAATTTTCATAATCAGCAATACTGGCACTTCTTTATTCGCAATTATTTTTTAAATATTTTTGGCGCTTACCAATGCAGTTGAAGTAATCATTTTGAAGTAATTGTGGGCATACAGTATAAAGTTGATTTGTACCTGAAATGTCAGTTACCGGTCAAAATAAATCGTAACCGTTAACCATCTAGAATCGGTTAACCACTCTTAGCGCCAGCTTGTTAGGGAGCATGTTGTTGCGATAAAAACACCCAGTTATTAGTGACCCTTTCTTTCAAAGACAAACCTGGATGGCATCGATAAATTTGCAACTTTGCTTAACGCATTTTAAAAGAATGCTATTAATCAACCAATAAATGTTTGAAGTGTATATATATTGAATATTCATCAATTGATTTCGTCATCGTATGTTGCATTATTACTTATCGATTTTAATCGGTAAGTATGTTGATAGGTATTTGTCAGTCTGTTTGATGCACGCGATATCTCAAGAAAGCGAGATTGAATCTGCTCCAGATTTTGCATGTGCATTCATCATATGTATGATTTTGGATGAATTATGTAGTATAATTAGCGAGTTATTAATTAATTAGTGATGGGACACAAGGTGTCACCATGGAGTAAGAGCGCTGTTTTGGGGGATACCCTAACTTTCGATCGATAAGTATTCGGTCTCTGACCGATATTCTCGTTTACAAGTCCTTAAGTATTTTTTTTTAACCCTGGGAAGTCCCCACTTCGTCATTGAACTCTGAACTGCCTAATGAATAACTATATTATGACGCAATGCAGTAAGAGGAAGTAGCAGTTTAAGTATTGTTCTCCAAATGGTTTGCAACTATGACGACGATATTGCACACGATTAATTGTGTGCTGTTCCGCTATAAATATTTTACTATAACGGCGTGTGACGTGAAGCAACTCAACACACGATGAGGTTAAATTGAAGAGCGTTTCCAAAAGCCTTCTCGCCCTATTATTCCATTCTTCACGTTGAACCGCTTATAGGTAACTCGCTTACACACTTAACTCGCGACTTAAACGTTTATTTGGGGGATTCGAAAAATAGTCATAAAGGAGTATTGTGGAGACAATTCGACCGGCGCTACCGACGATTTTGTGGCACACAAGAAGAACCATTATTGAACTGAATAAGAGCATTGTGTAATAATGTTATTGTTGAAAAATCAAACAATATTAAAAACAGCACACACTCGAAATTTGAGCACGATTTAACGATATAAATAATACGATAATTTATTGCGCATGATACAATGCGTGATCCGAGCAAAAGCGTTTGGTTGGAAATTTATAGACTCATACTACACGATTAAAACTTGTTTTGCATAATTGTCACAAGACTTCATGAGACGAAGGCGTGGAGTTCGTTTAAATTCAAGGGCTACAAAACGCCTTACAGCTCGTTTTTGGTCGCTTTCCTGCAGTTCACGGGGACCTGTGGTTTGTGTTGATTATAGCATTTTTGAGGGGTTATTCAATCCGCATAACGGCTGACAATCAGCATAGTGAAATAGACGTCAAAATATATTCTTCGATCTGAATTTGCTTTCTGTGTGTGCGGCAGCTCGTGAACCAGTTTGGTTAAAAATGAATTGATATATTTTTTTTGCAATTTTGGTGTGAGTGGGTGTCCATCGATGCAAATGTTCGTAGGCATAAACTCCATGAATGCAAAAGCAAATGTGTGAAAATGTCCTGGGTGCAGTTCTCGAGTGCAAATTTATGTCAGCCGAAAACACCGGTTTTATCATTTTATTTCAATTGACATGACTGACGATTAAATAACTCTTTATCTCCACCACACAACTTTTCACTGATTCGCTATTTGTTTTAATTTATTTTCATGTTTTGTTACGATGGATATGAATAAATTTTCTACTTATTTCGATATTGTGGTAAACGGCCATATCAGGAGCAGGCTTACACGCAGAATGGGAAAATATTATTAAAGAAAATCCGGATTCGTAATCCAAAGCACGGTTGGAAGTTCGGTCAGACGCACTCTTGTCCAAGATTTATATTAAATACCAACTATGAATATAGTTTTTTTTTAAATCAAGTATACCGGTATATTTAGCCACGGCTCCGCGTACTGGCATATATTATTATACTCTACCACAACTCGCCTTCTTCCACCGCGCAAATGCTGAATAACATTTCGTTTTTGCTTTTTCTGTTCTGTCTCTTTGTGCTCAAGTTCATGTTTTATCTGTTTATTGGAAGGCAGGAAGGACCTTATTAAACCGTGTAAATTCAGTATATGACTAGTACACGTACTAGTAGGTACCGGTATCGTACTTCACTAGTTCACATAACTCTGTAACTACAGTATCTAGCAGTGCAAAAATATACCGGTACCGTACCGTAGCAAATACAGTGCACATCGTTAGAAAGGTCAAGGTCTGTAAGTACAGGTACGGCAATACCTGAATACGGTACAGGTAGCCTACCTGTACAGCAGTACGTTACCGCTAACTGGTGGAGGCTAACTCGCCATGTGTCACGGTAGAAAGATGTTGCTACTGTGGTTGTAGATGAATCAGAAGACTGGGTTCCGGATTGGTTGTTTATTGTACGGCAACTCCATCGTTCACGAGCTCGCGTTTTCGATCAACGAATATTGCTGTTTGATTTAAGAGAAAATTCGTTGTTTGATAAAGTAATAAAAATAATCTAGATAAATTAGTAGAGAATACAGAAAATGTGAAAAATGGCGGCCAGAAGGTCCTATGCCAATGCTGCCAAAATTGGAAACAATAGCAGAGGAGAAGAAGATGAACGAAAAACCGTAAACAGGTCAGGGTGCATGTATTTGAAATTCGATAGTAAACCAAAAAGGGAAAAATATGTGGAAATTTTTTGAAAAGAATGGAGTGGAATTGAAGAATATTGATGGCATGGTACAACTACCAAAAATGGCTATGACATTACTTTTAATTATGGGGTGTACTAGGGTATTGTGTATTGAACTGCAGGTCCTTTCTCCCTGTTTACTTTCTATTCCGGATCCGTATGTGGCTGTTGCCACAAGGATGCGTGACTGAGATAGTATTATGAAGATAAATAAAAACAAGAGAGCTACGCACAAATATATGGACACGTTAGACCAGAGCGAATCAGTCCTTACCGGTACCTTTGACGCTACCGGTACCCTCAAAAAAGTTCTGAATTTCCAGTAGCAAGAATTTTGCAGAATCAAAACGTACA